TCATTGACTGGTTGTATCCAGCCACCTTTTTTCTAAACGCTAATCAAATGAACCTTTCATCCGACCTTTCTGTTGTTGGGGCTGGGCCGGACGTTTCGTTCCGTTGTTTACCGTTTCATGTCCAGTACTTTAATGTCATACACACGGCCCTGGCGGTCACACTGTATATTACGGTCACCAGACAACTTCCCAAAGTTTTCAGTTGCCTTATTTTTTCTGCAAAGTTGACCTGTATATAGCGGACATCCTGTATATAACGGTCACCTTGCCATTTCCCAAGGGTGACCGTTTTAAACAGGTTTGACTGTATATTTATTTATTTATTCATTTATTTATTTTTACTAAGGGGTCTTGTCTCATGAAGTTGCCTAGCCGTTTCCCCGGTCTCAGAAACGCAGATGGGAGGGGAGACGGAGGGTCCTCTTGCCCCCAGACCGCCGTAGAGGCTGCCGCCTTCTACGCCCGGTACCTTTTACGAACAAATCCACTGGTTACTTTAGAATCCACGGGTACGTTCGATTAATCTTATTCCGGAGTAAGGACAAGTCCCTTCCATTAATATGTTGAGCGCTACTAGTTTAAGTTTGTTGAACACTTCTGGCGCCTTGGCTTATCACAGAACGATATGGAAATAAACCCTTTTATGTTAATCATTCATAGATTGCTTTATTGACATTAAGCCAATGTTGTGTCGAATTGCACTATGGGAAAGTTTTCGGGGACGAGTTTTGACCCAGCTTTTTGCGCAACTCATTGTTTAGCCAATAAAAGAAGTGCTGGCGTCCCCAAACAGCTCCATAGTGCAATAGGCCCCTTTCCAGCTTACAGTTACGAGACCTTCTTCACAAAAAAAATCGATGGGGTGGCCTTAAACGATACCAGATATAGAAAGAGCATGAGAAAATTAGCAAACAGTGGATATTGTTTTTCGCGCTCTCTAATTGTCTACTAAATTTTGGTTTATTGGCAGTTTTTACAAGTAAAACTGTCCGTTCGGTCATTTGCGCGCCCGCAAAATTGTTATCTTTGGAAGCAATGAATTAGTTGAATATAGCCAGTTTTGTGCTCAATTATCTCACTGTTTTGCTACATGCTAACACAATTATTCACCTCAGTTTCGGTCACTCACTTCCGTCAGTGCATAATTGTTATTTATAAGGATTTGTACGGGAAAAAAATGCTGGATCGCGGGGCGTAAGACTCAAGAGACGAGTTCTGTTGAATGATATACATAGCTCTCCCCCCTACCGCCCTCCCCTTTATTCAAACAACCATAAAATCTGTCTTAAAAGCGTAAAAGCCAATCATTAGCTTGGCAGAAGGACTATATTTCTTATGTGGTATCTCGTAATTTTGTCATGAGAAGGGTCACGTCGCCACAGCGGCAAAGATGCTGATCGGAAACAAGACAGATTCAGAATGGCCAATTAGTCTTTCAGTTGATCCAAAAACTGTAGTAACAGCTTATGAAAAGTTGGAGGGTGATCAACGTAGCAAGAATGTGTCGTGTTTTTTATCATGTAAATCTTGCGTTGGGGAACGTAAAACAAACTATCAAGTGACGACGGTTTGAGCATTGTGTCGTCTTTCTCGCCAAACATGACCAGCAGCGGAACAGTAAGTTTTCGATAGTCACTGATTGAATAGTGTGATGTATCGGACGGTGCAATGGCTACTAATCCGCGGAGAACATGTGGATATGCCATAAGTAACGGCATAGCATACTCACCGCTTTTAGATGGAGACACTAAGACGGGCAGATGAAGCTTTAGGGCAGCTAATAAATTTGTCATGTATCCCAAGATTTCCTCGTGCGAGTAAGGTATATTTACATTATTGGAATTGCCGTGGCCTGGTAGATCTACAGCTAGAGCTCGATACCCCATTTCTGCTAAGATTTGAAATGTGCCAATATTAATCCATACAGCTGAAGTCATTCCATTTCCATGTAGGAACAAGACTGTAATCGTTTCTTTTGAACTGTTACTTGGTCTTGCCTCTCTATAGAACGTCATCCTTGCGTTCTCGAGGAAGCCCTCACTGTAAGAAAGCGTACCAGGTTTTGCACGCAGGACGTTCATCATTTCAACGTTCGGGCGAGTGTTTATAAGTGCGGTATGACCTGTTTCATGGTCTAAAGGCTTTTTGTTTAATCTCGCGTCTTGGTTTCGTTTATCACTAGTATTCGCTTCTTCCCCTGAAGGTTCACTGGAATCCATGTCCGTCTTTATCTCCGTTATTTCCTCTCTCTCGTCAACATTATCTTCCGTTTCCTTTTCATCATTTTCAGGAGGCGTAATATAATCGGCCGGCTCAGGCGTTTGTGTTTTGCTGTAATCGCTAACCATATGTTCATAATACTTGTCCACCAATGAAATTACTTTACTTTTAATATCTACCACAGGGTTTTGCCCAGTGTTGACGTAATACCAAGCAAAGATTATAATTAAAGCGGCAAAGAATATTACCAGCACGAATTTTAGCTTCATCTTGCTTCCACGTCTGAAAACGCACATAATTATTACTATGTTTTCCCTTCGGTTAAAAAATTAATTATTCCTGTTCATTCTAGACAAGTTAAATTCAGTTGTTAGGATACGACTCTTTTACGCATAGAATTTTTTCTGTTTAACATTACAAACAGAAACAAACAGAAAAGACTGAGAGGGTATTCTCCTATACTTTGTATATCTTTGGAGAGTATTCCTGTTAAAACAAAATGTTTTCTTGATTTAGCTGGAAAAAATTGTTTCTCGTTCCAGCCCCCTTCCTTTTTTTATAGCCGCCTTTTTTCTTTTTTTTTTTTTTTTTTTTTTTCATTATTTTCTTATTGCAAAAGTTGGAGCTCGAACCAAAACCAACAATCTTTACTCTAAACAATCCTGCGTAATAGGAATTGCTTTTCATAAAACGAAGCATTTATTAATTACTGAGTCGTTGTTTTTAATTCACCCTATGTTTTGGGAAATATTGTATGACGCATCACCTTCATGTATCAAAATACACCAAATTTGAGTTCAATTAATTATATTTGCCTGACGTTTCATTTATTAATAATTTGACTCAAGAATTCCAACTTATTCTTAAGGAAGGGTAATAATTAGTACTGTTATATTCCTAAACTTTCACTCAACTAAACAGGGAAAGCCATTGGCTGATTCTTGGTCACATGGCCTTTACTAAAATCAAATGTATCCCGATCGTGATACATTAAGCAATGTACCCCGCTCGGTATACATTACAGCACGTGATCAAGGCATGGTGGAAAGTGGCGTGACAGAAGGCGGGAAAAACACTGCCAGTTTTCTTTTTCGTGAATGAAGACAACAACACAAACATGAAGCCTCATGAAGCTAAAAAGCAACGATTTTCAAAGTTATACCAGAAGAGAAACAGCAGCTAGTGGAGGAAAAAGAGATAATGTAAGGAAAGTTCTTTGTAAATCATTCATTCACTGGTTTTGAGAATTAAAGTACCGAGTCCGCAGTCGACTGTTTTGATTCGCTCCGCTAAAGCGTATCCTTTTGTTGCTGTTGAAGTACGTTGAATTGAAAGTTTAGAAATATAACAGAACACTTAATGTCAGGTCCCTCGGGAAACGAGTTAGTTTTGTTTTCCCTCGAGTCCTGATGTTTCCGTCGACTTCGTCTCGGGAAACATCAGGACTAGGACTCTCGGGAAAACAAAACTAACTGTTTCCCTCGGGATCTGACATTAAGTGTATAAGGAAGCATTCGATTGGTAATGTTGAAAAATTCGTAAATAATAAAAAATGCGCCCGCCCGCTCTCTTTTAAGGAAGCTTTAGCAACGACGACGGCGACGGCAACGAGAACGGCAAAAACGCAATAGGTTTATATTAGCAAAACAACAACGGTTTGCACGTGCATCACGCTTTTGTGTACTTTTCTTTGCCGTCATTGCACGACTACAACATGAAACTGCCTAATTTCACGGTACGTTTTGTCGAGGACGGGAACACACGACAACGACTTTATTTTCATCACTTTAATATGTAATAGTTTAGTTATGTAATAGTTTACTACCAACTGGTCGCGGCCCTGGCTTTGCGATGTTAAAGTTGTGAAAATTGAGATTACGAAGTCATTACACAGACACCTCTGTAATAAGGACACTTGATTCTGTCCTTTGATGTCCAGGGTTTTAAGACTGTTTGACGGTATTTATATTTCTAACAATCGGAGGAAAACGTTTTATCCTAGCTACTCATGTAGGAATTTCAACCTGTCGGTCAACTTGATATCACTTGGTGTAAAGAAGAACAAACTCTGCTAAGCAGACAAAACGAGGACAACCGACGGACAGCGCTTTACTTCTCTTTGAAAAAGTTAAGCGCTTTTCAAAACAGGATTGCGATTACCCTGTTTATGGTCTGAACCGATTCGAACCTCTGTATCAAACAATCAGAATTCAAAATGAAACTGCAAACCTATATCCAGCGGTTAATTGATTGAACATGTTTTCCCTACCGCTTGGCACTGCCGGCTACGTTCTACACAGTTTTCCATTCTGAATTCGACACGCATGTAAATTTATTAACTCAAATATTTAAACGTACTACAAACTCTGATTCAGTATATTGCTACAGCAGGTGCCTCTGTTTTTTTTGTTTGTTTTTTTTTAAGGCACATTGATCGAGGCCGCTATCATGAAAGTCAACCTCCTCTTGGAATCATTTTTTGACTCGCCCCAACCCTCTGTCAGTTTTAACGTCCAAATCGTTCGCACTGCAAAATACGCTTGCTTTGCATGTTTTTTAAGGAACTGTTTGTAATTGAGTATCTCTGTGACCAGCAGAAATGTCCTTAATAGGCCGAGTCGACAAGAGGAGGTTTGATTTAATCCTGACTTGAAAGGAAAGTACGCAATTTTAGTACCCTTTTAACTGTTGTTTATTTACCAAAAACTGAAGATTCTTTGTACGAAAATCATTCACAACTTTCCAAAGTCTAGAAAATCTAAGAAGAATAATTAACTGATGCGAAGGCGCTTCTCGTCCCTGTAAGTTACAGTTCGTCTTTTGGTCTTGTCATCGTCTTGACTTTGTCTACAGCTTTCTTCATGGACCTTACAACTGTGAAAAAAGAAATAAGAGATAACCAAAATGGCTCTTGTAACTAATCATAAGTAACCTTTGTCCACTCAAACAATCCCAGAAATCGCTGCGCCGAATGCCTGAATATACCCATTCCCCTATAGTTTCTGGAGTGGCAGATATGGAGGTGTCAAGTGTAGATCTATCCAATAAAAACCTGTGTAAGTTAAAGCAATTTTAAAATTTTTTCGTGAAGTTTACATTTTAGTTGTAAGTATGGTAATGTAACTTGCGTTAATCATCTTAGTATTGTGATGGGTACAGCAAATCCTGATAGTTTCTGTATTGTATTGTACAGTGAACACGTAACGGTTCACAACTAACCCAAGATAGTCCGGCCCTACCTGCTGTTGGTTCCCAGTAGTAATACTTGCTCTCTTTGTAAACTGTTCCTGCATTAGAAATCTTCTCCATTACGTTACCCAAAGGATCTGTTATTCAAAAATTTAAAATCATTTACATAATAAGTTTTACACTGTACAAGAAATCTCTTCTTGTTACCTTAAGTTTACCCGGGATCAAACTAAGTTAAAAGAAAAAGGATCCCCTTCTCCCAGAGCGTTGAATTGTGGCTGCTCAAGTTACCTACAGAAAACAACGGATTGGTCAACATCTAATTGGGAGAGGGGGAAGGTCCAGACTGTTCTTTTCGCCAAACTAAATACCATTTCACTAAAGCGCGAAAGCGTCTCAACAATTTAGTCGCCGATTGTTGCTTTAAACCCTATATCATACCATTAGCAGTTGCACGGGAAAAAATTGAGCCCTCATTCTTTCAAGAACGACGTCGGATGCCATTTTCAATCTCGCTCATTAAACAGCATCCTTTATCTCCTTATAGTAGGGACTTTTTTATACTTCACTCTAGATTTACAGACGTTCGTGTGTAACTGTAGACACCCTGCCAGTAGTATAAGATCTTTTATCCCGTATCGAAAGAGAAGCGCGTTTTGTAAATTCTTTGTCACTATTCCTTTTTGCTTATTTTCTTAACGACGATGAGAAGGAGACAGTTGGCAGGAACCCAGCGTTGGTTTTTTGGTGTCGCTATTTTAATGGAATGCAGTCTGTTGAAACGAAGTTGAATAACGATGTTAATTGAGGCATGTTTCACTAGAAATACCAACCCATGAATAAGATTCGTGGAATATAAGCTCCATCGATCTCAAACTTCTTTGTGTGAACGTCAAATTCATCCTGTGAAGATTAAAACAAGCACAATTAAGGAACAGAATCCATTTATACAGTAGCAGCAGTGCTCAACTGGCTGGTGATACACCGTCACAAGGGTGAAAAATCGTACGAATTTATAAAACTTTTTTTCAGGAGATTCATTTTATTATTTGTATTGTTGCAAGTGCATTAATTATTTAATTGCTGTAGGGCTGAATACTCTTACTAAATGCACTTGCGTTGCATTCAAGTTGAATGCCTGATTGAATAGAGCAACGACCTTGAAAAATGGTTACGGTAAGTGTTCGTTATTTGTTTTATCAGCCAGTGGATGTAATGATCAAAACATAGACTTTTAGTTTTCCCGCGGAAAAAAAAACCCTAATATGGAGAAGGCGTTGCTCGATTGGCCAATTGTGTTGCAGTATGACGTCAACGCCAAGTATCGATTGATTTCTAGAAAGTTCTTGGGCATGAAATCTTTTCACCAGAGCGTTCGCTTATTAAACCAACCACTGGAAAGCCACGCGCGCTTGTATCCGTCCGATTAACCAATCAAATCGCTCTATTTCCGTTCGTTTGTTATTTCAGTCTTGTTCGTGCGTTTTCATTTCCAGGTCATACGAAAAAATCTTTCTAAGGAAACTATGAAGGCTCTAAAATAAGCACTGCTATACCCTTCTGAGACGTTGTCAATCATTCAGTTGTCAAAAGGCAGCAGAATTCAGTCTATACGTTAGCAGTTACAGTATTTTTCTCAGCTAGCGGCCAGCAGACCATGAAACTTACTCGCAGGTCGTCTACTTGACAATTTGCTTTCGGTTATCAGATGAATGGCACTCGTTGTTTAATAGAGAAAAGCCACTATCATTGAACGACAACATTAATTTACGGCTAAGAGAGCTAGATTAATTAAACATAGTAAACATTGTAAAAGTGATAATTAGTTTTTCACTTGCCTCCACATTAACCATGACGAGTTCGGTACTGAGTTCTTTTATCTTCTCAGATGCAGCAAATTTGGGCTTCAAAGCTGAAAAAAAAATACAATAAAGCCACACTGTCTTAGAAATTAGTCATCAACACTTTTGCATCGTAATTTGGCGTGGCAGACAACGTACCCCAGAATATTTTTGATGCGTCACGTTCATCCCCATGCTCGAAAACAAACATTTAAACACACTAGCTTCTGTTAACTCCTTATGTGTCAATTATTTTATTTTTCTATATTATGTAGTTTCCCTTGCAAGATGATATGATAAAGTTTCTCTTTCTTTTCCTAACAGCAAACACGAAGCACAGGAAATTTTTCGCTACATGTAAAGAAAACTAAGACAGTCTTGGATTCTAGATTCCACGTCCTGGATTCCGAATTTAAGTACTGGATTCCAGATTATTATCAGCGGAACTTGGATTCCGGATTCTTTGAGCTGTATTCCAGATTCATCAAGCAAAAACTTCCTGGATTCCGGAATACAGACTCCCTTACATGGGGTAAGATTTGGGTCCAATCGAAGTTTTTGGAGGCTGTGTGTATACTGACCCTGACAAGCGCTACACCAACTTTTGTGAATGAGCAAGAATATTGGCTTCCAACTACAAAAAAAAATAAATAAACATTATATAAATATGTCAGTTGGATTTCAATCTCAATCCTGCAGTTTGTCGTCACTTGCATTGGTTACCGTTGAAACAAAACCAGACACGAGAAGTACTGTACCTAATAAACATCCCTCGAGAAGAGTCAAATGATAGAAAAGAGAGACTACAGTAAACACCCGCTAATAAGAACCTGTGGGTTAAGGAACCTCTTGGCAGAAATTTGCCACTTTAATACCCAAAAATACAAGAACCTGTTTAGCCAAGCAAGATCAAGCGGGTTCTTATATGTGGGTTACAGTTAAATTATGATAAGCAATTTAACAAAAGAGTATAACTTTTCTTTTCAATAATCAGTTTTGTTAGGGTTATAATAATAAAATTGTGAATGAATAAAAAGTTAATTTATTTTTCTGGTAATCAACAATTTATTATCTCCTTTTAAGAACCCAAAATTAAGAACCTAATTAGCCTAAATTGACAATAAGTACTCCAAAATACAAGAACCTATAAGTAGGTTCTTATCAGCGGGTGTTTACTTTATTGATCTATTAGAATAGACTACCTAAGGATTACAAGATACGTTTTTTGCATCAAATGGAAACTCGGAAAAAATCCGAGCCCCAGATGGGATTCGAACCCACGACCCTCTGTGATCTAGTCGGATGCTCTAACCACTGAGCCACTGGCGACTCGATGGTGAGCAAGAGTGAAATGTGGGTCTTTGACTAGAACTGCATCACGCGGTCACATTGTCAAACCAGGACAAGTGCATGTGTGACTGTATGCAGTTGTGAGTCATGCATTCTTTCACAATTGCTCCCCATCTGGGGCTCGGATTTTTTCCGAGTTTCCGTTTGATTCAATTAACGTAACATGTTCTAAGGATTACATTACCTCTTTTTGGCCTCAGCGTAAGCATTGTCTAGCGTAATCCAGTTTATCCCTTTACCTAATCCTAAAACGTATTAAATTGATCAGTTTAATATTTTTCATAGTTTACTTTAAAGTTAAGTTTAAAGTAGCAAAAGAGCAACTAGCCCAAGATAATCCACACTGAACGTAAGGAAACCTGTCAGTAGAGGCAGCGTGGCCGAGTGGTTAGAGCGCTGGACTTGTAATTCAGAGGCCCCTAATTCAAGTCCCACCCTGACCGCCAGCTGAATTTGTTCTCGGTAGACTCGAGTTCAAATCCTCAACCATGCTTGTAAATAGCCAACTTGTTCGCCTCCTACCGTTGGGATTCTTAACCCTCTTAAGGCCAATTTGAATTGTTTGTTTCAAGCATTTGTTCGGCCCCACGAGCGTCTGTGCTATAAAATTAATACTGCCGAGGGTAAATAACGGAATTGTTATTATCATCATCATCATCATTATTATTATTATTGCAATACATATATTTCACTTAAAAGAAATAACATAATTACGCGCCTGTCTCATCGTTGAACTATATGAGCTCGCTGGACGAGTCAGTTTTAAAGATTAAGGGAGGTGTGTTAGAAAAGCACAAGATTAGTGCTTCCCACACTTACTTTCATTCCCGTTATGAAATGTCCCATAGATTTAAACCTTAGTTTTTGGAAGAACAGTATCTTGACTAATAGGTACAATATTTCATCTGCAAATCTAAAGGCTGGGAATACCTCTAAGCAAGACTTGATTCAGACCCTTGGAGGACTGAAAATGACTGCCTAATTTATGAAGCTCACCTTTATCAAGGGAAGGTGGCGGCTTTATAAGTTTCTTAAGAGCTGTCTTCATTGTGTATATCACTGTAAAAATAAATGAGACGGTAAAAAGATAACATCTGTTAGTCTATGTTGTTCTTTCTATGCAAGGAAGCAAATTGATGAGGTAATTGAAGCTAAAAGTATTTTGACGAAATAGAAACTTACTAAAAAAATTTGTCCAATTTGTGATTGTTTTCAAAGCCTTGTCTTTGCTTAACCTATAAGAAGTAGAGCTGAAATCGCACGTCGATTGTACGTCTGATTGCAGACAATTTCCCGTCTTTAGCGCTTGATGCATGTATTTTCTTTGAATTCTAACTGGTTTAGTTGGTCCAGTTTACGATCTTCATCTGGTAGCGTGATTGACTCGGGTAGTCATTTGGAAAAAGCTTTAATACGCGTTTTAACTATGTTTGACTCTGGAGGTGTTCGGAATCAGGGGCGACCCGATGGCCTTGTTGGAGATCAGAGTCATTTGAAATGTTTTACTTAAGAGAACTGCTAAACAGCTATTCATCATTGGAGATTTATGTACGGAGGCCAAGCCTATATCCCGTCCGACGCCCTTTCCTATTAAAACGTGTCAAAAAGGAGGCTTTATGTCCGATTTCTCTTAAAGAAGGGCGTGGCTGGGCACAGGTTGGTAGATACCCGGCAGTATTTTGTAAGCTTGGAAAAAAAGATGGTCTTGGCACTTACACTCTTCATCATCATTGTAAAAGAACTTGAACTTGATGAATTCCAGATCGTTGTTGTGCAGGTCTTTTTGCACTATTCCTTCATGATCTATGACAAAGTAACATCACGAATGTCAAAAATGAATGATAGACACCATATATGATTAATCTCGTTAACGGAAATACTCACTGAGGAAGAAGATTCGAGGGAAATATTTGCCGTCAACATCGAATTGTGCATCTTTTGGCTCTTCTTCGTCCTAACGAACAAAATCAACAAATTAGTTCAGTTGTTGTCTGCTGTTTTATATCTGGGGGAATAAAACAATTTCTAGCAGTCTAACGCTGAGTTTGTTGGTTTTCTTGCCTTAAGGTTTATTCATTTGTGTTTCGTGTGATGTACTTGATGTACATAATGTTTTAGCGTACTGATTGATCGTAATAGGGGGCTTAAAAAGTAAAGCCGCGCTGTTTCAAACTTTATCGCACTTATTCCATCTCGTTCAATTTATCAATTGTTGTCAATTTTCTCTGGAGTTGAATTCTAAAAGACTGTATCGATGTTCAGGAAAAGAAAAAGAAAGTCGTTGTCTTGTGTTCACGTCCTTTCATAAAACGTGAAATCAGGTATTTTCACGTCGTAGTCATGAAGTGACGGCAAAGAAATGTACAAAAAAAGCGTGATGCACGTGCAGAGCTGCTGTTTTGCCAATGGAAACGTATCGCTTTTTTGCCGTTCTCGTTGACGTCGCCGTCGTCGTTACTTAAGCTCCCTTTCGGCCAAGGAGCTTTTCAGTTGCAATTGAGGTAATTCATGGCGATAATTTCCGTGCACTTATTACCTCCACATTTATCATGACAAACTTCTTACTGAGCTCCGCGATCTGTTTAGATTCTGCCACAATTGGTTTCAAATCTGAAAAAGGAGAGATATTTTTAACACTGTTGTCCCAGGAGTGTTGTACTTACACATGATTCATGCAAGAAACATTATAATAATGTGACTTCAACTTACTTTTACAAGCTCCACACCATGACTTGTGTATAATGAACATCACTGGCTTCTCGCTGTGGAACGGAAACAGTTTTACTGCAAGATGTTTTCTAAAGATTACTGCTTATATTGAGATCCAGAGCAATGTCCTAACTTATGCTTCTGTTGATGATAAGCTAACGACAGTGACAGTAGGACAGTTGTGGTTTTGTTTTGGAAGTCTGATGTAAGAGCGGGTTATGCTGTAATTGGGAATCAAAACAGGATCTACTGCAGGTAAACTGTGTCTTGCTCAGTTTGCTTAAACCATACCTCTTCTTAGCTTCTTGCAGACCATCCTCCATAGTCATCCATTTAATATGCTTTCCAAATCCTGAAAGCAGTCATGTACAGTTTAATCTCACCAATAAAAGCGGCCTCCTTTCAGCAAAACAGCAGCCAGTGTGTACACGAAAAAACGGTTTCAGTCATTGCAGCATCCCACACAATTTTCGTTAATTTTTAGGCAGATTTAGTGACTCAACGCCAAAACCTGGCGGAAAGGACTGAACGCGACGTTTGGTGCTCAACTTGCGGCGCTGCCTTTGGTCAAGCCTGTTTTTAAACTGATTTGCGTGCGCTTTCGTCGCTGTAGCGGCATTGTCTTTGTCAGTTTCTGCTTACAATTGAGTAGTGCTTTCAGCATGCATCTTACAGTAGAGAGCCTCAATAAGGAAAAAGTATCATTAAAATTGCCTACTAAAAGTTAACCACATGAGGCGCAACAATTACCTTTATCTAAGGCTGCTGGTTCTGGTAAAAGCTTCTTCATGGATTTGACAACTGAAACCAGAATATAAATCGTTTAATCACCGACAAACAGGCAAAGAAAAAACTTCATAGCAAAAGATGGTTCACGAAGAGGATGATGGCTGTTTCAGATAGCGTTCAGGCTAAACGCCGAAGAGTGGGTAGTTCAGCCAAGTCCTGAGAATGGGGAGTGGTACCATTATAGGGTCTTTGACCTCTATGAAACTCCGAAGGCAGCGGAAACAGAGCTAGCTAGGGCCATAACAATGACTCAAAAATCGTTTTTCTCTGAGTAATACATGACGTTGATGACAATGCATTGCATTCAGGAATGTCGGTTGTTTCCATGATCAGGTTAGCTTTTCACTGAGTTTTCCCATTAACCTACACACAGCTTTAAGGTCCTTTATTCTAGATCTGCTTAGCCGAGGAGAATTTTGCGATATACTGAATAGTAGTTTACATGGCCTAATATAACGGTACCTTTTTAGATAGAGAATATAAATTCATGCTTGGCGGATGTGTAAACTCGCACAACCTCATGATGGTCAAAAAAGGCTGGTTTTCACTAGCGACTGAATCTGAGTCGGAATCGTAAGCGGAGTCGTAAAGCCCTTATGACCTTGTAAAAATCCTAAGCGGAGTCATAAGCTCTTCGGAATGGGAGTCGGAAGAGTCAGAACGTTTCCGTTTTCTGCCGACTCCGCTTATGACTCTATCGCTTCGTTCCGCTTATGATCGAGTGAATGCCAGATTGTCGTAGTCGGAAGCCGGAACGGAAGGATAAACCAATCACAATGAAAGTTCCCACGCTTTGTGATTGATTTAGTTCTTCTACTTCTTCTTGCGACTCCGACAACCTAGTTTTCTCTTGATCGTAAACGACGGAGTCGTATAATGCGGAATCAGAACCCTGTTTTCACTAGATCGTAAAGTTCTACGCGTCTGATTACGACTCCAACTCTGACTCCTTTGCTAGTGAAAACGATCCTAAAACTGAAGGGCCTCATAAATATAAAGCCGCCTTTTGCTTGCTGCATTTTCTCGTAAAGAGACGCATTAATACAATTCTTGGCTTGGTAATAAAAAATGTGTTTTTGATCTAACAGGGTACCCAAGCCGTAAACACAAAATATTTCCTCAAACTTACTTTCTTCAGGTGTCTTGTAGAAAAACTTTGTTTTATCAAGGTCAGTGTCTTCATTGTCAATTTCCTTCTTCAAATTTCCATCCGAATCTGTTGAAATAATGTCCAAATAAGCGTGTTAATGAATGGAATTTTCTGGTTTAACTTGCTCTCTGACCACAGTAAAGGAGACCTGTCTGAAGATGTAAACAACAATGCTGCAGTTTATGTTGGGGGATTAAACATCCCGACCTCTGTCTGTTGCTCACAAATCATGTTTGAGTTATTTTAGTGAGACTTTTCTATAGACCAGTAGGCACAGGACAGCGTGCACGCAGTCAAGTCCAAAAAAGCTAACAAAAACATTAAACATGGACACTGTCTCGGCAATATAATCAGTGCGTTTATTAACTATGCAGAAAAAATCTGCTGCTTCGCCAAAGGTCTCCTACCCTTTCTTATAATTGAATCTTGATATATGAACTATAGAGTATTTTAGTATTACCTAGGAAAACAATCCTTGGCACATATGAGCCGTCTACGTCGAATCTGCCATCCTTCGGTATTTCATCGTCCTAGAGAAAAAGTGACGCAAGAATTTCTGAGCTATGACTCACAGGGCCGCAAAGGGGAGCAATTATAAATGTGTACCAAGTCTGTCAAGATATATCACATTGAATAGTTGTTGTTAATCGCCTCATAGATCAGTCTGACTCCTACCTCAAGGTTAACCAAGATGAAGTTTTTACTAAGTTCCTCAATTTTCTTTGACTCGGCAATTTTGGGTTTCAATTCTGCAAAAGAAAATTTACAAGCAATCAAATTCTGCCAGCTATAATGCGGGACGGTATGAGAACGCTCAGGTTGAAGAGCTGAATGCGCTGAACTGATGTGGCCAGAGTGTTACCAGTCCCTGGGCGGGCGGTCAGATAAGTGTTAGCAGTTTGTCCCGCTCGTTCGATGGTAGGGACTTTAAGATCCTACGACGCGACGGCGACAAGAACGTCGCTTAAAAAGTGAATTTGTGTTCCTTCAGTCTTTATAGCGATTATTCCTATTAGTCAATTGCGAACCCTCCTGAAGCTTTTTTAGTCAAATTCAAGCTCAGAAAGAGAAAGAAAATTGCGCTGTTGCTTGTTTACGTCCTCCATAAAACGCGAAAGTAGGCATTTTCACGTCGTAGTCGTGCAAAAACAGGAAAGAAATGGATGGATTGGATCTTAAAGTCCCGACAATCCTGAGGGACTTCCAGCAATCTATACTGGGTCTTACTTTGACTTAGCTGACACCAGCTCCTATGCAACACCATCATAATGAGCTTATTTCTGAAATGAAAATAACAAACAAACAAACAAACGGTAAAATAATTTTAACAAATTAGTTATTGATTCTTAGGTTATTTTTTATTCGCCGGTGAAAACTTGTTTGTCAATCTCGTCCCTATGGCTTTTCCCTTGTTAAAAAGACCTCCTTGCGAGGTTGGGTAAAATATGTGTGGGCTGATCTGCTATTGGGGTTCTTTCGCGCTTCTACCACCCAAACACACCCCTCCCCTCAAAGAAAAATCTGATCGCATGTTGAACGACGGCAAATGAGTGCATAGTTCAGTCTTGTGGAGTCATTGTTCTACGTTGGATTCCCATTAAAAACATATACGAACAAAACGAAGTAAAGCTAAAAGGCCTAGGTATCTTGATTTCTGAATACTAAAGGATACTACACAGCCGAGGAACGACTCTTTTGGTTGTTAGTTATGTCTTGTACTTACGATTGTTTTGCTTCTTTGAGAGCATGGTCAAGTTTCTGCCATTTCAGATGAGAGCCAAAACCTAGCGGAATAAATTAAAATTAAATCCATGAATACAACAAAGTTGTTTGAATAGCCATTACAAAGTTCTTTTGAGTGTTTCAAATAGTCTTTGGGCTGATAGCAAAATTTAACGTTTGCCAACGTCGTTCCCGCGCAACGAGAAGACCAGAGAGCCTTATAGCGAGGAGGTAACGTTTACTGGTATTGGTAGGAGCCATAATCGGGGTTGGAGACCGCAAGCCGCGAGGTACACGCGGTTTCATCGAAATAGCCAAATGTGCTAATTTTAGAACAAACTGCGAGGCTCTCATGTGGAATTTCAGGAGATTGGGGTCGTCTTACTACTTTATTTGAGTGCTCTCTTAACTTTCCAAGTGCTTAATATCTCGATATACAATGCATGCACAGTGGAAGAATGAGCCAATGTTATATAAGCATTACTAGAAATACGTTTATCGCGAAAACCTCGTGAAGCTGTAATGGGCCAACAGTAAGAATAAAGGGAAACAAGCCAAAGGGGGAAAATATGATTTAAAAAACAAAAAATAAATAACTAAAACGAAAAATTGTACAACGAAGAAAAAACCAGCTAAGCGGAGACTCGAACCTGGGCCATCTGCACGGAAGATGGGCTTCCAGATTGGAGTTACCTACCTCTGTCTGCCGAAATACTCTCATCCACTCCTTTCTGGAGAACTTTCTTCATTACAGCAACAACTACAATGTAAAAACTCGGAATTAAAACTTAACCTGAATAAAATACAAATTAATAACTTGAAAAATTAGAGTAAAGCTGTTACAAATATAGAATGTTTTTAAATAGCCTGCGTAGGTAGCGTTTCCGCGCGAATATTGAAGGACGAAAAAGCCCTTTTCGGCATTTCATAATCACCATAGTTTTAACCTTACTTTGATCAGGTTCCCCGTAAGCGTACTTGTATTCATCAAACGTGGGATCCGTGTTGTGGTATTCTTTCATTATCTGTTTTGTGAAAGGATCTGACAAAAAAAAAGCAAGATCAATACCAAAGTCGACTGGCAAGGATTTGTAATGGCGGCATAAAATATTTGCGATTTGAACCAATTCATCAAATTTAGTGGTTAGCTGTTTGTTCTGACTGAGCTTTCCTCCCAGGGAAATTAGCCTTTTCGGATCCGTTTAACCACGGAAAGGAGTGCATTCAAGTCCTGGTTTCTTAGTATTTCAAAATTTGTCGGAGCTGAGTTATGGTTATTATGTAAATGCAGCAAATAAAGTTTAAAATACATGGCAAATGTATCGGCCATATCAGCAACGTTGAAAATTGGTAACAAGACGACATGGGTCTTTCCCTTTTTAGCAAAATAGAAATGGACTAAAAAAATGTCATACCTATGAAAAACATTCTTGGCGCGTAAGCACCATCCACATCATACTTTTCTGCTTCCTTGCCACTGTCATCCTATGCCCAGAAATATATTTTAAAAAATGTTGAAAGTGGAAGAAAAAGTAAAGTCATTGATATTATTTTGAAGCAAAATCTTTGAACCCTGACTTTCGTGAAAGCGATTTTTGAAGCTGTATTAAAAGGCTATACACGAAATCGATACCTTCACGACAAACAGCCGCGACAAAATGTAAAATCAAAGCTGTTAGTGTTTATTGGTCCGCCTGAGTTTCTGTCAGCCTTACTTTACATCTCCGCTAGTAGCGAAAATGTGAAACGATATGCTTCTGTTCAGAGCTAAAACTTGGCCAGCTAAAAGTACAATATAATTATACAACATCTAGATCAAGGCAAACGTTCATGGCTGCAAGTAATCTAGTCATCCACTGACTACAGACGTTTTTCGCTCCTTTCTTACCTCAACGTTGACCATGACAAACCGCTTGCTAATTTCGGTAATTTCACTGAACTTTGCAAACTTCTTTTTTAAAGCTAAGGAAAAAATATGACCAGTAAGTTAAGCTACGGTAAAACCGGCAATTTGTCTTACAACCTGCTGCAAACGAGTCGAAAGCAATGTTGGCGTTTTACCGCTCACGTTGAAACCTGTCTCGCAAACAATCAGGTATTAACGTTGTTGCAGGTTGGAAAAAGTTGTTGTACAAAGAAGAGAGTAGTTCTCCAGTTTTGCTCTCATTAATTAGAGTTTGATTTTAGCGGTGGCGGTTTCTAATAACCATAGCAACAATGTTTTAATTTTAAGTCCATACTGTAGAACGAAACTTTTAAATTTTAGGTTTTAAGAATTGAAACGAAGAGTATTTTCAAGCAAATCATCTATTAACACAAACTGACAATTGTAAGTGGCTATTTTTGAGGTTAGCAAGTAGTGTACTAAAAGTTAGTTTTATTTTTTATGGTATAAAAGATTTTTATGATAAAGAAAGCTAAGAAATCTGCTAATTTGTATCCTTTTGTTCGAAAATCGTAAGATCTGAGACCAATGCAAACGTATCTTACTATAGCGATGTCTTTTTAAAGTCAATCAGAACGTTCTCGTCAGTCCACTGGTACATTAAATCAACCGTGTGCTGTTCTTACCTTTGCAAGCCCCGCACCACGATTTATGGATTATCAACATGATGGGTTTGTTTCTGCAAGCAGAAAAGCAAAAGTACATAAAATATCAGTGTTATCCCAAATTAATTTTTGTACCAAAAACTTTAACATTTCACGATAATTAACCATCTGGTACAAATTTTAGCGCGCTCTGTTAATAACCAGCGTTTGAAACACTTTACACGTCTTCTCCGTGGCCAAGTAACCACTTCAGTCTGACTCAGAATATCATTTTGTGCGTGCGTGTGTGTGTTCCAAACTGGAGTCCATCGCGGTACCCCACCCCTCCATGGCTTGAAACAAGGTTATCGAAACGAGATCATTGACCTGTTTGACTGTCTTACCCAACTTTTTCCGTTTCAAAGCTTTCGTCAAGTGAACTCCATTCGATATCATTGCCCCATCCTGTAAAAAAGGTGAATACTTTAAAGCCAAAATAATATTCATTACATACATGTCAAATGTCGTTGAAACATTAGAACAAAATTCTCAAGAAAATGGCGCCACATATACTCAATTCACAATTTTGCAAACGGTCGTATCCCTTACTTGAGAAATAACAGATTTTATGATTTAAGGCCGGTTGCCGAACGTTGAAGTGCTTAAGAAAAATTTAAACCTTTTTACCGTTATCTGAGACTGTACTAGTTTGGCCCTCTTGCTTCAATGCTTTCTTCATAGCTTTGACCACTGCATAAGAAAAAAAAAAAGAAATCATTGATTTATTAATAAAAGTAGGTTCCAATATGAATATTTGACAATTATTCCTCGAGCCCGAATGGGCTCTGAGTCAAAAGCCCATGAGGCCGAAGGCCGGATGGGCTATTGACTCAGAGGGCCATGATTAGTAAAATCCCACTAGTTGCTCAAAAATATCGAGACAAAACAACTTAAGCTATCAAAACGCGATTCAGCCGCCATTGTTTTGGTTTTCAAAGCCGGCGCTTTTCGCTACTAGTGGGCTATAACATATAGCCTAGTAGTAGCTCAACCAATCAGAACGCAGCATAGACTACTCAGAGTTGGATTTTACTAATATGAATTATGAATTCACTTTTATCCGGATTTTAAGTTTAAAATTTTGCTCATAGTTAAATTTACCGGATAGATGAATCTGTTCAAGTCTATAACGTGAATATTATGTCTTTTCGTTTCCGCTGATATCTCTTCTAAAAGTGTTGAACTTTGAAAGTGCCACTTACATTCGTCTCCATCCTGGTAATAATATTTTACATGTTTGTGTTTAGTTCCCTCGTTCCATAGTTCCTTCTCCACATTTCCATTTGAATCTGCAATAAAACGAGTGATGGTTAGACTTGAATCATCATCTACATGAAAACGTTTAATCATCAAGATTTTCCCCTTGCTACAACGCATAGCTTAATTATTGGCGAAGAAGAGGGAATCAGGGCACAATCTTTTTCATCACTTTATTTTCAAGCATCAAGAGAAGTCTAGTACAAAACCACTTGGCATGGATGTATTTAAAGTCTTTCTTTTCTCTTCTCGTCAACTGAAATACTTTGTTAACGGCTTTGATCCTTGGCCTTGTTACTTGGGCTTCTTGTGAAATGTCCAAGTTTAAATATGTAGAGCGTTAGTCTTCTTCACAAACCTACAATCAGATTCTAATCTCTGGCGCTTGTGCTATGTGCAGTTAAGACGGAGGACGACTCTTTCTGATCAATAAATGCCAAAACTAATACTTATATGCTTCTAGCACGCATGCTTGGTTATTTTCACTGAACTGCTCTGAGAACATTACGACCCAAGTATACGCTACGGAAGCGCCTTGCGTGACATATTATTCCAGCGGATCAATTGCTTCGCCACGTCAGTGTTCAATGACCTTGGACAAACAATATATGAGGGTAAGATGTGAGAAACATAGCAGATGGTAATTAATGGTTCTCTTCCCCAGTCTCATGATAGATCTGAGTGGGATTCTAATGTTACTGTACATGACATCTAGCCGGATTTTCGAAAACGTCACCGCCAAATAGATCTCTTCCGTCAAGCATTTTTCTTCGGCCAAAAACTCTCCAAAGGAGCTAATATAAAAAAAATCAGAGTGTAACCATTGCTTTTTTTTCTCTTCTTCTCCCTTATTCCCCCTCGTTCTTTCTTTTTCTCCTTTTCTTTTCCTTCGCTAGTGTGATTTCGGGCTAATCGGGCGCAAAAAACCCCGGCTTTTGGTTCTTTTTCACACAAATGACTGCAAATTCCGTTGGGTTCGTTCTCGAAAAATCGGCTAGATATACGGTAAATTTTGCTTGTTGATGTTTCTCCAGTGTTCTTACCTAAAAAGAAAATCCTTGGAACATATTTCCCGTCCACATCAAACTGATCTCCCTTTGGCTCGTCACCATCTTCTGTGTTAACCATCACAAATTTCTTGCTGAGTTCGGCAAATGTCTTGTGTTTGGCCAGAATGGGTTTCAAGGCTATATTTTGGATTTTAAAATATTATTAGCTGTGAAATTTTCTTTTGAACCTGAAATCTGCTGTTTGGAACGTTTTTAACCACTTTCTTGAAATAGACGAGTACTAGTGCCTAACGTAGCAAAGCATTCTTACCTTTACATGAACTGCACCAAGATTTATGAATGATCAAAAGCATCTTCTTGTTACTGTGGAATCAGAGTAGGGAAAAATAACCAAAGAATGGTGTGACACACAAACAAGAATCAATTTTTTATAATTCATAATATCAATGGTCGTATTCGTGTGAAAACGAAAAGGGCTGTCAAAAATGGAGTCATCTATGATTTATTTGTTTTTTGTTGATGACACTTACAGATATGAAGCAGCAATATACGTTTTCTCCCTTTTTGCCGTTTAAATTTCCGCTCAGTCACTTAAAAAGAGATGCAAATTTTCATTTGAATTCTCTATTTTCGAATTCCTCATAACACACTCTGTCTAAAATATTGTTTCCAAGTGCTCCTGGGAATTTCTCGAGAACATTTGAAACAAAATAAGTTACGGAACATTGGGGGGGGAATTGAGTGCATCATGGGCGATTCGAAAATAATCAATAGAGGGTAGACATAAGTTTCCTTCTGTATAAGAAGGGTATCTGAAGTGCACCACATCGCTTCAATTAACGCTTGGAATACAGAACTACTCTATCATTTCGGAAGTCTCTGACTCAAACTGCATTTGAAATGTCAAACCTCTTTTTAGCTTCTTTTAATCCCTGCTCGTACGACATCCAATTGATGTGACCGCCAAAACCTATTGTAAAGAATATTAGATAGGTTACACTAGTACCGATGAATTTCTATATCCTAGCAGAAGCATTACTTGATTGAACACATGGAACGGTATACAAATTTAATCGAAATTTTAAGAGAATATGAATGCTATTGTTACGGAACCTTTAGACAAATCTTCTTTCAAATCTTTTGGTTTCCACCAAGGATCTTTGTCTTCTTTGTCTACTTGTTGCTCTTCTTTGCCGATTTCTGAAGTTAAACAGATAAAAAAATACAAGAAGAAGATGCAGTATTTAAGTTTGTTCGGCTGAAATGAAACAATCAATTGGTAACATTTCAACCGAGCATCAAATTCCATACCTACAAATCCCGTTTCCTTCATCTTTAGAGCCCTCTTCATCGCTGCTATCACTGCAAGAGATAAATAAACGCAAATTTTGTTATTTAGCAATTGTTGGACGAGGCTGAGTATGATATGACAAATTATGCAGACTGAGGAGGGTATTAGCCGCCGAAGCCGTAAAGCCTCCCGTCTTCATGACATTGAGTGTTCCTCGGGAGTTTCAGGTTATGAAAGGATGCTTATTTCAGCCAGGCATTGCAATGTTTTTAGGCAGTAGTTCGGCCATTTTGTCTCCTTCCACCATTTTTTCCAGAACAGCTGAGCCATCCACCTTCTGCCGACCCTTTTCTGTCGATATGTGTGGAATTGACGTCAATTTGGGCTGCTGGTTATGAAGAATAATCGGAGAATAAGTCGGTGGATTTGAGCCAATCACAGAAGGGGAATATTTTAAATGAATGATAACTACAGTTTACACTTATAACCAGTCACCTCGTGAGGTACCAAACTAAAGTTACGTTGAACATGCTTCACGGTATCTTGCCTAGATAAGTACATTTATATATTTGGTCAAAAAGATGATAGCTCAAGTTTTTACTTTAATTTCAAAAACATATTTGAGAGAAAAAGCTTCATCATGATATGTTACTGTCTTAGACTAAGGCAGGAAAGACAGAAACAAGTATACAAAAATTGAAGGCCTTCATTGTACTAAGGGAAAAAAGATTTTTTCCATTCTAGGCAATAAGAAAATGAGAATCATTTAAGCTTTGTTAGCATACATTCCTGCGGTCCGCTGTAGTAATATTTAACGTGGGGATGCTTGGTTCCTTCGTTCCAAATCTCATCAATAACTTTTCCTTCAGGATCTATACAAGGAGAGATGACAAAAGTACAGCTAGTCTTGGCAAATAATGACTGATTTTCCATTTCTTTGGGAAAAGTCAGTTTGACCGGGCAAAAAGGCCATCGAGCAATGTTTCAACATCTTAAGTTGAGATGTTTAGTTGCAACTACCTTTGCATGATGTGAGTGAGTGAGAATCTTTCCAGTTTTAAATCCCAGGGTTTGTATGGGACTGAATGCAAACGGCCGTGTTCAGAAAGAGCCAGTAATACTAACAGAAAAGGCTGAATGCTTTACATTATCTTCATGTTTTCTGTATTGCGTGTTAGTCACGTTTTAAATAATTCAGAGCTATTCCATGCCAGCTAAGTTATAGTCGCTCTTATGTGCTTTACTTTTATTACTCTTAAAGAGAGGACATCGATCAGAACTTTCAGTTGGGAAACGATTCTTAAAAGCACCGATTTATGAGTTAACTTACTCTAAGTCGGAGGCTTTAATTTGCAAGCTTTAAGGTGTAACTAATAGTTCCGTAACTCGGACCCTAATCCAAACACTTCAATAATGCACCTTTATCTTCATCTGCAAATGGGAGAGCAAGGGTGGCGCATTGGTGAGAGCACTCGCCTCCCACCAATGTGGGATCAATTCCCGGCGTCGACGCCATATGTGGGTTGATCAAGTTTGTTGTTGGTTCTCTCCTTTGCTCCGAGAGGTTTTTCTTCGGGTCAGTCCGGTTTTCCCCTCTCCTCAAAATCCAGGATTTTCAAATTCCAGTTCGACCAGGAATCAGGTAGACGAAGAGCCACACTTGGTGGATATGCTACCTCTAAATCGTAGTTATTATTTATTTGTTCAAATTACACCCAGCAGTCAGTGAAGAAAGGAAACTGAATTTGGTTATACATCCTAAGGAATAGGTATCCAAGAATATAGTTTTATTTGCTCCAAACCAATTAAATCCGTTTCTTTTCAGTAACTTATAATTAACTTACTTAGGAATAACACTCTTGGAATGTACTCTCCGTCCACTATAAACTGACTTCCCTTTGGTTCTTCTTCATCCTCTGTGTTAACCATCACAAAGTGTCTACTCATTTGCGCAAACTCCTTTGAGGCGGCAAGTTTGGGCTTTAATGCTGCAAGGCATTTTATAATGGCAAGAAGTTAACCCTTCAATTCCTACCAATTAAACTTATCATTTCATTTTTTATAAAACTTTACCTTTGCACGAGCCGCACCATGTTTTGTGAATGAGAAGTAACATCAATTTATCACTGAAAGAAAAAGATCGCCAGTGTGTCATGATCTATTTATAGCAAGTCGCCACCTTAGGAACTGGGTCGAGTTAACTTTCGCAAAGACTTGTGGGGCTGTTACTAGGGGCAAGAAAAAAATTAGCCAATAGCTGATCGGCGCGTGCCATTAACGATCCCAGAAACAATTGCGGGACACATTTTGGCTCCAGTAATCCATGGCCAGTTCTCTTCGCGTTTCTACAGTGGCGAATTAGCACATCTCTGATGTCATCTGCCAAAATAGGATTATCCTCTCTAACAGCTACCTATCTGCTCGAACAGGCCATTCCCACGATGACATCATTTTACTCAGCTGCTACCAGAATCCTTCACGGTTTTGGTTTCTTGTGCAAATTATTGCTTTTTTCTTTTTTATCTAAATCTTACTGGGATTAATTACCAGATTTGAAGTGAAAGAAAAGACCAAATCAATTCTGGTCTTAGTAGTAAACAGACGTCATCATACAATTGGCCTATTGGTGCTATTTACAGTAAAGAGTAAAGAATAATCAATCACCGAGTTTATGAATTTTAAGATCGAAGAAATATTACAACAATATTACAACAACAAATAAAACTGATTGCATGTAAAAAAGATATGTGCACGATAAGAGCATGTTCTTTACCTCTTCTTTATTTGTTCAAGTCCATCTTCAAACGTAACCCACGCTATGCTGTCACCAAACCCTGTGTTACAAGGCGTTAATCAGTGGCTATTAGGGAGCTTAAGCAACAGCGTTTTTGAGCGACGGACGTCAACCGGAAGTGGACTTTTTGCATCATTGGGGAGGGGTTCTGTTGAAAATCTTGGGTAAATCGTTTTATAAGAATCAAATTTGGCGTCAAGGCATATGAGAAGGGAGAAGACCTCACTTCTGGTCGACGTGCGTCGCTCAAAAACGTCTTTGCTTAAGTTCGCTATTAGCTAGGTGCTACTTCGTTGTTTGTTATTAATGGTTCTTTGATATAAATGTACCCATTATAAAGGTTCTACTCCCCTTTAACCACTTGTTAACGTTATTCAAACGATTCTTGGAGTAAAGAATCGCAGGTGGAGTTGAGGGAACGGAGGCGGCTTCCCTTGGGGAATGGTAAGGTGACCGTTATATACAGGGTAACCGCTATATACAGGTCAACTTTGCAGAAAATATAAGGCAACTGAAAATTTTGGGAAGTTCCTTGGTGACCGTAATATACAGAGTGACCTGCTATACACAGGGCCGTTATATACAGGTTTGACTGTAAGTAAGTAAGACCACCACCCAAATCGTTTCCTCCGCCCGAGAACACATAAACAGCGAACGAATCAGTGACGACTCCCTGAAAAGTGTAACAAAAAACAACATGTTTTTTACATATATGGTGCAAATTGCCTGTGCTTTTTCATTCTTTCAAGAAGTAAGAGAGTTTGTCTCAACAACCTGGTTTGGTACCACAAGCCAGGCTGCTAAAACTGGGATACTTCCAACAAACTGAGCTTATAGTGATTTGTCATCATCACATCATTATTTTCATGTTAAATCGAATAGAAAGTGGCTTTGAATGTCTTCAGGTCACGTCCGAAACGCTCTAGTCATAGTCGCGTACGGAGGAGCATCACGTGACAACCCTTAAAACGGCTGCGAAGGAGACTATATTTTAACGAAAGATGTTTGAGAATCGCACGGGTCATCATCACTGATTAGCCCACTTTCGAGCGCGAGTTGCTCTGAGCCCCTTCATCAGAGTGGCCTGGTGCATAAGTAAACGTACAAAAAATGAGTTACATTGCTAGTACCGTATTTATTCGTTTAAATGCCGGCCTCGAATAAAAGTCATGATGCGGCGTTTATTTCAATAATAGACTCAAAAAGCAAAGGCAGTAATAATCAAGTCTGAGGAACCCGGCCTTTATTTTCCTTGATTGTAACAATGTTTTAAGATCAGGACGTTCGAAGCTCAAAGGAATATAATCAAAAGACGAGAGCAGCATACGATAGTTCAGCTTAATCATGCTTTGGAAACTTGCTTTCATTGATAACAATGTTCTTCAGTTCCATACTATTGTTTGCAATAAATAAATTGGATTTGAAATAAACGACGCCCTCTTATAAACGCCGCTCTCGAATAAACGCCGCACTCGAATCACGAAAAATTTCATAAACGCCGCGGTGTCGAATCGACTCAAATACGATAAAACTATTTTGCCACGACTTTCTTTGAAAGAAAAGAAGCTAAAGGCAACTCGGAAATGGCCTACTTAAGGAGTTTAATGCCATTATGGCAACCTAATTAAGTCGCTACTCTTTCTCTCGGTTTTCAAGAGCCTCGATCGAGCTTGCGTGAGCCTCTTTGAACGCCTGTGAACTAAGCACTTCCAGGTGAACCGTGGAGCAGTTATCGTGTACCTCCCTGGCCCTAGTTGTACAGCGCTATCATCCAGTGGATAGCGCTATCCGACAACATTTGAACAACTAGCGCCTAGACAACAGAGCTAGTAACACCGATTAAGACTTACCTCTTGCAAGAAAGTTGTTCTCTATTATCTCTGGTTCTTCTTCGACTTCTTTTGAAGCGTCGCCTCCACCGATTTTCAGGACTGACTTCATACTATCAACAACTAAAGTATGCACATGGCATTCAAAGTTTAAAGTTAAGCAGACAAATTCCGACAGATGATTTGTAGTCCGTGTCTATTTTGATGAAACTGACTTGACTGATAAACGAGCTCGAGGTCTTACTTAGTCTGTTCTCATATCCCGAGAAGCCGGTCACGAGTAAGCGGCGCAGTTTACGCAGAAGCCTGTGTGGCAGAAGTTCGAAAGAGAAGGGTAGGGAATTTGGGCGGAAGACTGCGCTCGAGGGAGAAGGGAGGAGGGGAGGGGATTTCCTTCCCTCCCCCTCGCGAGCTTTTTGCGCTTTTTGCGTGCCCGGAATCCCCTTGCCTTTCAAACGCCTGCTAAGGAGCCTAGTTACGCAGTTAGGTGTACTTGGTGCTAACATAAGTATCAGGACTTCATTAGGGAAATAAGGGAGACTGGATATTTGAAAAGACGACGTCGACTGGGCCAGCTCAGGCTAGCTTAACTTTGCCGTAACCTTAGAGCGTTAAAAAAAATTGCGCTAGTTATTTCCTGCTGCATATAGCCTGCATATCAGTCGTTTCTGTTTCCTTTTGATCAAGCAGGGGAAGCTCTAATGAATTGAATTAAATTTATCCTCACTTACTTTCAGAAGTTTTTCCATAGTAGTATTTGGTATCTTTATGCTTTCCGTTTTTGTTGTAGACATCTTTCATTACCTCTCCATCATGTGCTGAAGAATGAAATTAAACTTCATTGAAGAACGTCAGCTTTTTAATCTTTTCATGCAACCTCGTCCCCAGGGTTATCTCTCTTCCTCGCGGCAAGAGAGAGAACGCGGGGACGAGGCTGCTTTTCAAGGTGGTAAATTGACCTTGTCAACCCAGTTAATAAGACCAATTTTTTGCGTCAACTTACAAAGAAACAGAATCCTTGGGATGTATCTTCCGTCTGGCCGATATTTTTCGTCCTTGGGTTCTTCTTCATCCTAAAAACAAGTACGGTTCAGAAATTGCCTCTTCTAGCACTACATAACTTTTTTCAGCCATAATGTTTGAGAGTATGTTCATTTTACAAGATTATTTATTTCTGTAGTAGAGTTTATAATGGAAGAAAAATCTAGGGTAAACATGATAAATGCCACATTTGCTTTTATATTTATAAACCCGTGTTTTTGGTACGCACGTGTGGCATTTACCATCTTTGTCCCATCAGTTTGCTCCTCAGTTTTTACATAAGCTTTGCGACATATTTGCCAGCAGGAGCAAATTTGTGCAAATTCATTTTTTTGTCGAGGCTACCCTCGCCTTATCACTTCTCACTATCCAATTTTTGTAATTACTTCTAGTTGTAACTGTTCCTTAATTTAACGGGTCCTTTTCTTAACTATTGTCAGAACATATATCCGTTTCTTTTTCATCATAAACAAATCTTATTGTCTTACCTCCAAATTCACCATAACAAAGTTTTTACTGAAATCTGCAATTTCCTGCGACTCCGCAAATGCTGGTTTTAATGCTGCAAAGGTTATATTAATTAATAGTGAGTGAGATCATTTTGTTGAATGTTCCAACGTTCTTTCTTTCTCTCTGTTTGCTGAAAGAGGCTACAGCAAATTAAGATTAATATAGCGAAGAATATTATCAAGATTACCTTTGCATGCCCCACACCAAGTCTTGTGAATAAGCAGCATCAATGGCTTATTGCTATCAGAAGAAAAAAACCGTAAGATCGATTGGTATTTTCAGATCTAAAATGGACGTCCAGACGTATTAAACGTCTGACTGTTAAGTAACGGCTAATTCATCTGTTAAGTGCGTCGATCGGACTTAACTTCGGACGTTTTATTCATCTGAGGTTTAATGGTCTGCCTTATTTCCCGTATTTATACTAGACGTCTAAGTCGTCTAAGACGTCCTCTAGTATAAATACGGCTAATGTACGTTGATAAGGATCGTTTGATTTTGTTTGTTTGTTTTTCTTTTACTTATAGCCTCCAAAATCAAACTGGCAAGTCTTTCGATTGACAACGCGAACGGAACGTTTTTTACCGGCTTACTTACGGATATAGGTTATGTTTGGCCGAAACAGTAGAGAAGAAGAGAAACAAAGTAAACAAACAAAAATTAAAACTTGCGTGGGCGCTTCATATTCAGTCATCTCCATCAAAGCAAACCTGTAAGTCATGATGACGTGCAAAAGAACTGACGGCAACTGAATGTAAAACTGCCCTAGTGAGGTTAGCTGTAACAAAGTTTCAACTTTCGATATAATTTAATCTTTTAAAACTTCCCACTCCAACAGCTTTTCCGTTCTCGTTTGTTGTTTAAAAACGTTTTGCGCACCGGCGGTTTTTCAGCCGATAAAACAGTTGAAAACCAGAGGAGAAACGCTACAAATATAGATCCATTATTAGAAAATTTATTTATCATACGAAAAAAATGATAGAAAAAACCTTTCACCCAAAACAAATAAATGGTTTAATGAATGATGGTTGCAACCTGTTTTTTGGCAGTTTAGAGCGTTCTAGCAAAGTATAATAAAATCTTCTCATGCAAAGCGTGATTATTGAGAAAATAAAAGTAAATAAAAATACTTCATTGCGGCTGGAGGTTGTTTCTCCCTGGCTGGAATGCAGTTTAGTTACTTTTAGTATATTAACATAGACAGCAAATTTGTTTTACGGTTCGGTCACTTTCACCGTGATTGCAAGCCGCTGTGTCAGACTGAGAAGTTAATAACAATTTAATAACACGTGATTTGGATTGAAGTTGTTCCAGTTGAAAATTGGAAAAGAAAGCACCAACTGATTATTTGTTTTAATGGCCTCCTGCTTTTGCCAGTTTCTACAACCAATAACGACTCACTGACAATTCACTATAAATCCTCTGATACAAGTGACTTTAAAAAATGACCACTGAACACTGAAATGGCTCATGTTGAAACGATTTAATGTCTAAACTTGCAAATTAGGCTTTACTGGGCAGCGAGTGAATGTGAGCTGTAGGTCCATGTCTAAATCTTGAGTCAAAACGAGCACTCACTGGCTTTGGCTCTTAACTTCTTACGATTTCAAAAGCCGGGCTATCACAGAGCGTATTGAAATATTTCATTGTTTTAATTTGAACCTTTATATTTAAATATCGATTTATAGTAAAGTTTTACCTCTTTTTAGCCTCTTCTAAACCATCTTGGAGCGTTTTCCATTCGATCTTTTCCCCCCAGCCTACAAAATTCGACACCGATTGTAAAACTGAAAATTTTAAACTGTTTTCAATGTTTAAATTTAAAATGATTTTCTCAACCAACAAACAGAGACATACCTCTATCAAGTGGCTCTTCTGGTTCACAAAGAACAAACAAGGCTAAATTGGAAAGAACTAAAGCGATGTATTTCCTTGTATTCATGATCTCTTCAGCTCAAAACAACTCCTTTTCGTGGTGTGGCTTGTGCGAAGAAGAAATCCCCTAATACCTTCAGTGGCAAAGACAATATTACTTTCTACCACCTGTTTGAATGCCTGGTTGTCCCATTGCAAAGTGGAACAAGGGACTGAAGGCTCACAAAAAGGCGGCCGGTAGCACGTTCTCGTTCATCAATAATTTAACGAGTTTTTTTAATTTTATGAACACCGGAAATTGTTGGTTAAAATCCTGAAGTGTAAGTGCATGGAAAGATGTCTGGTTTCTTCTAGCTAATTTAGTTTTGATTTCAAGTAAGTAAAGAAAGACCGCGAGCCACGACGACGATGGCAGGTTAAAATCTGTCAACATCACTAAAAAAGCGAATCTTGTTCTTTCTTACGTACTTTTTAGCGAATATGATTTTTCCTGGCTAAAGTTGAATTGCTAGGGAATTTGTCCATATTCAATGTCGTTGAGAGAGGGAAAGAAATTGTACAAGATTATAGCCTGCAATGAAAGAAAAAAGGTGCCAAAAAGTGTGTTAGGTTTCCTCAGCTTATAATTAAAAACTTCGGATAGTGTAGTGTTTGACCTCTCCGAGGTATCGTACAGTTTTTAGCCTAAAAGTAGTTTATCACTTAAAATTGTATCAAAAAGTACTTTTAAAAACGTCCAAAAGCCGAAAAGAGACCAGTCACAGTCCGAGGTACACTGTACCGGATAACGTTTGCGGCGCCAAGAAAATCATACCGGATAGGGCTACTCTTCACAAACAAATATGGTTGTGGTGGCGCGATTCCTGTGACGGCGAGCGAAGCTGCGCCTCGCTGTTCTCTAAAGCTAAGTCACATATCGGATACTGGGTCTTCATTCCATACTGAATAGCCATGAAAAGCTATAGTGCCCAAGCAGGGCGTTGAAACGCTCATACGCGCTCTCTCGGACTGCGAATTGCCCAAGATTCAAGATAGACTACGATAAGTCTTTTATCAGTCAGTAGATACCAGGTTCCACATTCCAGAACTGGAGAGAGCGGATGAGCCGAATGGGAACTGGAGGGGGAGAGGCGAACATGATCCGCGCGGGTCTCCGCTCGGCAATCCTTGTGAATACAAAGAAGCAAAAGGTGACGTTTCGAGCGCGAGGCCCATCATCAAAACGAATCAGTTTTTTCGGTTAGGGACAATTTTGTGGATTGATTGTGATCACGTGTTGCGCCGAAGCGGGAGTGAAATCAATTTTTGATGGAGGCAAATTAATGGCAGATAGGTAGATAGACTTGGTATTACTTACTCAATCAAAAAGCTAGACTGGCCCAGAGATAGCTGGAAGATGAGGTTTTGAACGCGCGCTACTGAGTCGTACGTCAGAGAGCGAATCAAGGGAATGTGGTTTGTGTGTTGTTTATATGACTGAGCTTAGAGCTATCGGGGGAACTTCAAGGGTGGAAATGGTTAGATCTAGAATGTCAAGTAAAGATAATGAAGAAGTTTCCTAAATTTGTCTTTTGGAATATCTTTAGCCAGTGGAGGCAACGGCCGATGAAATTGATGTAAATACAGTACCTAGTTTCGGCGAAAATGAGAGTCATGTGCCTAGACGGAGAGCTAAACTGTTAACGTTTTCTAAAAGAAAAAAAGTGGTTGGCACCACACGTGTAGACCGCGCGTCTCGAACGTTCACACCCTTTTCTAGGCTTCAGGTCCCGGAACAGAAATCGATTTTAATTTTGCTCACCTTTTTTTTCATCTTCTTCCTTTGTTTGATCCGAGCTATTTCTATAATTCTCCAGGTACCAATAAACGGTTAGTCGCTATGTTTTTGAAGCTCAACTATATTCTTTTCAGATTATTTTCTTGGAAGCTTGGATATTTCTTTATTGGTGTTCCTTTCCACGGTTTTCAACTTTAGACAGGGACCAGTAACGGAAAATCCGTTGGCACCAATGAAAAGAGCATCTTAGTAAAATTAGTAATATTGCAAAGTTTCAAAGTGATAGCCAGCGAGCGCAAAGTTGCAAAGTTCGTGGCCCCCCCTCCCCCCTCCTACCACCATACGAACAACTGTAAAGTTCGACTTTGAGGAGTTATACCTTCGTTAGTATTCAGCAAATCACTTTGAAACTTGGCAATTGTACTAATTTAAAGCGCTCTTTGTAGCGGAGTTGACGAGTTTTCCCTTTGAAAAAAGCCGTGGAACACAGCCTTTCACAGAGGCTGTGTTACCACTGTCCAGCGGAAAATGTACTTAGTCAGCATGCGCACGCGCTGTCTTGCGTAAGAAAATCTCGTGCGACTTGTGCGAGTACTTGCAGCCTTGCATCAGATAGATATCAAACGTAAAACAACGTCCTACAGTGTACGTTTGTCAAGCCAACCCTAAAAAATTGAAAAATGTGGTCTGCAGTAACAACAGCTCGTTCATCGCTCAAGCACCTTGCTCGTGCTGTGCGGCATACGCCGTCTATGAGAAGCTTTGGATCTGTAACTAACCAGGTAAAGTGGTTCTGACACCGGTTCTACTACGATCAGATTGATATTAGCAGTGATTTGAGGGTTTACGAAGGAACTGACAACCCTACTCTCCTCTGTTACAGAGACTGATAACGGAAGATATCCTCTCCAGGAATGGTGCCTTGAAATCTCGGTTTTACAGGTGAGATCGATTGCCGTTATGTAACATGTGCCAGGTTTTCATATTGGAAGCGAATCTGCACGTGGTTTGTTGGATCATAAACGTGTTCGTATGCTTCGATAACATTGAGAATGACCATTTTATGCTTAACGGAAACACGAAACATTATATTCAGTGATTTTTTCAATGTTTTATAAGCAATTACACTTTACAGTGTGCCTTTGCAGTTCAAAAAATAAATTACAGTATAACTCACCTATACAGAATTTAAAAGGCACACTGCCTTATTACGCATGGCAGGTGTACGAATAAACTTTACTTATCCAATGCTTGAATGTTATGTGGTAGCATGACATGCAAATTCTTAGTTCGACTTTAACTATTGAAGTACGTGTTGGACATCTGAGAACATTGTCTGTCATGCTAAAGCTACATTGTTCATAGCCCATTCATGCACCTCTGAATTCTCAGAAGGTAGTAAAAGGATCTTTTCACTCCAAAAAAAGTCAAAAATCAAATTTTGACATTGATTACAGGTGTAGTTAATCAATATCAATCGTTATAATTTGCTGATTGTCAGCGATTATCGATTTATAATGGAAATCAATAGAAATCGAAGTCACGAAAAAAAATAATTTATTGATTATGATCGAATAACAAAAATCAATAATAATCAATAGTAATCAATAGTAATCAGTAACAAGCAATAAGCTTGAAGTGTGTATATGGTTTAGATACATGTACTTTGAACAAACAACACTGACAAGACTGGTTACTTGTTCATACAGTTTCAAATAATGTAACAGACAAGGTACAACAGTTGATTTCCTTGTGTATTTTCGCAAATCATCAAAACGCCGGAAATGAATGTTTCCATTTGAGGTCAAACGTCTGATCTGATCAGCGCTGGAGATGTAGATCTTTACATGTCCATTAAACCTGCGCCATTGACTGCACCTTACATTTCTTTCCTTGCAATCTTGTTCACATTGGAATCCAATTCAATGCAGTATATACAGGGGCATTGAAGTCCTCCAGATCACTGCTATCTTTTGGCATTAGGAGGGGGGTGTAAGGGTTTGCGGTATTGCGTTATTGCGTTATTTTTGGTGCGGTGTTGCGGTAGTTTTTATTTCAAATTACGGTATTGCGGTTTTCAGGGTCCAAGCGGTGTGCGGTAAGTTTAAATTTCATGTCGCGGTAGTCGGTGAAAAACTCGTTGCGTCGCGGTGATCTGCTTCTTTTCATGACAAGAGGATACAAATCCTAAAGGGTCTCCTTAGCTAGCCTAGCCTGCCTGACCTGCGTGTCTTCCAAGTTACACAGTCGGGGATCGTATTTCGCAAACAATCCATGCAAATCGTTTGGCTTGTAATTTCAGTTAATACTTGATATGATTAACGACATTAATTTTTTTATCCAATGATACGTAAACATGTCACATTTATGACCTCATGGACCTTGTGGAAATAGTCGGCTTGGTTAACCTCCTTACCAACCTTATCGTCACTTTCGTGCCACTCGCGAAACAATGGCGAGCGATCCAGAAGGTCAACTTAAGTGATCAGTCAGATATTCCAGCAAATAGTGAGGTCAGTGAGGTCGTTATAAACTGCGTAGTGTGGAAAGATAATCTATGAAGATGGTGTGGTCTAAAAATTACTACTCGCCCTTCTCGTTGTGCATGCAGGAATATACAATGTACTAGTATTCGTGTGTGCTTAGCCAGCGTAGCAAGGCGATTTTGCGTGGTTTTGTCGGGAGCACGACTGAGCGGTGAAGCAGCTCCGGTCCCAGCCTCCTGGCCCACGCCCGCCTTCATTATTTACCGCGCCCAACCAAAACCGCCATGTTACGCAGGCTAGTTAGGCTTGGATAAATTCTGCTCGTAAATTGGCTTATCCTCATACCGGCAGTGCTCTTAAAAATCGCTTATTCTACTCAAACTTCTGCTCGGGCACCCTTATTCTGCTCGAATTCTGCCTGGTATCCGAAAAAATTTCGGCCCCTCGGGCCGTATTTATTTTCGCCAATATAGAAGGGAACCTGGGCCTAACCCCTTAAAACTAATTAGATATTGTAATTCATCTTACTTTTAATGTGAATGCGTTGTAGCTATTTAATAATCGAAATAATCAGGTATTTTCCGTTTGTTTTTTATTTAGTTTAAAATTTTTCTTACAACTGTTATGCATATCATCAGTGCCGCTGATTTTCTCTTATTCTGCTCAAATTCTGCTCGAAAAAGCCTTATTCTGCCGGCAGAATGCCCGCCTCAACAATCGCTTATTCTGCTAGAAATTCTGCCGGCAGAATTTGTCCAAGCCTAAGGCTAGTGTGTGCTGTGTGCCCTTCGAACCCAAAGGCAGCCCTGGTCGACGTTTTGTAACCCTCAACAAAGAACCGAGTTAATTGTGAACCTGAAACAACCTCATAAGAGTCAACTGTTTTCCGTCCGTTTATGATCCAGGTCAGTAATATGTAAAGTACAGTGTGAAAGTAATACTAGAAAACTCCTGTTGTATCATTTACGTAAATGCTTACATGTAACATGAACAAAATTAAACGAGTGCCATGATCTTATCTTGACATCGACGCACCTTGATTTTGAAACACTGACATAAAAGTCACTGTATTATTTCTATTTTGAAAGGAGGATTTGTAGTATTGGCAACGTCAACATTAACTTTTTCCTATTTTTAACTGCGGTTTCGGTATTTGGGTAAATTATGATGCGGTATTGCGGTATTCTCGCGCTACCATGTGCGGTATTCGTACCCCCCTTACGCCCCCCTCCATTAGGGTCATACTTGGTTTGGTGGAAAGATGTTATTTCACTATGTATACAAATCTTTTTAGTTTCTTTTATCAATTAACAGAACTACATAATGTCATGACTGAGTGACTCAATAATACAATATAGACAACATTGTATTAATGTTGAACTTCTACTGATGACGTACAATGTGAGTGTTTTTTGATAATAATCGATAGTAATTGAAGTCACAACTTTTTCTTTGTCGATCTCTATCAATTGATATCGGAAATCAAGTAAATCAAACTATTGGATTTTATCGATTTTTAGTTTATCGATTAATTATGACTGTATTGATTGTAAATGCTTTAGTTAATCAACTAGTAAAAGTTGATGAAATTGGCTCTGGCTGTGTATCCAAAAAATCATTTTATTTGATAGGTTATGCTTTCAAGATACAGTAGGACCACTAAATGATTATAGAGATACAGTCATTGTAACTAACTTTCTTCCTTGCCCTTGAAATTCTTTATGACTACAGACTGGTTAAATTAATTCATGTTGATTACTTTTTATGTCACCGATTTCTCATGTTAATCCATCCATAAGAATATTAGGTCATAACAATCATTGCTTTATGGCTGTTTTGTCTTTTGTGATATCAGCTCTGAAGCAGTCCGTGGCGCAGTTTGTGGCATTGATCTTGGAACAACAAACTCCTGTGTGGCTGTAATGGAGGGGAAGACGCCTAAAGTATTAGAAAATGCAGAGGGATCGAGGACCACTCCCTCGGTAGTGGCTTTTACCCCTGATGGAGAGCGACTTGTTGGTACTCCAGCCAAAAGACAGGTTAATATATATTTTTATAGTGTGGCTGCATGTAGATGTCCAATGTTCATTTTTTGTCGCAATCATTATGGACGTGTATTCATGTTGTCCTTGTTATAGACATGTTGTAGACCTACATTGTACACATTCAGTTGCTGTAACAATGTACACATAAAAGGCATCATTTTACGTGTATACATGTATCTACATGTATATCACTTGACGTATCACAAGCTTGAACTGACTTTATTAAGTATAACCAAATTCTTGTCTTAAATAATTACTAATACAATCCTATATATTTGTGCTGTAGAAAACATGTAATTACATAATTTTAGGTCATAAAACTTTAGCTTACAAGGTGTCAATTGTTGTTGTTTATTATAACTACATTTTAATGTTTTGACTTTACTGTAAATGATTTGTCCTTAGGCTGTAACAAACCCAACAAATACATTGTATGCAACCAAGAGATACATTGGACGACGATTCGATGATAAGGAAATAAAGAAGGATGCGTAAGTACTGTTTCTTGTTAAAAGATGTTTCATCAAGTGGTTTCATGTCTATGTTACAGGTCAAAATTAAATTCAGGTTAAAATTTTTTAACCTTGGTCGATTCTCAATTTCCTTTGTTTAAAGCCCTAATTCAAGAACAATTAGAGGTAGGAAACAAGTAAAGTGAGAATCAACCTACTGTAGGTTAAAAATTTTAACCTGAATATAATTTTGACCTGTAACAGATATATATATTTTTCAGAGAAGTGAGTCTGTAGTTGCATTACCATACACTATGAATTTTGATTTTGTTTTTCTTGTGCGGTCTATTTTCAGGGAAAGTGTGTCCTTCAAGATTGTAAAAGCTTCTAATGGTGATGCCTGGTTTGAGGCTAATGGCCAGATGTATTCACCAAGCCAAGTAGGAGCTTTTGTTCTCATGAAGATGAAAGAAACAGCTGAGAGCTACTTGGGAACAACTGTCAAGAATGCCGTCATTACAGTTCCTGCGTACTTCAATGATTCTCAAAGACAGGTTTGTACAGTATTAAAACTAAACAAACAGTGCTGTTGCACACAATTTAAAAAAATATGTTTTCTTATACAGTGTAATTAGAGAAGTTAATGAAACACAATCAATTACCACTCTTTGCTCCACAAGTGTGTGCACCTGCTTGTATGCAGTTGGTTACAACAGCCTATTTATTGACAATTTTAATCTTTTTATTTAATCATCTATAGCTTAGCATCAGCTCTACTGTATATCCTTAATGATAGTGCCATTTTTGCAAATTGTCAGCTAATGATTATGTTGATATATTGATTGATAGACACATGAGTAACCAGCTATTCTTATATGTAGGCAACCAAAGATGCTGGCCAGATTGCTGGTCTGAATGTCCTGCGAGTGATTAATGAACCAACAGCAGCTGCCTTAGCCTACGGAATGGACAAATCTGAAGATAAAATGTAAGTTGACAGTACCATACATGTAAATCAATCATGTGCGTACGTGCACATAATTATGTCATTCTATGCACGAAACGAAGTGGTGTCATCCATTTACAAGTACTTTTAAAATTTCATACTCAGTATCAAAAAGTGATTTTTAAATGTGAGGAAAATCATTTATTTGTAGCCGTAGATTCTACGTGTAAAATGCAACAGACTGACATGGTAAAAAAATTTAACTTGTATAAAGGGTAGTTTTTTCGTAACCTCCTGATTGTGGATTAAAGGGCTGCCTGGAAAAAGAGTCTCAGGTAACTTCATATAAACTGCAAAATTAATTCTACCTCCAAATTGCCTTGCAGCTGCTTGTGAAACAAAACTCTAGAAGTCTAGCAATAATAATTATTATATTGAGAGTCACAAAGAGTTTTTCCCCAAGTATCCTTCCAGAGTTAATTGAAGTAGTTAGTCCAATTTTTCCTTGAGCTTTGCCAAAAACAAGACCTGTGTGGTTGTTCTTACAGTATGTAAGTCCCCGTACATGTAAGTCCTATTTTTCCAAAAAAAAGTGTCTATTGCAGTATTTTGATTTTTGGCATTGAAGTGTTACAGTACATATACATGTAAAGTTCTATGGGTGCTCTGTAGCTTATCAAATTGTGACTGAGTGATGTATTTGTTTATTTAGAATTGCAGTGTATGATCTTGGTGGTGGTACATTTGATATCTCTATTTTGGAAATTCAGAAAGGAGTGTTTGAGGTATGACTAGTTCTGAGGCAACTCCAGGGTGATTTTGGAGGTCTCTACTGTTGACCTGTCATATTATTGTGCAAAATACGTGAACTTTCCATGCATAAGCTTTTTGATTTTTTAATCATTGTTTGTTAAACTAATAATTAAGGTTTTTACCTGCATACTTATTTAGTACTAAGAGACTGGTGTGAGTAATTTACCAGCAGTTAAATGCAAAGACTGGTTGTTGAATGGATACAAAATTCAAATGCTATGTGAAATACAAGGTGCAGCCGAGTGTAGTCTAAAGAATTTCAAGTTCATTCAGTTGCTACAGTAACGAGTGCATTTTATGTGATAAACTAGAAATACATCTTAAGAACCATTCCAATCTTCTGTTATGCCCCTTTACTCTATCCACTTAATTCTATGTAATTGAATTGAATCTTTTGAATTAGCTAGGGAAACATAACATCTTACAAATTAATAACATGGACACATTGGGTCAAAAATTAATATTTCTTACCCCAAAGCAACTGAAACAGTGTTATTTTAAATACATTTTTTGCCTTGTTTGCGGATTTACAGGTGAAGGCTACAAATGGTGACACATACCTTGGTGGAGAAGACTTTGATAGCACTATTCTCAAGTATCTCATATCAGAATTTAAGAAAGAGGTGAGAAACATTTGAAACTTTGTGAGCTTTAAGGGAAAAAAACTGTAACATTTACAGTACTTGTTTGAAAATTAAGATACTTAAGATTTGTATTCCTGACCTCATACTTAAAAGAGACAGCTTCATTATTCCCCATTTAAAATCTGCCTTTTTGGTATCAATATTTCTGTTGGTCCAGAAATCATGCTGTCTCTTCCTGTTTGACTCAGTAACCTCTACGATTCATCCATATCCCTTTTAGAATGCAAAATGCAAATTTCCAGAAAAATCAGACATTTTATTTATGCAAATAATGGAAAGCCAACAAGACCTTGAAAAAAAGTACTGGTAAAGGTTACATCTATGCACCTAACCTTTGATCAGGCGGTTTTTTTTTCAAGGGCGGACGAGGCGAGAGGAAAAAAAAATATGAATGCAAATGAACTTGCAATATGCCGCCCCATTTTACTGCCAGGCTGTGTACCATTATTGGACTACAATATTACATTGTAAAGAAGACAATGGATGATAGAGGATCACATACTCAGCATGTTGGGCAACTTTCACAACAAATATGCATGAAAGACTTAACTAATACAAAATTCATGTGATTTGTTCTGTTCCAAATCCTAGAGTGGTGTTGATTTGTCCAAAGACAACATGGCTCTTCAGAGACTCCGAGAAGCAGCTGAGAAAGCAAAGATTGAATTATCAGCATCTGTCCAGGTAACTTTACCTACATTTTGATTCCATTTCACTCTTGCCTGATACTAAAAAGGCCAATGTCATACAATAAATTGTATTTTATGTAACCATCAGCAGTGCAGGAAAGTGCAGTGCTGCAATGCCTGTGTCCTGTACTGTAATGGTTGGAGTTGAAGAAGCTAACAGTATCAAAAGGGATAGTGGAATTGTAATTATTGTGTGTAGATGCCCAGCGGCAAGATACTTGTATATAACATGAGACTGGTATATCAGTGGGCCACTAAGATTCAATACTAAATTTTCAGTAACTTGTGGTCACTAGACTGCTTTGAAAGTTGCAGGGAAAAGTACAAAAGTATTACAAAAGGATAGTGTATTAGATTCACCTCTGTTTTGCTTTTGTAGACAGACATTAATTTGCCGTATATCACAGTGGATGCCAGTGGTCCAAAACACTTGGCCATGAAACTCACTCGGGCCAAGTTTGAATCCCTGGTTGCAGACCTTGTACAGCGGACTATAGAGCCATGCAAGAAATGTCTGCGAGATGCTGATATTAATAAAAGTGACATAGGTGATGTTTTGCTGGTTGGTGGAATGACACGGATGCCCAAGGTACTTTTGGTTTTGTTGCCTTTCACTGGACGAAAAAATGGATTTGCATAAATTTGCAATTTGAGGAGTAAATATGGGGCAAAGATGGCAAATGCCTAGATATTTACACCACCCTGTTTTTTGGCATCCATATTACTTTTTCACTCCTCCGTTTTTACAAGTTTGCAACAAACTTGCCGGGAGCAAATTTGTGCAAATCCGATTTCCAGTCCAGTGTTTTGAAAACAGCCGGCAGACATTTTGCATCACCACCACTGGTTTCGCCATGGAATAACAACTGGGTAGTGACACGTCATCAGTGTGGAATTTCTGCATTCCTTTCTCAGATGTTATGTGCAAGGAAACCAATGCCGGGTGTTTTCTTAGGCTGTTAGTTTAGTTGTGGTTAGAAATAAATTTCATTGACCTGATCATGAGTCCTGCAATTTTATTATTTTGTATATACTGGTAATAATATTAAAAATATAAAATTAATGTAGCGTTGTTGTTCAGAATAATTTTCTTCAGTCAGGGCCTATGTACTGTAGTAACTTGTGGTATTAGGCTAACACTAGCTACCAATAGCAACATACTTGTAACCACATGAAATTCCAAATGATATTAATCTTTTATTGACATTTTGAAGTTGTTTTACACTTGTTTTCCTTTTGTTCTAAACAGGTGCAGTCAGTGGTGCAGGAAATCTTTGGTCGATCACCAAGCAAGGCTGTCAACCCTGATGAAGCTGTTGCTGTTGGTGCTGCCATTCAGGGAGGTGTCCTGTCTGGTGATGTCAAGGATGTGTTGCTGTTGGATGTAACACCACTGTCACTTGGTATTGAGACACTCGGTGGAGTGTTCACAAAACTGATTACACGCAACACAACCATTCCCACCAAGAAAAGTCAGGTACTCAAATGAAATATGAATTCCACCTTCCTAAAATGTATTCCTAGTGTACTGTATGTTCTTTCTGCTCTTAATGCATTGTAGTTTTCTTTGGCTTTCCCTAAGACAGACAGCTTCCTAAGATAGCCATGCAGTGTCAATTGCAGTGGTGGTTATGTTAATGTAAAAAGAGTTAACTGCATTTGTATTTGTGAAGTACATGTACTGTACACCTGAACTGCTGAGGTCTTTGGTTGGTTTAACTTTGAAGGGGATTTAGTGTCCTATTGTTTTTCAGCCTTATATATGTTATGCATTTGCCATACTTCAATTAACAACAATTTTGATGCACAACTTGTGCAGCACCAGAGAAATCTTTCACAGAACAAGGATCCTAGGAAGACAAAGATACAATGTAAAAGTCAAGCTTGCTTGTTCTTTCTCACAATTATTTTTGTTTCTGTGCATGCCTGAAAAAAAAGCTGTACTTTTTCACCAAGGAAGAAAGTGAGTGGACAACAATGCTTACAGCCTGTACATAGTTTTGAGTCTAATAATAAATTCAGTGCAGAATGATAGACAGAAAGTATAATGACTTGAGTTACTTCAAAAAGCATTAATTTTTGCAGTGATAATTCTAGGCAAAAAAGGTGAACCTAAAGCTTATTTACCATTTAAGTTTCTCATGCTAAGAAAATAATTGAAGTTTAGACATTTTCACTTTGTCTCATTCCAGGTGTTTTCTACAGCAGCTGATGGCCAGACGCAAGTGGAAATTAAGGTTCATCAGGGAGAGCGTGAAATGGCTGCTGATAATAAACTGTTAGGACAATTTCAACTGGTGAGAAAGCTGGTTTACTCACTAAAAACAACCCTGCTGATTTAACCCAGCAGTGGACAGCACTGTAAAAGTCACTTGCTGATGAATTCAAGCAAAAGTAACTTACATGTCATCAAGTGTACTGTGCTAGCCTGAGGAAACAGCCAACATTTCGTGACATCACCACTGGTTTCCCAGCAAAATGATGTCTGAGGAACGAGTGCAGAAATTCCATACTGATCACATGTTGATACCCAGATCTAGGTAGTGCTTCTGATTTGTTGAATCAAATTTGCCCCAATGCATAACCAATCAGAAGTACTACCCAGGCCCCAGTTGTTCAAACGTTGGATAGCACTATCCACCGGATAAATCACTATCCATCGGATAAGTATTTGGGAAACTGATTGCGTTACTCCACTGGATAGAGATTTACCCGGTGGATAGCGCTATCCACATTTTGAACAACTCAGGCCCGATCTACTGAATGTAAGTCGTGTCATCATCATTACATTTCTGCAGTTTCTTATTCTCCAGGAAAATAGTGGTGCCACCATGAAATGGTAGGGCTATAGATGTACCAGTAGACTGGTGGTACGAAACCCCCTTAAAACTTTTTGACAGATGCTATGTAACATTTTGATTTAATGCTGAAAAGACTAGCCGAACCAATAATTAGAATGGAATACTATAAAGGGAGGATACACAACCTGCCGATACGTGACTTTATTGCCTTAACCATCCCTATGACTTGGGTGTCGACCTCCATGCACTAGCAGTTCTATCCAGTACCACACTCTCCAATTTGATCAAATTAAACCTTCATGTACTTAAAACAATCTTTGTTGTCATTTAGAGATTTTGTAAAACTCACCATAAATATGCAGTAGTAGAAAATAACTCTACCTTTTCTGTGTTTTTGACACGGCTCATTACAGGTTGGAATTCCTCCTGCTCCACGTGGTGTACCACAAGTAGAAGTGACGTTTGATATTGATGCTAATGGAATTGTCAATGTGTCTGCAAGAGACAAAGGAACTGGCAGAGAACAACAGAGTAAGATAATTATTGTTATCATTTGTTGCAAATTTTTCTTCCTTTTCATTGGCCGTGACCCCACCACATGACCTGCAAATAGCTGCAATGTGCAATTTGCAATGTTTTCCAACTTTGTTTGGCTGCAAATGATATTCTGCTCATGCATAAATGAAACCATGCTTTTCTCCTTCCTGCGATCGCTCTCGCATGAAAATGGCAGATCGCTTCGCTTCCTGAAGATATTCACTAAAAAAGTAAACTCGGTGATCAAATGATAAAACAATTATTGAACTCGGTTATCGCAAAATATCGTGATTTGTCAGTGGCAAGCAGATGAATGATTTGCTGAAGCCGAAGCCTCGTCCAATAATTGTTAATTATTGACACACGTGGTGTATGGTTTGCTATTTGAAAAATTAATAACGTTGGTTTTTGGGGAAAATGGGCTGATAAAGTTACTGAAACAGGTTAAGGTCTTGAAATAGACAATGACTAAATATACTTCACAAAATCATTGCAGTAGTACATTGGTTTATGAATGGGCTGATGCAGCCAATGCCAAAATAAAGGACATCGGAGCTTGTTTCCTCCTTAAAAAGGGCTTAACTTCCACTTTAAAGAATAAAGGTACACGTACATGAAGGGTATTTTCAGTGTGGGTATTTTCCCGGCTTTGTTTCAGTTGTCATCCAGTCTTCTGGAGGACTAAGTAAAGACGAAATTGAAAACATGGTTCGAGAAGCTGAGAAGTATGCTGACAGCGACAGACAAAAGAAAGTAAGTGTGAAGTGGGTGTAGGTGCTTGACTGTAGAACAGCTGAATTTTGCACTGCTTATGAATGTGTGTCAGTTGTCATTATCAAAAAAAAAATAAAGAGGAAAGCTAAAGAAATAACCTGCAGTGCACGTGAAGCTACAACGGCTGGTGCGTACCGCACCTTAAAATCCAAATTACAGGTAGGGCTATTTTTTATTCTCTCTGGAACAGGCCATTTCCGAGTTCCATAAACTCTCACTTTCAAAGCCTCTCTTGTGAAAATGAGTGTTATTTGCAGTCTTTGCAGGAGAATAACAGTTCATGACATTTTTATGTCAATGGCTTCATACTTAGCCTCGCTTTGAAACAGAGGCTTCGGGCAACTCGGTAATGGCGTTATTAAACTATAAAGTAAGAGTGACAAAAAAAGCAAAGTGAGTTTTGATACCGTAGTCAAATGTCTTGCCTAACCTGTTGCTTAATTATGGTTAAATGCATGCTAACTTCTAATTATTCATCTAGCCTGCTCAACTATCTGAGCGCGTTGAACAGGCTGATATTCATCTAGGAGTAGGTCTTTGATAGTTTTCTTCAAAGGATCCGCTATCAGTATCTCTGTTACTTGTAATCACTATAAATTTGTCGCCCTCTGTGTTTCTAGGAGCTGACAGAGGCAGTGAACCAGGCCGAGAGCATCATCCACGACACAGAAACGAAGATGGAAGAGTTCAAGGACCAGCTACCAACCGATGAGGTGAGATGCACTATACTTAGTTTAGTTCATACTGAACTTGTAGCATTTGCGTCTTGTGACCTTGATATACAAATGGAACTTTTGGAGCCCAAAATTGGTAGAAATATGCAGTTTAGGGTTGGGGTTAAGAGATGAAACTGAACGCTGGCCAGAAAATCACAGTTTAAAATGTAATCTCGGTAGAAACATACGGCCCCCTAGTCCCAGGCTATAAATTATTAACTTCTAATGTATCAACCGGAATGGTACTAACAGCAATAACTGTGAGAGAATTTATACGAAGACGCAATTGTGGTAGAGTAAGACGCTAAAATTGACGGACATGTGTATTATATCGCAGAGTGCACAGCTTAAAGAAGAGATTAACAAAGTGCGCGAAGTGTTGGCAAGAAAAGACAGCGAAACAGCGGAGTCCATCCGACAAGTGTATAGTGAGCTGCAACAGAAATCACTGAAGCTGTTTGAAGTAGCTTACAAGAAGGTAACAGTTCTTTTCCACCATTGATTACTGTCTTTGTTGTAATCCTATCCCTTGCCGGTCAACTTCATCACGTTGCCTAGTGCAGATAACTAGTGTCTCATTACGTGAGTTTATTATTGGATAAGACTAAATGCTGTGCTTTATCGGTTCAGCACCCGCTTGTTCAACACTTAGGGATTTTGGCCAAAAACGCAGATAAAAGACGTACAAAAACATTTTAATACGAAAATGAAGATGGGCACTGTTTCACAGCACGTCGCTGTGATAGTCTCTGCCAGTGACCCCCACCAACCACCCCCTCCCCTCCCCTGTGTCTAGGTCTTACTCTCATGGGACCCATGTGCCTGATCCAAATTGAGTAGGTCTGCGCCCAGCTGGTATCAAGTCAAATACCCTTAATTCATCAGCTGTAATTCAACTTTGCAGATGGCCTCTGAGAGAGAAGGAGGAGGAGCAAGTTCATCTTCAAGCAGCGAACAAACAGGAAGTACTGAAGACGAGGATCACAAGAAGAAAGAAGAAAGCTAAATTATTGGACCTACCAACCACGATCACAGTCTTACAAGAATCGTCACTTCTCCAGCAAAAACAAAATATTCGTGTTCTTGCAAGGTTGTGATGTACGGAGCATTTTTACACAATACTACAAAACAAGGAGAACTTCGTCGCAGTTGAAATGTCGCGACAGGAACATTGACAAAATTTGCCTTATCAAAGTGTAAACATTTCGGTCTTTCTCAATGGTGGGGTGGGGGTCAGTTTGCTATCTTCCTGAACCCCCATCCGTTTAGGGAAGGCTCAGATTTTCATTGTATTAGAAAACGGTATGGTTCTCAGTATTTTGTTATGTGTATTCAGTGAAACATTCGCCACAGTTAAAAATCCGTCATAGCTTTATGGTTCGCTCGTGCAGGGTGTATATGCATTTTAAAGTTAATTATTGTTTAGGCAAAATTGTTTGGAGCTAAGAAGCGCGTTAGTGAGTAAATTGCACATGTTCCAGTGATTCGTGAAGAGGAAAACACGTCATCTTTCTCGTGTTTTTTTTTTACTGGTAGACTTCCTCAGAGCAGTGAACTCCCCCTGCAGATAATTTAGTTCACTGTAAAATTGTGCTGTAGGATATGTACGAATTTGTGCTCTCATAACTGAAACACCTTTTCTTTAATGAGACACCTGGAATGCCAATATGTGAAGCAAATGATTGTATTTTCACACCTTTTTAATTTTAGTTTTAAGTATTTTGCCCTGTGGAAGTCAATGTGCCTTGTCCATGGTGGCTCTGATCATTTTGTAAAGCCAAAAGTCTTTATAATTTTCGCGCTCTATAAATAAAGAAATGTATACTTAACATAACCAAGCTAACTGTTTTTAGACTCAGTTTTATCCTGTAAAGCACCTGCTTCTCTGCTCGCAGACTGCGGTGGTACTCCAGCAGGCTTTTTTTTTTTTTTTCTCTTTTATACAGCCATAATACCTCAACTCGAGCATCGTTTAAGCCCGAACTAGACAGTGATCCCTGTCCTCGCTCAACTACGTTTTCACAGTTTCTAGGCCTCAATGATTTACTTCGTGGTCATATGTTAGTGGCGGATCGAAGGGAGGGGCCTGGGGGGCCAACTCCCACTTATATTTAGACCAAACTGAGGCCCGAAACATTTTTTTTTTTTCAACACAGCACACTTATGAAAACTAGGTCACGTGACTTTCAACGGCTACAAAGTCCAAAACAATCTTAAAGCAAAATGGCAACACTATATCAGAAGTTATTTAACTAAATTGTTACAAGACAATTAACAATATAACCAGCTAAAAAACTGTGCTTGGAAACATCTGAATGTGTTAATTACTTTTGTATCAGATAAACTTTTTTTTTTACTAGTACCCAGTCCCTCATTTGATCTGTAAGACCGTCGTAAGTGTAATTTACAAGCGTAGCCATTGTTTTAGAGTCTGAAAACAATAGCTACTCTTGTAAATGATACTTGGTACTTGTAAAAGTTTTATTTAACTGACCCGCGGCCTCTATCTTACAATATCTTGACATTGCCCAGCAAAGAAATGATATACCCGATGGCCTTAAAATTATGCAATTAGTAGAAAAGTCAAGGACGTTTCGCGAAACGTCCTTCAGCGGCGATGAGCGAGGAGAAACGTCTGCCGTTCGCTGGCTATACAAGAGAGAATTTGCCCATTTAACTTAACTGCGTATTAAGCTGTGGCAGGTCACGTGACCTCATTTGCATATTCTTTGATAACCAAATGAACACAAAATAACAGTGTCTGACGAAGTTTCCCGCTGCTCCCACAAAAGCTTCGAAAGATAGACTACCCCCTTAATTTGTCGCTGAATCAGAGACCAATGCCTTCTTAGAGTCAAATGCTTTCTACACAGGCTACGTACATAGCGCGGAAGAATATTTTGCTCTTATTGGATGTTTTGCATCAACGGTCGCCAAGAATGAATTTAGTGTCAAAGCTTTCTCGTCTTCACTTCACCTGATTATTATTATTATTGTTATTATTACTACTATTATTATTACTATTACCATTATTATTACTATTACTATTATTATCATTATTGCACCATTAATCCAGGTATTGTTGTAGCGTGTGAACCCACTCTACAGTGTGAGATATCGCAGGAGGGGTGTAGGCTCCTGGATACCGTAATCCTCTATTATGCCCCCCCTCTCAAATAAGCCCCCCGTCTCTATTAAGGCCCCTTCCCTCCCTCTCAACTCGGCTTGAAATAAATAAGCCCCCCGGAGGGGCTTAATAGAGAATTTACGGCAAGAAATGGGATGGGGTGAAGAGAAAGCAAAAAGGGGACAAGGGAAATGGGCCAGTTCGCAAGCTACAGATCAAGCTTTAGACTTGCTCCCACCGCTGTTTCAGTTAGCCTGTAGACTGCATGCGAGCAGTCTCTCTTTTTGTTCAGAGTTAGTGAGGAGAGCACTTATACACGCGCGCGAGAACAGCGAAGCCGAGGGACGCGAGGAACCAGCGAGGGCGGCAGTTTTCCGCTCGCGCCTTTCTGAGGGGGTACGGGAAGGGAGTGGAAACGGATACATTGCACGTCACGTTCAACAGCCACATGGTTTTTCGTTTGATGCTTGACGTTTGACGTCACCGACGGGTAGAATAAAACAATACCACGGAGACATCAAAACGTTATTCTACACGAACTTCTTGTGAGAGGCCGAATTATATTTAGCTTTTCGTCGTCTCAAAGTTGCATTGACGTTCAAGCATGAAACCTCACTTCTACTACGCTTTTATCTTCTGCGCGGTTTACTATTGGCTGGAACCAACTGAAGGAAATCGATTTGCAAGACAAGCCTCAAGTAAGTGAAATTTCATTACCGTTTCGATGAATGCCACAGCTACACACTGGGATCGTAATTTTGACGGACCTGATCACGATTATGTTACTGGTCGGAATCGAAGATGTTCAAGGCTTCGCAGTCTGTCATCCTCAAATCTAAATACCATGCAAAACTAATGTGTCAAAAAGTGGCAGGATTAGGAAATGTCTTCTGAGTTTTGCCCTTCTTTTAATTCACACTGCATAGGTACGTGTACCAATGAAAAACATCTGAGTAGACGGCTACCACGCATACCAAAATGAAAGACCGAAAATAAAACCTATGACCCTTGATTGTTGCTTTAAAATTTCATCTGTGCTAAGCTGCGCTGCGCTACATGATTGATTTTCCACATTTAGACGGTAGTACCGGGTCACAGGAAAGCCAATGAGCAATTACGTACACCGGATTTCCGATTTATTAAATCTGATGGTTAAGTAGTATCGTTTTTCAGAGCAGAATCAATGATCAACTTTGCTAGGGTTATGATTTGTGAAGAGCCGGTAGGCACAAGAGGTGAGGGATCACGTTTTGGAACTAAAATAACAATCACGTTCTAGACAATTCTCAGTACCTAGACATGGTAACTATTATTCGAGGAAATACGGTATAACATAATTAGTTAACGAAGCTACCAAATGTTTCCCGATCGGTCGTAAATGGCGAATCATGATGACAAATGGTGACGACACCAATTTCAGTTTCCAAACACTCAGAACTTTTTAGTAACCTAAGCAAATATCTTAGTATTGTTAATATTTTTAACCTTTCAGGAACTAAAGGAACAACGTCAGCTTTGACAGTATTTTGCTTGGCTTTTACAATTTTTCTCACTTGACCGCAGTGAAAAACTGAACGTACTCCTCTCACTTTCCCTAGGCCTCAACCGGTTTTTCTCCACAAACTGAGAAGCCTGAAACAGGCTCTCTCCGGCAGAGGCAAGTGAGGGTGCCTCTAGACTACGAGTAGTCGAAATTTTTCCTCAGGGTTGGTAGAGCGAGCGAAACGCGAGCGCGCGTGAAAATCACCCCACGCGAGAAATCACTACAGTCAGGAGCACAAGATTAAGAACAAAATTTTCCAGCTGCCAATCAGAATTAGGGGGACTTGAGTCTTTTCGAAATTGTATGTGCTTTATTTTCCGAAAATTTTAGTTGCAATTTAGTGTATTTCGAAAGTGAGAATTTTTCTGATTCCTCTTTCCATCACATTTTTGAAACCGAGAAACGGGTCCCTGGCCTCTAAAATCCATACCCGTTTTCAGACGCGGCCTCTTAGAAATTTTGTCATCATTTTTACTTAGATTAGAACGCCAACAAAAAGATTCCTTAAAATCCACTTCGAATTCGTCTTCCTCTGCCGGTTCCTTTCTAATTCATCCACCGGCTAAGAGAGAAGAAAATGACATCGTTATTTCTGGGATACTTAAAGAAGGAATTAGAGCGTTGTCAGAAAAGAGAACTAGCTTGTCCTTTATACCAGTGAAGCCTACTTTCGCCGGTCTTTTAAAAAAAACTGACTTTAGGTCCTTTCTAGCTCGTTTTTTAAAAGTCAGGAAATTGCTGAACTCAGGAAATCAATACAATACCTTTCACTCTCTTACGAGGATTTAAAATTTGGTCATTTCACGTCGTATTTGTGCAGGGACGGCAAGGAAATTGACAGAAAAGCGTGATGCATGTACAAAGTCGTTGTTTTGCTAAATAAATCTTTTGCTTTTTTGAAGTTTTCGTCGCCGTCTCCGCCGTAGTTTTGTAAGCTATAATGTGCGGCGAAGCAAGAACTAACTTATTAATTCAAAGTTTGTTGAGGAAGCTGTCGAGATGTAACAGATCTGCCCCAAACATTGCCCAGCGAAGCTTTAAAGATCAAGAAACAAAAGAAATATTTACTTGTTGGCTTGAACGTTAGATCATGGTAAGAATGCTTTTGCGAAAGAATTGCCAACAATAATCAAGAGGAAGTTTCAGCTGAAGTTTAACTGACCCCGGTTCTTTTATGGCCAACAATAGTCTGTTTAGCAGGCGTTTCGGATCGAGTTAGTCATTGCGCGAAAGTTGGAGTAAGAGGGAAAAAATTACTCTTTTTCTCTCTCGTCCCAACTTGCTCGACAAACTCGGGCGAAAACGCTTTTTACGTAACACGGGCTAGACCAACTATCAGCAATGTTTGCTTGGCAGCAATGTCCCGTTTGTTTGCATTGGGCTAATGGTTTTTATGTACGCGTGGAAAAAGGTAATTTGAATATTAGGAGACTGATCTGTTTACCTACCGTGCATTCTTGCGATCGAAACAACTGAAAAAATATCTGTCGTACTTTTAGACATTTACTTGCAGAGTACATAGTTTCGACTGTATGTTGAGGTAGATATTAGCTGATATTGTAAACTACACGAAAACACAATCCTGTATGGTTTAACGGATGTCGATGTATTAAAAACAAAGATTATCAAGGTTGACCGATATTTACGCTTCACTGAATACCTAATATTATTCTACCTCTTGAATAGTTTTTAAAAGAATAACGGTCTCGTTTAACGGTTTAAGATCGAATTTTCTCGGCTGTGACTGCGCTGTAGCTATGTTTTTGGTTGGAATTTCGAGGCATTTCATTGTAGCCCAGACTCTAGTTGTACTTATTGTTGGACAGTGGACAGGTAGGGTTACTATGGAATTTTTTTTAAAATTCTCTCTTGTGCGCTCGTTCAATAATATAGACAGAGGATAGCAGAATGTTTTACAACTGCTTATACAATGAATGCTACAAAAATACGCATCTATATCACAGAGCTGGCTTTTCCTCAAACGATTATTTTTTCCTTGAAAACACGCATTTCGCTTTGCCCCCGAGCTACCCTATGAGCAGAGGTTTCTTTCCAGTATGGTTTTTAGCATGATTTATAAAACAAGCAAACTACGCGAATGTCAGCGACGACGCGAACGACTACGTAAAGGCTAAAAACCACAGAGGAAGAAACCCGTGCTAGAAGGGTTCGCCCAAGCGACAGGGACACCCAGCAACTTTTTTCTTTAAAATAACTGTTCGAAGGAGAAAATATCGCCTAGCAATTTCTAAAGCTTGGGAAAAGCTAAAAATGTCTGCACAACCGTTCCATTCGTCTAAAATATTTGAAGGTTTTCCACTTGCTGGACTACGATTTTCGGAGGTAGTGTCATTCACATTTTCATACTTAGATATTGCGATTATTGTTTAAAAAGGGCTCCTAGAATTTTAGGTATAAAGAAAAAACGTCCCCTATAACTTTCTAATGAAAGCAAGGCTACTTCATGTCCTCGAACTTTCGACCGAACCCATAAGGGTGGCTAACGGGCGCGATCCATTCAACCAAAATTCCGACCGGTCCGACCGGGAAAAGTGGTCCACCTCAATTGGTGGACCAGTTTTTTCGAAACATTTCCGATTGGACCGAACCGAGCCATTGAGTTTTAGACCGAAATTTCCGGAAATTTTGGTTGAATGGATCGCGCCCAACACTTTCGGATGAGACGAAAAAGCCACCTAACACTTTCGTGACGACCAAAGTTCCCCTAAGACATCCGAACTGATAAATAGCTTTTAGGAAAACTCCAGTTAACCAAACAGGCTTCTAAAGCATAGAGAAAACCATCTGAGACACTTCTGGCGTATTTGGAAACATTCGGTCGTTGGGTGCCCCTGAAGCAAAATTATGCCGACAATTAAGCAGTCTTTATTTTCACGAGAGAACGCTTAAGAGCAGTTGTCTGTAAGATTCGAGCTATATTAAAAAGGCGCTGCCACACTATCTCACCGAATTGGCTAAAAATTGGCATGTAGACTTGATTTGAGGTCTTTAATAAGGAATAGGTAACTTTAGGTTCTAATTCCTCCTACTTCGGAAATTATCGCCATGGCCGGTTTTTGGGTGCCTCGGACCGGCGCCATATTGGTTAATAGAAGCTACTTTTGAGCCTTCGACTACAACCCTGTCTTCAAAGCTAATCTTCCTTTGCCAATACAGATTGAAAGAACAATCCCTCTTTATTGTATTTTTAGAAACTACTTCGAAATTGATAACGTTTTCGCAACGATCGATTAAACTTTTGGTGGGTATACTTTTTGAATTTTTACACCCGCAAAATTAACAGAATTTTAAAGGCGTATATCTCTTTTGCCACATCGCATTGAAGCTTGCCAATCTGCCTGAATACTCACTGTTTGTAGTTAAATCGAGTTCATTAATAAAAAAATTGGGCAAATTTAACGGAGCAGAAACAAAAGTAATGAATGGAAGACTGTTCTAGCGACTTTGTCAATAATCTGTACACCGAATATTCGCCAGGTGTTGCCAAAATTACAATCGATAATAGAGTTTGTCATTAAATCTGAGTGATCTGTGTAATAAAATTAGCCTCTGTAATATAATCGATAACTCTGCTGCGAAAAACAGTATAAAAAAAGGCAGATTGTTTAAGGAAAAGGAAAATGAATTTGTTATGTTTATGCTATGACGCGTAAACAAAATTCAACCATCACAGTCGAACTGGAATTTTCCTGATTTTCCTCCAGTTCCTTTACCGAAACCAGAGCTTTTAAAATTAACCATAGTAATAAAAATTGAGATGTATTACCTTACTCGACGACAAAGTTGCCAGTTTTCACCTTGATCGAAAAAAAGTAATATTTTCCCACGCATATCGCGGGTCGTCACGTTCCTTGCCTGGCGTTACAACTCACGTGAAACCGCCTGGTTTCAAACAACTGAACTGAAGAATCCGTGAAAATCTTAGCCAGGCAATAAATAATGGAAGTTGATATAAGTTATCATTATTAGTGAGCGAGGATCGATGCGATGATAGTTCCAGCTACATGTGTTTACAGCGTTTGAAGATTTACTCAAAACTCATGAGACATGAGCCCTTGAAATAAACATCATTACTTCCGGTTTTAAAAATTGGGCGTTGGCAAAGTAATGAATAGACTCATTCTACCTTGTACACCGTTAACAACGGTTCCGTGTACAATTTTCAGGTATTTTGTCTCAATCACGAAGCCCGTTTTGAGGAGATTCTTGATAAACAGAAAAATTGGTTTGGAAGGGGTTAAGAAGAATGAGGATGAGCCCAGGACAGCAAAAACCACAGTCACCCCACCGAAGGGCTTTAAAACTGTGCGCAAATGCCTCACCCTAGGGACAATTCCAGATTTTTGTTTCCTTGAAAAAGCTTAAAATCGCTAGACAATGCATGGACAACTCAAGACAGTCCTAATTCAAAATAAAGTAAACAGCAAAGAAAATTCAGTTAGAGACCAGCGTGTTTATCCGATATCGCGAACAATAAGGAGTGATTGAAGATGTGTCTGCAGTTTAAGGTAAAATCATTTACCATGCTCACGGACCTTTCGACAACATAAGTGTACCGATTGACGTAATATCAGTGGTAAAAACGAACGCTTTTACTGTAGGACGATGACGTCATCATACAAAAGGCGTCTTCACTCTGACATCCAGAATTTCAAACAGTCAAAACCTAATTTTCTCTGCTCGTCAAATGAAAAACGCCTCTGAGGACAAGTAGTGGTAATGTGCTTGTTAGTAAGACGTCCAACATAAGGAGACATTCATAATCAACTCGGTTAATGCATTGATAAAGGGAAACTTTCTCCTTTACCCTTAGGGACAGAGTTCAAAGGCGCAAAAGATTTTTAGTTCAGCTCTAACATGTGTTGTCTAGCGATTTGCCTTGAGCTTCTCTAAATTTTCCAGATCAAACAAGCTGTGCCCATCGTACATAATCTTGTCTGGGCTCCCTTGAAAAATTGCAATTCATCAGATGCCTTCAAGTTCATCCTCCGCCGCGACAACTTCGTGATCTATTTTAATGGGTGGTTTTCTGGAACTATCCTATGGTTTGTCCTTTCTGGTCGTCACTATATTAGCGAACATGTTTCAATTTCTCTCCAGCAAAAGTCTCTATCAGGAGCGTGGCCAGGACTTTCCAGGTGTGCGGAAAATTTCCAAAACTTAGCCTAACATCTTACTCAGTTCTCTCGCAACGTTTCCCCACTACATTTGCTAATTCTGTTAACTAGGTTAGGTTATGCGTGGATGAAATGGCACTTGCAATCGGTGAGAAAATTAGGTTAGACACTTTACCCTCAAGGACGACTCTCACGTTTTGCTGACACTTTCTACCTTAGAAGAGATAAGTGAAGCTTTGCCTTCCCCACTCCGTGTAAAAAAATGTCGTTCGGCTGTTCAAACTACTTTTAGGAAACAACAAACTTCCCAACTTTAATTTTTAATAAAGGTATAAGGGTAGGAATCCAAATTTTTTTGGAGTATTTCACTGATTTTAATATGATGATTGTAAAGTAGTGTCTAGTGAGTACGGGGGCTAATGCCCCATCGTAAAAATGTGAAATTGAAAACAAAAATCTTGTATAACCGAGTAGTACACAATTTTAGTTATTTTATTGAGTTGTGAAAAATCACAAATTTGTTTCTTCTTGAATGTGTTATACTCTCATTCATTCAGTCTTTCCGATATGCCCGTCGGATAGCGGAAGTTAACGTAATGCACCTATCAATGTAAACCCCGTGGGGAGGTGGCGGGCAAGGGGTGGGGATTTGACAAATTTTAAAATTTTTCGATCAAATTCCCCAGGGTGGGAAACGAAAGGTCAATCAAAAGTGTCAAAAAAGCCCCCACCCCAGGGGAAAAAATCTAAACAAACAATGCTATAATACTATATAAAACGAATAAAAGAACATTTCAAACACGTTGTTACTACTTTTATTTACGGTTAACGGAAGCTCCATTAAATTACTCGCTGTAATTAAGTATTTTCTCTCTCCACTAGCATCTCTTATCTTGAACAACAAAATCACTTCAGAAAGATTGACATCTGCTCAACATGTCGGAACAGGTCGGATCAGTGACCCATAAAAAATCCTCTGACTTTCATGGCGGAATTCGATTTCAATCGAGGTTTACAATCAGATGGGAACTTGAAGATAAGAATTTCCTCAAAATAGACATTATCTGTTTAGATGACAGTTTAAAGTATCGCATTATGGCAATTAAAACAAATGAAAACTTCATACCTTTCTCCAACAACGTGACTTTCAGGAAGCCTCGAGCGGGGACGGACTTGCTAACTGCTTCTGAATTGATACCTGACTTCTGTCGGTTAAAGTCAAATGTCCCGACCCCGGGGTCGCTTCGCACGATCAAAAGCCGGACAGCGGGGATAGTCCCAGGCATCAAATCCCTCCCTTGCCTGCACTCCCCGGGATTTACATTGATAGGTGCATAAATGATCGATTACCTGAAAAGAAGCTACCATCCTAACTTTCCACCTTCGGGTCTTTTCCCTAGCCATAATGTTTTTCCCTCAAGGAATTTTTCTCTGTTTTACATAATAATTGGTCTTGCATTCAGCTTATCGATTTTGAGAGCCTAGTCCTATGCCGTATTCTGATGCGATCTACTTTATGTAGCTTCCCCCCCATCTAACAGCTCCTTACTGAACAAAAACGGCTTTAATTGAGTCTATTCACTAGTCAAAGAACTAGCCAATATTTTTCCAGCGGTAAGCACAATGTTCCTAATTCCCCCTAGTCCCCTTCTTAGACGCTTTCATGTACATCAGGTGTTAAATTTTCTTTTCATAAGCTACAATGCTCATAATCGCTCATTCTGATGTCATTTATGCTTAAAAAGTTAAAAATTAGTTTATCGAAGAAAGAGTGAATTAAAGGTGTCATGAGGCGTTTGTGATTTCATGAACTATTTGACGCGGTCCTTTTCTTACGGCTTATGTCCGTTGGTGAAATCGCTACTTGGGTTTTCTTGGATTGAAAAGGGCGGGCTCTTTCTAAAGGTGGCGTTGTTTATGGGACCTTAGTATTCAGAACAGAATCAGTCGATGGCAAACAACGAAAAGGCTTTTATGTGGTAAGTTACAGTGATGAACCTTGCCTCGAGATGGTCATATTTTTGTACATACCTTCATGCAATTCAGTGTTGGTCTGAAAATTTTTTGTTATGGATGGGGGAAGGGTGGGGGAGGGGGAGAGATCAGAACATGTACCTCGTGTTGTTTACGAGACATTAAAGTAATGAAAACTGTTAAACAGTCTTCTACGAATCAAAATAGTTGTAAATGCTTACGGGAGGCCCTAACTATATGATGATAAGAAGGGCTATATTTGGAAAGGTGCATGGTCGTGGAGTTAAGGGGATTTGACTAATCAACCAATTTCCCGCTAAACCTGCGCTAAACACAAGGGCGTGGCCAGTGGCCCCAAAAATTGTGTTCGCTCGCCCCGGGCTGGCTCGACTTTTGGGATACGGTTATGGGGTTATAAACAATGAGTTCATCATCTATGTAGCCTACTCGCCCCAAGTGACTGCATTTCGCTTTTCAGAGACCCATCAGTTACTGTATGACCCTCTCCGATCAGATTTTATGTCCGTGGTACTGGTGGTGAGGTCAGTCTACAAGCAGAGTCGTGAAAAACACCGCCACTTGAGCCTTTACGTTCAAAACATTCCTGGCTATCGGGAAAAAAAGAAGGCGCCTTCAAAAATACTAAATAAAATGTCATTTCAAATATCACTTTGTCACCGTTCGAAAATTATTGTGAATCAGACCGAATGAAAGTTCGCTCAAAGAGGGGAGGGGGAGGGGGTTGGTAGTTCTTAACAGTTACAGTTAGCTAGAAAATTAAAAGTTACGAAAAAAAATAGTGGGCGAACTGCAGAATACATGCACGAATGAGAAAAGAAAATAGAAAACAACTTCCTGTTCAAATTCGGGTGAAACTTTTAATAGCGTCAAGAAGACTGAACTTGATTGAGGTTGTTCATTTCAGTTCCGTTCCAGCGTGCAGTTCCTTGTCCTCCTAAAAATAGCTTCGTCTCCCACCGATCATTCCATGTCATATTTTGCGGACTCGGACTTATTATTCAGTAATGACGGTACGATCAGTTAATTTGACTTGATGAGTTCTTTAATTTCATTTCATGTACTAGTTTTATATCTTACGCGGGAAAGATCTGCCAAACAGTGTACATTAGCAAAGGTAGGTTCCTGTTTACACGTGTAATTATCGAATACCATACAATTTGCATAAAGCTACAGTGCACGGTTGGTTTTTCTAGCCTTTTGATTAAAATTGACAACGTTTGCGTTATCTTTGCCTAAGAAAATATGTAATTTGTAGCTGTATACAGCGAAATACTACAGAGAAAATTGTAACTGTGCAGTACACGAGCGGCTCCCGATTGGTCTGGGAAATCGAAGAGCGACTTTGAGCTAGTACCGTGTGTAACAAAATTTATAATTTTCATTTTAGCGCATATTTCAAGCTCTTCGCAAGATCAGAATCAAAAGATCATCTGTTTACATTACAAGGGAGGGTTTTTAAGCGATAGAGAGGGTTTAAGAGGCACGATCAATTTTTAAAGAATTTTCTTTTCAAATATTCACCGAATTTTGTTTTGAAGTTTTAGCGGTCAAGTGGCTGAACCACTGCGCATTCATGCAATCATATTTCTGTTCCGTTGCATTTGCCCAATTATTTTATTCAACATTCTAACTTAGCGATAAACAAACTATGTTTACTTAAAATGGCTTAGTCTAAATCGATGTGGCATGGGTGATATTGGCCTTCCAATTTCTACCAAATTTGTGTACCGTTTACGTACCGAAAAAGTGCTGTGAGAAGTTATAGCCGTTCGTAGCTCAGGCTTAACCATTTTCAGATAAGAGTAGGTAAATGAAAGGAGGAAGGATAGTTCTTTGCAACTGTATGAGTCACGATTACGTTATTTTAATGATAAGGCTAGAATTAATTACTGTAAATCTCCTTCAGTTCACCAACATGGCGGCCGCTCGAGGCCTCGTCAAAACTGTCATTCCTGTATCTTTGAAACCAACGAGAATTCGAACCTTAGAATATGCATTCAGCATTTAGGACACCATTCTAAGACTACATGCCAAAAATCAGCCAAATCGATGAGGTACCGTGTCAGGCCGAAGTTCGAATTTTACAGAAAATCACTCTTAAAAATCTTTGGTTAAAGCACCTGTGTCGCGAACATTTTTTGAAGTCAAACATTGGGAACCACCACCAGACTGAGTGAAGCATAAAAATAACTTCTCAAAAAGTAAAAAGAATGTATAAAAAACACAGAAAATGCAAAAGAAGGCTCGGATGGACAAACTTGGTGAAGATTAAAAATGAATTGCATTTATTGTTTTTGAGAAATTGTTAGCCTAACAGTTCTCAGGGGAACCCAACGACGGTTCCTCCTAAATGCATTGAAAACACTTTTTAGGCTACCCAGAGTACTTTTCTTTAGAAATACATTCTAATCGGCGCTATAAAATTTAAATCTGTTTGGTCATCCTAGGGCAACTTGAGTCTTTGCCGGGGCTTCAGTATTATTTTCCCAAAAATTTTAGATGCAATTTAAAGTTTTACGAAAGTGAGAATTTTTCTGATTCCTCTTTCCATCGCATGTTCGAATCCGAAAATTTTAGGTTTCCTTTTTCTGCGAAAAATAGCTTAATCTGGGGAGTGGAATACAAAAATTAAACTTCAGAAAATAGTGGCGAAATTTATTAGATAAGCTTCGAAAATTGGACATGAATGGAACAGCCACCTAGACATTCTTAGCCTTCCTCAAGGTATAGAAAACTCTACGCAATTTTTTCTTCTTCAAACAGATATTTTACAGAAATCTGTCGTTAGGTGCCACTGAGTTCTCGCAAAGTTCATTATTAATGTTTTTTGTAACGTTTGATATACTGCTGAGGATGTATTTGTTTGCCACTAAGCTTGATTTTATCATTCACATGTAATTTCTTAAGTTCCAGGGCGAATAAGAACGCGCAATGAACTAGACAACAGGAACACAGCTTCTTAAACAAGAGCATGGGTAATAGAATAAACTTTGCAGGAGCAGGAAAAATGGCAGCCTTAGCTATGAAGTACTTAGTTTTTCTTAACCGTTTTCAATCGTCTCTCCTTTGACTGTATTTTATGTGTGCAATACCCGGATCAAGCCGTTGTTTCCATAGTGTGAAAGGCAGGGCGTGGAACAAGGCTAGACTCAGATTATTCCGCACCCTCCGCGAAATGAGCGAAAGGAAAAAAAATATTTACACCTACGTACATACAATACATTTTAGCTAAGCTTCTTTAAAGTTTTACCCTATCTTAATATGACATACTTATATCAGCTAAGATTTTATAGATGGAGATTGCAAGATCTAAGAATTGTTGTTTATTTCATTAACAGGCTGTCACGATAATCGTGTGGCAAACGGAAATTGTCCTGCTTGGGCCAGCAGAGGAGAATGTCAGAAAAATCCCAGATACATGCTTGTGTATTGTAAGAAAAGTTGCCGCGTTTGTGGTAAGTCACCCTAGAAAATTAATCACATTAAGTAGTTTTTTTTTTCAAAATCAAGGCACAAACAAACTCCGCTTTATGGACACCCGCTTAAAACAGACACCTCATTAGTACAGACAGTTTTCTTTGTCTCTGGGAAAAGCTTAGGTATGCGCAACTCCTATTGTAACGGTTACACTGACCGTGAGAAGTCTGAAGACGAGAAAAGGAGAAAAAAATGTGGTAGAGTGTTGCCTGCCAAAAATCGAAGAGTGTGGACCGCGTCCTTCACCCTTGTGGACCGGTGACTGGACCCGGGGTCCCCTGGGGGTTTTCGTCAGACAAATTAGGGACCTTAAGCGACGACGACGACGACGGCGGCAGTGAAAACGTCGCTAAAAAATGAATTTGCGTTCTTTCAAACTTAATCGCGTCTATTTGGACCCGCTCAATATGTCAAATGCAGGCGACTTTTCCTGGAGTTGAATTCTTAAGGATTTTATTCAAGTTCAAAAAGTGGAAGGAAAATTCGTCGCCGTATGTCCACGTCCTCCATAAAACGTCAAATTAGGGACCTTAAGATCCGACGACGGCGACGGCAACTGGAACGCCACAAAAGCAATAGGTATAATTAGCAAAACAACAATTTTGCACGTGCATCACGCTTTTTTGTACATTTCTTTGCCGTCACTGCACGACTACGACGTGAAAATGCCTAAATTCACGATGTACAGAGGAAGTACACAAGCGACGACGAAATTTCCTCTCTCTTTCTGAAGTTAGATATGGTGCTTAGGAATTCAACTTTAGGAGGGTTCGCCTACATTTGACAAAGTTGGTGACTTGGAGTAATCGTGATGAAGATTGAAAGAACGCGAATTCACTTTTTCAGCGACGTTTTCTCTGCCGTCGCCGTCCTCGGATCTTAAGGTCCCTAATTAGGAGGTTTCACGTCGTAGTCGTACAGTGAACGTCAAAGAAATGTACTAGAAAGCGTGATGCAGGTGCAGAGCTGTTGTTTTGATCATTAAACCTATTGTTTTTTGAAGTTGTCGTCGTCGTCGTAGTAATAGTTGCTTAAGCTCCCTATTACAAGGCCAGTGCCCTAAGGAAATTTTTTGTCATTTTAACTTTCCGACATGGAGACAAGCCGAGCGCGCTGTTGAACGCGCTGTAAGTACTGCAATCTTGCTTTTATGCACGGTTTATTCGAAATTTTTGCTCTGTTTGTTATTCCGTTTTCCAGGTTTGTTGTCTGAATCTAGATTTTGTCGTTGTTCTTTCAGACTTTGCCTGTCTAGTTTTAGTTTTTTAAGTTTGAATAAACAACACTTACCAAGCAGCCGTGCGGTATATCATCGTTTTTTTATTTATTTGTTTGTATGCTTTCATTTCTTTCCGACATGGCCTTCTATTATTCGACTTCAATTCAACCGGCCATAAGATTCGTATCTTTAAATTTGATATGAGTCTTTAAAAAGCCTAGATAATGTTCTTGTTTGATTCCGCTCGACTAAATTAACTTAATCATTTGCCGACGGAGAAAATCTCTACTACGAATTTGTTTTTTTGTTATTTAGCTTTCTCAAATTTGCTGATTCTTTTATCCTTGTTTAAAACAAAAAAAAGATAATATAAGCTTAAGTTTAGAATGTTGCAAAGTTTAGTTTTGGTTTTGTATAATACCAGTGATGTATTATAAATTGATTTTAATTTTTTTTTTAGGCTCAGGCTCCGGTTCCAGCTCAAGCCGCTGTACTGATTCAAGCAGGAACTGTCGCAACTGGGCCATGCAAGGATATTGCAGTTATAACTTGTATACCAAAACGAACTGCAAGAAGAGCTGCAACCTCTGTCGTGAGTGACTTTGTAACATACATTTGTTCACTTTCTTGATAGTTAACGCAAAACTTTGCTACCTTGTCAGACAAAGAACCTAAGAGTGCACCTTGAACACTGGTTTGGAAAAAACGTTATCTAGCACTTTTAAAACTCCTTTATTTCGGTATCCTGAGAGAACAATGAACATTTCGCGATGCCACTGGCTTCCCCGAACGAGAACAGAAATTCCATACTGATGACGCGTCACTGCCCAGGTCTGGTTAGTGCTTCTGATTGGTTGAAGCAAATTTTCAGACAATCAGACGCAAAACCCAGACATGGGTAAGACATGGGTAGTGTCGCATCATCAGTATGGAATTTCTGCCCTCATTTTTCAGGCCTCATTTCACGGGGACACCAGTGGTGGCGTCGCGAGATGTCGGCTAGTTTTACCTAAATTGTTCTTATAATTTTTGCAAAATTTTGCAAACAGAGCTTACTTATCAAAACTCCCCTTTAAGTTTAACTAAATGGACCGAAAAAAAAAGTTACCTAAAGATTGTGATATCTTTTTTTTTACCGTGTATTCCCGAAATCATGTCCCGGAGCTCAGCTATTTTTTTAAAGGCCTTTTTCAAAAGGGCTTATGGGAGGAAATTTTGCCTTTAAGGATCCCATGGGGTTAAAACGTGTTAGGGAGGGGATTTTGTGTCAGCATTTTTTTCATAGTCATTTTAATAGGCCATTTGCTCGATGGCGTCATTTTACCACTACAACTAGAATTCTTCACGTTTTTCCTTTCATATTTAATTTTGGCAATCTCAGCGAGGTTTAAACAACAAAAGCACTAATTTGCACAAGAAAGCAAAACCCTGAAATATTCTGGTCGTAGTAGTAAAATGACGCCATCATGCATGCAAATGGGCTATTTTGAACAAGAGAATTCGCGACGGCCTAGTCCCTTTGTACATGCAATCCTGAACACTCAAATCAATTCAGCATATATACCACAAATGTCATGCCAGTGTTTTTGTATATGTTGTAGTTTATAATTTTATCCTTGATTTAAATTTTATTTTCCTTTGTTTTTGAGTGTGGTAAGGAGTTTGAAACAAAGGAAAATAAAGTTTACCGTATTTATTCGATTAACCGCCCTGGGCGCTTATTAAATTTTTGGACCTTGAGAGTGGGCGCTTATTCGAGGTGGGCGCTTATTCGAGGCTGGGCGCTTATTAAATTTTCACCATTTTCAGCAAGTGTAGTATGTTAATTTACAACAATACAGTAAATGGTAATAATAAAAAGCGAAGATGTAACAAAGCAAGGTTTCTGTAAAATACTTTGAAGAAAACTCCGTCTTCGGGCAAGTCTCTTATTAGTACTTATTTAAGGCTTTTTGGTTGGGAGCCTGGAAGGGACCAGAAAGGGGGTTGGCGCTTATTTGAGTTTGAGTTTGAGGGGGGGAGGTGGGGTGGGGGTGGGCGCTTATTCGAGGCTGGGCGCTTATTAAATTTTTCTGCCTTCAGGATGGGCGCTTATTCGAGGTGGGCGCTAATTCGAGGCTGGGCGCTTATTCGAATAAATACGGTAAACCAAGAATAAAATTGAACCACAACATATCAAATAAGCGTCTCAGTTCCTATTTACATTTGTTAGCAGTGACACGAAGTGGCCTGACTTTTAGTGGACAACATCCTCAAAACCCGAAAGATTGAGTGGGAAAAAGTTGTTGCATCAACAAAAGAAGATCGGGGAGTATTGAAGCCACAAATGCATTAATTGATACAAATGTAATAAAGCCCCCAAATGTAAAAAAAATTAACCAATATTCTTCTGCATTTAATCGATCCATATAATCTCCTGTTTTAATATTGCTTTGTTACAGCTGTCAATGGTAACTGGGCAAACTGGGGAAGTTGGTCAAAATGTTCCAAGAGTTGTGGTGGAGGATTCAAAACAAGGAGTAGGACGTGCTCTAACCCGCGTGCGAAGAATGGAGGTCGTAATTGCGCGGGAAGCAAAACTCAGACAGCCTCATGTAACGCGTCACCATGTGCGAGTAAGCATGGCATAGTCAGGGACAGGGCACTACGGGTAGTCTCCTTTTTTTCCCGGTCCGTCGAGCAAAACGCGCAAGAAACGAAATTGACCAAGCGCAGCCCTTTCTTCTTGCGTCTCGCGGCTTTGCTCGCGCGCACGTGAACTCCCTTCGCTAAATCTGAAGAAAAACTGAGGCAGCTCTCAGTCTAGATCAGGGACACTCATAAGATAGACATCAGGGAAATACGAGATTTTACTTTCTAACTGATTAAACTATTCACAGCCCTTTATTCTCTTGTCTTTTTTTTTTTTTCATTTAATCAATGCGCAAATTGCACGTGTGTATCACGGAATGCGAGTAGTTAGAGGGGGTTGGTGTTGGGTGGCCCAAAGTTATTCTGTTTTCTCTCTTGCACACTGATTTACCCCTACCGTTTCGTGCAACGCACAAGTTCGATTCAAACAAAATGTATTGCAAAGATCAGCGCAAGACACTCCTGACAAAAACAAAGAATAGGTAGTCTAGGTCAGAAGGATCGCTGAGTCACTTCGCCTCTACTTAGCTGACGCAGTATATGGACAAGACAAGAAAGATAATGTTTACTATATTGAGTTTTCATTTTTAAAGTCTTTTTCTTGCTCCTGTAGTTCACGGTAACTGGGGAGGATGGAGCACATGGTATTGTTCTAAAACCTGCGGAGGTGGCTACAAGTACAGGAGTCGCACCTGTTCCAACCCAGCTCCTCAGAACGGGGGAAGGAATTGTCCAGGATCCTCACAGCAGAAGCTTACGGCAGCTTGTAACGTACAAGGGTGTCCAGGTATGGGCTCGCTTAATCAACATTACTTTCAGTCCAGCATTTCATGGGCGAGCCAACCTCAGCGCGAAGTTTTCATTCGTATCTAAAATGAGGCCTGCAAGAGGAATGCTTCATTTGGGCAGTTCATAGCCTTTCATACCTCTACACATTTAATCCCGAGAGGGGAATGAACTTTTTGCGAACTCAATTCGCTCGAAAACGAACGAGTGCTTTCTTCTCGCTGGTTCGGTAAACACGATCACTTGGGAAATTTTTAGTACGGCTAGCAGTGATCCCAGTATCGGGAAACCGAGATCTCGGATAACTGGCCTGGCACAGTTGTCATGTAATCGTAAAGTTGATTTCATTGTGTTTGAGAAACTGGCCAAGATTTCGGCAAGCTTAGCCTTTCGCGTGGCAGTCATGTCATGAATGGGCTCTGAGAGGCAAATGTTTCTTGTATATCATATCGGTTGGCTCGCCCTTCGAATGTTGCGCACTTGAAAGCTACCTCTTAACTTTACGAGTGAAACTTTTTGAGCACCACGGTAAGGCGGCAGTTTACTTTATAGTGGTTGGATATTTTTCTTTTGCCTTTGAATGCTGCGTACGACAAGTGGGTTTTTTTTGTTTTTTTTTTTTTTTTTTACATTTCACAATAATGATTGCTTTTTTCATTGGTTTTCTTTCAAGTTAATGGAGAGTGGAGTTCTTGGAGCAGTTGGACAAAGTGCTCTAAGACTTGTGGAGGTGGCGACAAAATCAGAAAACGAACCTGCTCTAATCCAGCCCCTGCGAACGGTGGTCGTGGATGCCAAGGATCAAACAATCAGTCGTCGAGCTGTAACAGTCAACTGTGCCCAGGTAAGGAAAGATACGTCCTACAGTAGATTCTCGAACACCTAACGGTGACATTGTCTTTTATTTCGGTAAAGGTTTGTTATGGTTTCCTTAGTAGTTAACCTGCTTAGCTCGCGCGCAATAGGGACGCTTGTAGTCTCAACCACCAGCCGCTGTTTGGTCAAAAGAGCTCGTGCTCATCCCCTGAACGTGACATCCCGGCGAGGGGAATGGAGGTTGAGAGACTGCCATATGAATGTAAACTGGATGTCCGACGGAAAATTAGAATCAAACTTGAGACGATCTTAGACCGGGCTCGAATTCCAGATCTTAATTATGAATTTTCTTGAAAGTTGTTTAAAAATTATTACAAAACAACTAAGATAGTACGCGCGTTCTGATTGGTTAAAGACCTGTGGTTTATTGTGCCGGTAAACTCACAGAAAACTTAAAGTTATTTTATAAAAGCAATACACCACACTTTCTATGGGTTTACCGGAGTGATAACCCACCTGGAATGTTGGGAGAACTCTCAAAACGGTCTAAGTCACTGGCCTTCAGCTCGTGATTTACAAGCTTTTCTCGTGGTCTCCCAACATCCCGCGTGGGTTATCACGCCGGTAAACCATAGAAAGTGTGGTCTATTGCTTAAATGTCCAACACTAAAATGTATTTATCAAGACCTCGACAACGTATTTCCGGCTGTTGCTCTGTATCCTTACCCGGGAGCCAACACGTGGAACTAAGCTCACGTGACAACTCACGCTTCATACCACGTTCCATCTTCGATGATTTGATTTGAATGTTATGCCATTAATTACGACCGTCATGTTGTTGTTGTTTGACGTAATGCCTCATAAAGAACAATTTTACCAAAAAATTTACCGACGCTATTAAAGTATAACTTAAGAATAGTGTTACCCTCTTGTGTTAAAAAACAAATGTTAAATAATTGATGAACATACTCAAAACACATCTGCTACACAGTTGAAAGTGTTAAACATTGTCATCCAATGTAAGGATGTAGACTTGGCACCCACTGAACCGTCAATTTTTCGATTGATCTCAAAAGGCCCGGGGGTACTTCCATGTATACGCTATTAGGCGTGGGCTTTGGAATAGGGTGTGGTTTTTGAGGCGATCAGATATTCAACAGGGCATCCAATTCGGCTTTGTGATCCTTTGATAGGGTTCCGTTAAATCGTACTTGCTAAATCGCAGGACAACTTCACTAACCGTTTAAAGCATTAACAAAACGCCAAAAGAAAAAAATATTCACACATAGAAACAACTGGGTTGCTCAATTCTACATTACTTGCGGACATAAATGGCTGGACTACAAATAACCCATACCACTGATGGGGGTAAAAAGGTAGAGAAAAAACTATAATAACACTGGCTTCATTGGCAAAAGCCTTTCCCGAGAGCAAGAATTCCGTGATATTGTTTAACTTTGTAAAAAATCCAAACAGTTTTTCTTTGAGGGAGCTGATTATGGGAAAAATTTTAATTAAAAATTCTGAAAATTTTTTAGTTAATGGCCTTTTATTTATCCATCAAAATTGTTTCTCTTATTACGCAACAGCGTCTAATTCCCCCCTGGGCTAAAACAGTCATTTGAATTGCTGTGAAAAAACGAAATAACAGAATGCATTAATCTCAGGAACACTTTTTGGATGCTGTTTTTTCTCTTTGTTTTTGTTTATTTGTTTGGTTTCTCTACATTTTTGGGTGTGACTGTTTTGTTCGTGCGGCAACTAGAAAGATTTTTAAAATTCGTGCATTGCGGATTTTTCAAACCGCAGCTTTTTTGCCACTCTCTGTTAAGCTTCTAGCTGAGGATCAATCAGCTTTGCTCCGTTTCCTGATGTGAAATGAATAAGTAAGTGCCAACTCACGCGGCTTGCTTGCATGACCCACGCGAAGATACAAGGAGCACAATGGTCACTTTACTCTTTGATGACAACAACCTCACTGGAAGCTTTGTGTTTAAGCACGCTTGTGGTGTATGTTCAGCTTTTTATTTTACTTTTATACAACTGAACCTTTGCAAGTTGACACATTTGCAACAGGAAATAGCATAACATTTAAATCACACTTTATTTTTGGAACCGGATAAAATTCTTTTTCGCATCCTGGTGTTACTGCTTTAAGAGTTTCTCCTTCCTGGCAAGATTTCAAGGTATCGTTTTTACGCGGAACTCCCCTGATGACGTTATTTTTCTCACCACACGACTGGCTAACTTACTCAGATGACGTGATCAAGCAGACTGAAGGAATTTTTTAATGTGATATTCGAATAGCCGAACTTCATTTAATGGTTGACAGTTCGCGATCGGGACATTTTGATTCGAGCTGCCGAGACTGAACGCTCCTAAGACTACAAGATGGCCTTGGTTTTCAAGCTCTACTTAGTGGCGATGTTTAGCTTTGTTCTGTTAACGCGAAATGGATGCCAGGCGACAAATGTAAGTACCATTTTTGTTGTCTTTAAAAGTTAATCTAGGGATAGACTTGTTTTTATAACAGCATGATGATCGAGTTTCATCACCATCGAGTCCACTCTTTTCTTTGATTTCCACACCATTGAAGCAACCTGGTCCTGGTTGTTCAAACGTTGGATAGCGTTATCCACAGGATAAATCACTATCCAGCGTATAAATAATGGGGAAACTAATTGCACTATCCACTGAATAGAGATTTATCCGGGGATAGCGCTATCCAGCCTTTGAACAACCGAGACCAGAACGCAGCAAATGTTAGCATTCATATTTAAGGCTATTCTAAATATAGGATGATGATAAAAGCCGGCAAGGTCACCCTTCTAAGATCCATGGTTTTCAACCAATAAAGTTGTTTAGGTCATTTCGGAGAGTTTTTAAAAGCCAACTTCCGGCTTAGTATAAAATACAGTATGAATTGCTTCAACTAATTGCCGTACAATAACTTAGATAAATCATAAGTGTATGTATGAATTACGAATTTTTAGTGATTCAACATCAGGATCCAGTTGTTTGAAGGCTAATTACTGCCAACCCGGGGTTAAATTTAGAGCAGCGTTCCTGTTTCTTTTTTTTCAAAAGCAATTGATTTTCACAAGTTATTGTAGGGCATACATACGTCAGATTGTATAGACTGTTAGAATTTACAGAAATTTGCTTTTGTAAACATTCAGAACTGAATTCAAATTTGAAATTAAACAACTTTGAACAACCCGTGCAAAGATTTCTTTGTCTCGAGGCGAAAGCTGTTTTTCTGCTCTTCCGCCCAGTTGTAAAATTTGTCAGTCATGTTGTAACCTCAGCGTGGTATAAACCTCAAAGAATCCATCACCCTACGCTTGCTGCACGTGACTTCCTTGTCTTCGGTTTTCAGAAGCATTAGATAATATAGTGGAACCTCGATATAACGGAGGGGCAAATGGCCTGGCAAATTTTCTCTATAATAATATCAAGGATGTTTTCCATATATTTTACTATTAGTGAGGCGGAGAATATCGTTCTTATATAGAAGTTCGTTATGTAGATATTTTTTTTCAGTCCGTGCCGCTGACGTTTTCAAAGGAGAAAGGAGTTTGTTCAGATGTGCGAGAATACGAAGGGCGCGCGCGGAAGTGGCCTCTTAGGCCTCGTATCCCTGAATCCCTAAGGTTATGACTAGAATGAATACCCTAAAAATCAGGTTGAACATTTCATGCTTATTAACTAACTCTATACTCCTCCTAGAAAACTATACATAATTATTGCGAATTTATTGATCGGCACATTTTTTTAGAAAAGTGGGAAAATCAAAGAGAGACTGTTTTGCAAGAAAAAGAGTTAAATCCTGGGTTCAGCACCGAAGTAATCTAAATGACCATTGTCATTGTCATGTAAATACGTTTAAATTAACCGGTGTCGGCAGTCAGTCCTCGATGATTTTGTGAATTCGGATGAGAATTATAAATCAAATGATGCGGGTTTAATTCTTACATACTCTTTTTCTTCTCTTTTCTTTCTTCTATTATTTACTACTTAAAATTAAAACACTTCTTTCATGCATTTTGAGTAAAGATGACAGCCTGATTTGGTTTAGCCATTCTAGTTACTACCTTTTCCTCAAACGCCAACCACGCAGGCTGTGTCGTTTCAAGTAGCAGCTCCAAAACTTCGTGATAAAATACTGCTCGGTACATGAAAGGCATATGCCAAAGGGGCTGCCTTGTAACCAGGCGTCTCTCTCTCAATGAAAATTTGCGCGCAAAGGAAGACGGGAAAGAGGAAACGAGCGAGGCGCACTTCGCCTTGCTTCTTTCTCTTTCCCATGGTCTCTTGCGCTTCGTCACCAGTCACTCAGGTTTCGCGCTCCCCTCTGCGCCTGAGCAGGAGCCAGTGCCAACGGAGTGAAGTTAAGACTACGGTTATGAGAAGTCTCGCTAACAGCCGTTTTTGTCTAGAGATTAAAACAGCTGAGAGGGAGACTGTAGGTTAGAAAACCCTAAAAAAAAATCAGCTAGCTGTGGAGAGAAATGGCTAGAGTTTGAGAAGTTTCTTAAGTAGTTTCTTTTTTTTTTCACTAGTGTTCGCGTATTTTTTTTCGCCCGGACGATCCCTGAAAAATAAAGAACTTATCAAAGCCTAAGAAATTACACCTTCTTCCAAAATGGAGAATTTTAACAAGCTTAAAACTTTTTTAGATTTATCCAGAAGATTTTTACTATCACGATGAAGAAATAAGTGGACACAATGAAGGCGATGATGATGACGATGAGGAAGACGAGCAAGGTAATAGAAATGATTTCCACTGCGTGATATGCTTACACCGTATTTGACTTCGGGAGTAATACCTCTTCACATAACTTGAATTTTTCTACTTTTTTTGTAGTACGTACAATTCGGATTTTCTTGAGTTCTTATTCTGGATTCCTAGGCAGTGAACAGTGTTAGTGTAGGTGGAAAAGGTTGGACAGTACAGAAAAAATAAGAATATATTTTGCGCGTTGAAACAACACGCTGAATCTTTCAAACTGGTTGAAGAAAATCTACACTGAAATAAATGTTAGCTCGACCTCCAACCTCCAAAAAAAGATATGATTTTTTCATGCAGAATTTTTTTTAAGATCAAATCTGCCGTTTTGCGTTTTTTCAGTCTTTATACCGATTATTCCTGCCCACTTACTTTGTCAGGCAGTGCCTAACAATGATCTGTATGGCATTTTACGATAAAAACGTCAGTCTTTTCACGTCTTGCAAAAACGGGAAAGAAATGTACAAAAGCGTTCGCCCTTTTCAATTAACCTTGTTTTTTGACGTTTTCGTTGTTTTTCCGCGTCTTTGGATATAAAGAAACACTGCACTGCTTTCATTAATTTTATCACTCACTTTTTGATGCAGAGATTCACGGTAACTGGAGTTCTTGGAGCTCATGGAGTAACTGTTGCGGCGGAAGAGCTTACAAGCTACGTGAATGCAACAATCCATCCCCCAAAAATGGAGGAAAATCGTGCGAAGGGCCTCGACGTGAGACTAAAGAGTGTACTTCCGGTAAGATTTCCCAGTGTCTGTAGGTCAGTTTTTAGATTAATAGTTAAGTGACAGAAACGTCTGTTTTCAGGCGAGATTGAAGACTACATTAGCTGTTGCTATGTTTTTTTTGTAACGATTTGCTTTGTGATTGGCTACAAAAAATCTCGCGGTTCGTCCTCAATCCAGGTTTAAGCAGTCACCATAGCGACCGCAACGGGAAAATGATAAGCAAAACAACAATTTTGCCAGAGCATTTTCTTAGTCTTTAGGCCACATTATTCCGCTCGTCCAAAGCGTTTCGGGTCACTTGGTGCAAGCGAAAATGTGAGCGTTTCCCGCCCGTTCGCCTCGGATACGTCACGGAAGTGAATTGACCGAGAGGGCCTGGAAAAACGCCGTATAGGGACTAAGCAACCAGAGCACCAGACTTTTAATCAAATGTCTTTGCCGTCACTGCATGATTACAACGTGAAACTTCCTAATGCGCCGTGTTTTACGGGGCCTAGACATACAACAGCAACGTTTCTTTCTCTGTATCAACTTGGATACGGTTCCTAAGAATTTGACGCCACGAAGATTTATATTCATTTGGCTTGACATAGAGAATTTGCAAACATTTCACTTGACTAGAAGCTGGAATAAACGCGATGAAGTTTTTTTGTTTCCTAGGTTACGTTTTGCTGCCGTCGCCGTTGTTGTTTCTTAAGCTGTCTAATAATACCTAACATCAACTTTCTCAGACACGTTTTCATACGCTCGAACGTTTGCATATATTTTGTAAGTTCACTTGGTTACCAATGTCTTTTTTCTTCAGATTGCGTTGTCAATGAGTACCTTGATAAAGTGGCCTTAAAAATTAACTCATGGTTTCAGAGGTTGTGTGAGAGCGGCTTGTAACAAATTAAAGGCAACAAAAAATATATATACATTGTAGTAGAGATAATAACGAGTATTTAACCAGGGTTTAATTTTGGCTGACATCCAGGGTTTGCGCTTTTACCCCGGCCCCAAAGTCGAAATGCAGTGTGATGCAGTGAATCCACTTTGTGGCTTTATTGTTAAAGCTGTCCTTTGGCAAAATAAAAATTGAGGATTAGAGACTGTGCAATAATTATCAGGAGGGGGGGCTGAAAAACTAGAGGGGAGGGCATTACATAAAATTGCTGCCAAGATAGGGGGGGCTCAAAGTAAAATCACTCATTTGACGGAGGGGGGCCTTAAGTTTTATTCGAAATGTAAATAAAATTAAACGCAATAAAAGATTCTCAATACAGGCATCATGATAGACTGTAACAAATATCAACACGAACAGCTGTTAAACGATTATTGAAAATATTCCATCAAAATGAAAAGCAAATTCACAACTGACCAATTTTAACCCGTCTTCTAATTAATTGAGCTGATCCTATGTAAAGCAAAAATCATGAACTTGTTTTTCAGCTTCCCCCATTAAACAATGGGAATCAAACAGATCTCGTAGACAAGCTTTGTCGGTTTTTGATGTGAATAAAAGTAATGTTTCTTCATCGACTGAATTGATTTGCTGAATTCCATATATATGTGACTCGTAACAAAGTTCAACAGCCTCTCCTCCCAAGGATCTAAATATAATGCAAGCTCTTTTTCGTCTGTTATTTGAAGCGTTCAATCTCCTGTTCTTTGATTTTTTTTCTCTGCTCCTTTCTCTTTCTGGCTTCAGAAATTTTAGATTTTGAGCCAGTGTGGTAAGCACCCCGGTACTTAGAAAATGCTTTGTCTAAATCTTCAATCAAGCGATCAACATCCTTCTCGATACTAGATGTTACATAATAACGTTTGTCATTATTGAAGCTGTGATGGCAGTTCAGTCCAGTTTTGAGTTTACCAGTGTGGTGGGAGGAGGGGGGATGCGACGTTTTGTTTAACATAACAGAGGGGGGGTTAGAACTAATTTTTTTTTGTTTTGGAGGGGGGTACTGTCTAAGTTTTCGCTAGATAACTCTAGTTTTTCAGCCTCCCTCCCCCCCCTCCTGATAATTATTGCACAGTCCCTTATAATATTTTTTTTTTGTGGCACTGTTAGGGGTCAACAAGCCTGCTTGGCTCTAATCAGTTCTTTTTTATTTTTCTTACTATAAACAAGGTAACTCTACGTTATTCGTTACCAGTCGCATTGTTGGTGGCAGAGTAACGTCCATTATCAAATGGCCATGGCAAGTGGGACTCTTGCAGTCACGTGATATTTTCTGTGGTGGGTCACTGCTAAACCAGGAGTGGGTGTTAACCGCTGCTCATTGTGTTTCGGATTTCGCCGGAAGGGGATCAGGCTGTGTAAAGCCTAAAGCGTGGAGACTCATGGTGGTTTTAGGAGAGTCTGATCTGAAAAAAGACGAAGGACGTGAAATACACAGAGGTTAGTAATTTATTCTTTTCTTAACCCTCGGACGTACTCAAAGTCATATCCCCCATCGTGGTGCAAAGGTGGGGGGCGGTTGAGGGAACCCCTCCCTAGAGTTTTTTATATGTTGAAGTATGTCGAAAAGATTTTACCTTGAGTGGAAAGTCTTTAATCTTCTTGAGAAGATGAGGTATAAGTATAATTTATGGGTGGTGGCGCTGCTGGAGGCCTGTAACGTCACCAAACCTGGTTACCATCTTGGTCGCCACCTTGGATTTTACCAAGAACTAGAAATTAGGAAAAAACGGCGAGAATTAGCAATTTTTTGTGCTCGATGTGTAGAATAATACGTAAATAAGTGCTTCGCTTCATTTTATCCACCAGGCTCCTGATCCACAAGATTTTCTTTTATCGTTGAAAGAAGTTGAAAAAAAATGCATTTTCACTCAAAAATGGCTTGACCACCTGCTACTGATGACGTCATATCTCGTAACCGTAGTAACTCGTCATCTCTAAACTTGCCTCAAAATGCGCGTTAGGAATAAACAAACAGCTACTGAAAACTTCAGGTGCTAATGTTTAATCCTCTAGGAAAAAACTCAGAAAAAACCTTACACCACCCCCCTTCTATTTTAAGTCGAAGGGTTAATACTGAACTGTTTCGTCTTTACTTTCTCCCTGCCTCTCGTTCGCCTCCGTTTGCAAAGCAGTTCATTGTCTCTATATGTTTTTTAGTTTAACTATCTGAATTCATATTCATCTTAGGTGTGGACCAAGTTTGTACGCACCCAAAATACGACGACAGAACTATGGACTACGACATTGCCCTGCTACGTCTTGATAAAGCAGTGAGCTACAGTGACGCGATGCGTCCCATATGCTTGCCTAGCTCCACCGAAAACTTCCCCAGTGGCACTCAATGCGTCGTGACGGGCTGGGGCAAAATAAGAGATTCAGGCCCTGTTTCGGATAAGCTGCGTGTAGCTTCTGTACCTATTATTGATCATAACAAATGCAGACAGATGTACGGAGGAAACCGTATCACAGAGCGCATGACCTGTGCTGGATATGAACGTGGTGGGATTGACAGTTGCCAAGGTGACAGTGGAGGTCCCCTTGCTTGTATGGAAAATGGAACACTGGTATTGGCTGGAGTCGTCAGCTGGGGATTCGGATGCGCCGATGAGAGGCAACCTGGAGTATATGCAAACACCATAAACTTGAAGTCCTGGATTGAAGGGATAATGGATTAAACTTGAAGAAAGAGCGGCAATGTCTAAACAGCCCCATTAGTTACCACGCAAACAGTAGTAAATATCAAAAAGGGAAAAGGTCTCAAAATCTTGTTGCACTTTTGAAGTGCTAGAATTTTTATTGCTCAGCAGGAAATGTGTTCACAATGCGCATAGTGCTCTGTCGAGGAGCCTGTAGCAATCTTGGCTATTTTTGTACGACACAGTTCGTTAACAATTTACAGAATTACGATTCTATGATTGAATCTAGGAATAAGAGTTACCGTAAGTAATTAATTGATTAATGCAGATAACGCTCCCTTTACGCGAATAAGGAGGATAGATTAAAACTTGAGAGGATTCGGAAAGCATTTTTCAACAATTACCAAATCCTTTTCCTGCCGACTATAAAAGACAGGAGTCGAGTTTTATTACAGATTATACATCAACAGTTACTGTTTAGCTGTCAAGGTTAACAATTTGTCCCTGATATTTATAGAAGATTTGCCCCTGCAGGGAGAGAAATCGTAGCCACATTAAGTTATAAACGGTGGCCGTTTTTATAGCTATTACCTAACATTCTATACAGGTGGTGACATTCGAGTTTCATTAAACAGCTTAAGATTCTGAGCGCGGCCATTCTTGTTACTAACGCATCTTTTGTCTTTGTATAAATGAAGACTCATAAAAGTCATATCGATAATCAGATAATACAGACATTGTCCTGTCCCATTGCTTCTCTTTTAAGGAGGGTTGAAAGTATCTCCTTCCTTCGAGGGTGGATTTTAAAAAATGTGCTTCTTGAATCGCTACCCAGATAAAACTGGTGTAAAAGTGTCATACCTCTTATAAGAACGTTGAACCTGGGCATCCCAGAAAAACAAAAACCAATTCCCTGATGCCTTGGGAGATGCAACCCACAAACTCTGGAGTGTTTCCTTTGCTGATGCGTTTACAGATAACCAAGACAACGACCTATGCTAAAACTAACCACTTATTTCGCTCCTAGCTTGGACCCTGGATCCTTGACTTGTCCGATACCAACAAATCTAAAGGGCAGTGTAACTGGGAATTTAGATCTACAGTGAAACCCGCTGGCCTGCTCGCAGGCTCATTTGTTCGAGGGCGAGAGCGATTAGCGACCAAGTGAGCGGCAAAACCTCGAGACAATTTCGGGCTTGGGCTAAGACAGGGGCTGCCAAGTCCTCCCCCCGCCACGCCTCTGTCTGCTCTCATGTTTAGTGAAGAATTTGGCCGGTAGTATCAGTGGTACACGGTCGTATCTCACAGCCCTTTTTAAGTGACGTCACCTTTCTAAAGATATGACCACTTTAGAAGTGAACGACACGACATTTTATTGTCACTTAATTGAAAGTAAGAAAAATAAAATATAATTATTCCGTCTAAAGTTTTATTCTTGTTCGTAACTTCATATACACGCTTTTTGGTTTGAGTGACTACTGGCGCATAAACTGTGCGGTAGAGTGTGATGCCAACTGAAATCCACTGATAGGGCCCTAGCCACGCTAAAATTCATCGAAATTTTCTAAAACAGTAAACGAACTAGCCTTCCACGCGGACGTTGTTCTGGCTTCGTCCTGCGCTCCTTCATAGTTTTGACTATGAACGAACATCAACTGGACATTATATAAAAGGCGTAAATAGTCGCGTAAATATGGTTCACCAGCGAGGCAGCGAGGAATCAAAACCCGGTCTCTTTTCATATTAGTCAGAATGTTATACCGCTACACCACCGGTGTGAACAGCACGGGCGAAACAAACAAACCATTTCTAATTACGTCATTGAAGAGCATTAGGTAACTCCGCTGAGAATACGACGTCACTTAAGATCAAGAGAGGATGATGACGATTAGGTTCCATCATCCTCTCGCTTGCTTATGGAAAACTCGACCTAAACTCTGCGATCTAAAAACAACCGCCAAGACCAAGTGGTCTTGGTCCTCTTTATCCTTGGGAAAATGAATAATACTAGCTTTCATTATCATACAGTCAAACAGCTTCTCACCGACTGTCTCTAGCACGGACACTGGTACTGGCCGGAGAAACACCAAAGACCGCCAAACCGCCGTTTACAGTCCTAACCTCTACAGTACAGACATATCTACTATGCGGACAGTTGGTTCTGTCCCTTCTCTATCTGTGTAAGGAGGTTTGATCGCCAGTCTAGCGTAATTTACACAAAAGTGTGCAATTATCGCGTAAAACTTTCCCTTATAGAGTAAACTATTTTTCTTTAATTTGTGGAGAAGGCGGGGGTAAATTAAATCATTGCTAAATTCTTTTCAGTTGTCGATGGTCATTGGGGTCCCTGGAGCGAATGGACGCTCTGTTCCAAATCATGTGGTATTGGTGAGTCAAAAAGGCAACGATTCTGCAACAACCCACCACCTCAAAATGACGGCAGACCTTGTATCGGGAACAGTGAAGAAACACGGCGATGCTTACGGCAGTATTGTGCCACAGGTATATAACTCTGAGATTCCGCTCTGTAGTCTGAGAAAACAGTCGAGATTTCGCGACACTTGTTTCCTTTCGAAATGACGTCTGGTACGCTTGAAAGCGATACGCGGAGGGGAGGGGGGGGATTTGGGGGGGGTGAGAAGCCAGCCAGGTAGTAGCCCCGTTTCGCTGGAAGCCGTAAGAAACAACAGACTGCTTGTAGTGTATCAGTAGGCAGTAGTATACGTTTAATTTTCATCTCGCTCGAAAAAGTAATCTAAAATGGGTCAAAATAAACTGTTATATGATAACGTTGTGACTTAGACTTTTTAACAGTGTGGAAGTTGATCTCTCCTGATAAAGGGCTCCTGCTTTACGCTATTTATGATTTAAAGGGGCCGATGCTTCTTATCGTTATTTACATAGTTTTTTTTTGTTGTTGTTCATCTTAGTGGCAACGACTGTTACACCAACACCTCCAACGCCGACAACAGCAGAAATATGTGGTCGCCCAAAGATAGGTCGCATAGTGGGAGGCCAGATTTCATCTAATGTAAACTGGCCGTGGCAGGTTGGGCTCCAGAAGATGGATGATGACTTCATTTTCTGTGGAGGGTCCATAATCAATCATGAGTGGGTGGTGACCGCTGCCCATTGTATTTATCGTAACAATCCCAGCAGAGAGGGGTGCGTGGCGCCGAGTCCCGGATTAAGAGTTGTGATTGGGGAGTTTGATGTGGAGAACATTGAAGGACACGAAGTTCACAAGAGTAAGGGTTGATTTCCCCGTGGCGTAATTTCTACGTGCGTACGTGCGTAAAATTCACGTTCGCAAATAAAATAGAAGCAATGTATGAAAGGTGGCACGTAAGGTTAAAAGTAGCAAACTCGCTCAATTTCACGTTTAAGCTCAGCACTTTTTATCTTGCCTCTATTTTATTTACGTGATTAAAATTTACGTGAGTTAACGTGCGTAGCCTAAAACGCGTCACTGGAAATCAAACTTAAGTTGAGAGTAATATGAATTATTCAAGGCGCATTTTTGCAGTTCCCTTCTATGCGTGACCAAGCAATTTGGTTGAAAAGCAAGGTAAAATCAAACCCCTAGTCTGACCTTTGTGATCATTGGTCTTTGTGATGGTCATTTTACTGATATGTTGCATAGTCACATTCGTTTATAACAGACCTCATTTTTTGCTTTTGACATCAGACACTGAGTGAAATGTCAGTTACTTACTTGATACCTGAAACAGCAAGAGAGTCATTGTCATAATGTACTCTTGTAGAGAAGGACCTGTTTTCACAAAGAGTCACCCTCTTGCACTGCTAAAATCAAATCTTAAGCTCATTCAAGTGAAGGTCCTATTTGCTTTTCTACGTTTTAAAGAAACCTTCGAAAGGGCGTTTCTCATTAAAACACGCTCCAACCCGGATAAGTCAGTGCCCCTGTCAGCAGTTTGAATCGACCTTTGTCACGCGGCGGCCATTTTTGTCTCAGGAGATTTAAAAAGCTTTGTTTATGCACGGCTAGCCTCGTTTTCTCTACGAGGTCTGTAAGGTCAAAATGCACCAGTACCGCGAATGATTGCCACCTTAATTTCACTAACTAGTGTTTGATTCTAATACCTCTGATTGCTTCTGCAGCCATATCAGAGGTGTGTATGCATCCTGAATACGATCACAGTATTTACAACAACGATATTGCCCTCCTGAGATTTGACAGCCCTCTTCCGGGTTATAACGAGACCATGCTTCCAGTCTGCCTTCCGAGCCCTGGAAAAAACTTCCCGACGGGGACAAACTGCTCAGTAACAGGATGGGGTAAAACGAGCCAACATGGGTGGGTCTCCAGAAAACTCCGTGTGGCCCACGTCCCAATAATGGATCACGCCGAATGCAAGAAAAATTATCTTCAACGCACGGGAGATATTGTTACGGACCGGATGATTTGTGCCGGATTTCAGGCGGGGAAGATCGATAGCTGTAAGGGCGATAGTGGTGGTCCTTTCGTGTGTAAAGATAGAGGTAGATATGTTCTCGTTGGAGCCACAAGTTGGGGAGTTGGATGTGCACAGGCAGACCAGCCTGGCGTTTACACTGACATCAAGGACTTTAGGACGTGGATCGATGGTGTGATTTCTCCTGAACCATAAGCAAGGATCCATTGAGGTCCTACTAACTGTAACTATTAATGACAATGGGGTAATTTTCTGTAATAAAAACTACAATTTTCACTCAGTCTTAAATGTTTACCTTACAATGATATAGGCAGGACACCTTCCAATACAGGCGAATCAAAAAAATGTTAAGATGCAAAACAGTCCCTTCTTTCTCTCAAACAGATCCCAGACATTCGCATGACAAACCATAGCAAGGAAATAAATGACTTTTATTCGGTCTAGAAGAAAATACGCTTGTGTGAGCAAGTGTTAATTAGTTTGCGAAATTGACTGTTGTGATAAGCAGGAAACAACTAATTTACTTATTTCTGTTTGATGTAGATACCTACAATGCCAATGTTTGCTTGAAAATCCAATGTTAAGTATAGAAAAAGGAGAGCAAGCGTGAGGTGAAGGTTTGCTCCCTAACCCTGCGTCAAGTAGGGGTGTAACTATTTGGTGCTCTAAATACAACAGTCTTGTACCTCAAGTTATCGTATGCTCGCCCATTTTAAATAGTCAGAGTATCATAGACGGCCGAAATAAAGATAATTTTATTTATTGTTAATTTTTTTCAAACGAATTAACAATCTTGACATCTAGCTAAATGTGGTAAGTAGATTCCGTGAAATAAAAGTGGTTTGTCTCTTTAACGTATGATCTTGTGAATCCAAGGAAGAAGATATTTCACGTCAGTATACACCCTTGGTTGCCCAGGTTGTGCGCATGCGCTAGCCCAACTGACCACGCCCACTTGCACAAATTTTCCGCTCTCTATTTCTTGGCAAACAAGCGGGCCTCCGCTGTCTCCTTGGCAACTGTCAATCCCCCCGTCCTCAAACCCAGCGCAGAGCATCCGGGAGGTTATAGTGTAAAATGGATATTGCTGCCTGCAATAGCTCAGCGGTTGCAGGGGTAGTTCGGCTTGTCGTAGCAGATTGGTGTCTCGTCTGGTGCGTCTCTTCTTGCTGAAACCGGTTACCCAGCAGTAGGTCCCGGATGGAAAACTAGTTAGACTCGTTGGAAGACATACGGGACTCATTGTGTCGTTAAAGGCGAGTAGTGGAGACTCCAATAGAAGAAGCGCAATATCGTAATCCAGAGTCAGGTGGTTGTAATTCGAGTGTGGACAGATCTTGGAAATGTCTGTAAAAAACACAGAGGTTATCACATATTAATCCTAAAAATATTGAGTTATTACATCTAATAATCGTCAAGAGCAATGGCAGACTCTGTTTGCAATTCAGTTTTGCTTATCAGCGCACGCACATCACTAGATCTGTGATCAAGGTATAAAACTAGCAAGCAAAGAGGCAGTGAAAAAGTCTTAAAAGAGGCAGCAAAAAAACATGGCACAATAAGCTATCCTTGAAAATTTGTGCCCGTTAAATCAATACTTTTGAAAAACGTCTGTTTTAAAAAACCAAAAAGTGGACAAAGAATGTAAGGCAGTATTTACCAGTAATTAATTATGCAGGTTTTCATTTCTGATATGTCCTTAATATGGTGACATATAGCTGCAAAGTACACAGATAACTGCAGTTAACCGGCAGCTCTTTCAACTTTTGAATTCAATTTGTTCATACCGCTCCTGTGAGTAAGATCGAAGGCAAATTTACCCAATGAAGTCACGATGAATCGTCGGCATTTAAAAGCGGTAAAACTTTCAAAAATGGACGTAACTTGGAATGCATGAAAATGAGTGGAGGTGTGGAGTGGAAAGTTGAACTAAGCGGAAGGTGTGAAAAGTTCCGCCACAGTTATAACGGTGGTGTTATAAGTATACAACTTACTTTTGTGGACCTCGTACCCATCAATGTTTCTGGCATCTAACTCCCCAAATATCAAAGTGACTTGCTTGCGAGGAACTACGCATCCTGTAGAGTCAACCGTAAGTCCTCTGAACAGCCCATAAACACAATGTGCTGCGGTCAGCACCCATTTTTTATTGATCAAAGATCCCCCGCATAGTATCTTGTCATTGGACAGCTTGATTCCAGTCTGCCACGGCCAGGCGCGAGGGGAGCTGATGTTCCCTCTTACGACGTAGCTGGTGTTTCGTTTACCACAGACAAGCGGCAGCGAAGGTTCTTAAAAATGAATGTATGTCATTACAAGTAGTTATTATAAATATTGCTAAAATAACATATCAATTCAAGCTATATCCCAAGAGTTATGTCATGGTGTTATGGCTGGGGGGAGGGGCGGTTTTATTCCCAAGTTTCAGGTATAGTACGGCGGACGGAAAGCTCACGTGACAACGTTCGATGCGCTGGCGCTCCCGCAAGTAGGATACAATCCAAAGCGGCATTAAATGAAAATGGGCGGACCAAAAGGTTCTTCGGCCTCTCTATATTTTATCGTATACTCAGGTCTTGATTGTCAATTTTGAAGTTGTTTACGCTGTGATTAAGCTTGAGGTAGCGTGGGCATGATTCCAAAACAGCCGTTTAGTTTAATGCATTGTGTTTAAAGTGATTATAAAAAATGTTCGGCGATGTACATTGCATAACATCAAAGTAGAAAAGGTGACTGCAGAACAACAATTTTGTCGAAGAAGAAGGTGATTTTATTTCAAAAAAATTATTTATAATTCTACATTTTCATTGGTCGCTGAAGTAAGAATCAGTTCGACTTGCTTGCAGTTATATATGACATATATAAGTAGTATTGGTAGCACATATTTTTAACCAAAGTGTTTATAGTTACGTTTTAAAGTAGCCTAGGGCCACGAAATATCACTTTCAAAAAACGTCCTAACCCGCCTAGTTATTGACACAATTACAACAAGTAACGCTACCAATTTTTATTGCTTACAATACTGAATTATTAGTGTAATTTACAAATGCCCGATGTACTAGCATGGACGACCATCCAGTTTCATTTTCTCCCCATCTCTTTTGTGAAAAATGCCAAGTAGCATTTCATGCCAGTTTATTTACCGGGACATTATATTTACATTGTTAGCTACAATAGCTCATACGGAAATATAGTAATTTGATGTAAACCAAAAACGATATTTTCTTTAGCATTTTCTATCACATCAAAAGAGAAAGACTATTAATAGAATTTTAAAGAATAGCATCTATTTCTTTCTAAATGGATAATCTCTTCTGTTCACGATCATTTTCGAGCAGCCTCTTCATGTGGTCAGTGCAGCTCATATTTTTACTTCCCTCTGGTCAAAACGCTTCCAAATTAAGTTCAGTTGTAAACTTAACGAACGCAGTATCACCCCATTGTTTCATAACCGTCTTCTGTCAGGGTAGGACTGGGTAATGGGGTTCCACTTGATTCAATGACGGCGCTGACAGGGTCAGTCAGTAAACTGTCCGCCATGTTGTCTTTCTGTGTTGACCGACACAAGTCCTTCTTCGACAGGAAGCTTGCTGGGTTTCTTAAACAACTGATAAATCAAAAAAATTAGAAATTAAAACCCTTGATACTAAAACTCTCGCGTGACTTTTCAAGCCAAAACCTACTCCCTACCTGCCGCCTCGACGGATCATAACGGTTTATATTCAGGATTCACCATGCCTGTTATTAATTACATTAGTTTTAGTTAAATTACCACAAGTACCTAATAATCACAATAGATACGGACAATCAAAAAATAAAATTCAGAACACGAACTCTGGGGGCAAATACATACAGTTCGGTAGCCGATGAAAAACGCGGGAAGACGCGTGCAAACAAATAATTGGCTTCTGATTGGTCAAGACAGTGGCGCCAAATTGGAGACGAGACCAAAAGGAGCGTAACCCTGCTTAACCTCGTTTTCATGCCTTTTTAAGCAAACGATCAGTTGAACACAGGGTAACTGTCAACAGCAATCTGGGAAACTTGGCACAATCCGGGAAACTCGGCGCTTTACTGGTTTCAGGGGCGTTTTTCTTTTCGTCGTGTTGATGGATTTTCGCTAGTTGGTCGCAGTCAAAAGTTGAAAAAAAAACCCAGCCCATCAGATGTACAAGTGATACGATTCTCATGTTTTTTATTTTGTGGGTCTGCAACCTACCACATGAGCAGCACAGGTATTATTAACATCACGGTCCCGAGGAAGAACACAAAACCAGGAAATTCAAACTTGAGTGATACAGGATACATAGAGTTGAAGATAAAAGCTCCAAGAAAATTACACAAGGTTTCCAGAGATGCGGTGGCAGAAAACAGCGCCCCTGAAAGTGAGAGTAAAACACATTACTATTACTGAAGGTAAAAAACGCAATGAACTTAAAGGGGCTTTGTCGAGAGGATATTGCTGTTAATTTTAGGGCATTTCTGTGCCGAAGCCATTACTTATTCAGGGGCACCCAACGTCAATTTTCGGAAAATATCTGTTCGGAAGAAGATTTGACATCTAGAATTTTCGGAACATTTGTTGTAAAATTTCTTGCTTGCCTGCTTCTCCTAGGATTTTCGAACATCTAAAAAATGGTATAATTGCCCATTTTTAACGGATTTTTACCCTAAAAAGCTCATCTATAATTTTTGGGAGCCTTTTTTCTGGCTGAAATTTTCGAAAAGGTAAGTTTTGATCCCTATAATTTTCGGATTACTAGACTTTCAGCTAGGAAATCCGAACAGAAGAAAACTTTTTAGGGGATAAAAATATGCCTCTATATACTGTTTAAATACTAAAATAATTGTAACAATGCTATGTTTAAGTGGTTTTCGAACTATATTATCGTTGGGTGCCCCTGCTTAGTGAGCAAACCATAATATTTTATTGGGGATTTTTGCAGGCGTTACATTAAAACTTGAAAAAGTTGGCCTAACTTTTCAATTCAATCCCTGTCCATCCTTGTCATCCGTAGCAATAAACGACAGTGAGGAAATAGTTTCAGTGCCTAAAAGATCATGATCTTACATAACAAAGTATACCTTTTTGGGTGGAATTCAATTGATGCAAAGACAGGTTTAAGCCTTTCAAGTCAAGAAGATAGCAAATAGCCCCTTTAAGGGTGGAGAGAGAGGCAATACGGCTTTTTTGAGCTATCATCCGAGAATGTTGACCTGTAAACTCGCTCTTTTTCCCGCCTTACCGTGAAGCAAAGAAGCGAAGACCTGCGTACGAGATTGGTCGACCTCGTTATAAACCTTGTTACTACATTACTAAAGGGAAACACAACACAGTGAGGTAAGGAGAGATACCTTGTTCGTCGGCACCAACTATTCTTGACATCATTCCACGGAAAATGGGAACAGCAGCCCCGCTGAATACACCGGCCAAAGGCGCTGAAAGAGGATCTCAGAAGGAGATTAGTAATACAGTCGACTCTCCCTAAACGGACACCTCTGTAACACGGATACCTAGAGTTGGTCCCTGCTTTCTTTACTCCCTTTATTTGACTCTTTTTAAGACGGACATGACTCTTAGAGTTTACTGTAACGCGTTAATCTTTCCCAATTTGTTTTTCCTATTGGAGCAGTTGGGGAAATTCAGTATTAAAAAAGGTTGAATGGCTAATATGGAAAAATTCCCGCGCTCATCAATCAAGATTAATTCTTGTTAGCCTCGGGCATCACCTCACGAGAGGGGGAGGTTTAGTGGGAGGTCGGGTTTCCCCACCGTATACGGACGATTTCGAATTCCTGTTTTTTTTTTTTTTTTTTTTTTTTTTTTGGGGGGGGGGGGGGGGGGGGGTCAAAGATAACGATTTCCGTTTTTTCACCGGCTCACTTAACTGTGAATCACGGTATTTCTTGTAGTTCAGCGAATTTGATTTCCATTGATACGGGCTCCAACTTTCTGTCTAGACATAACGCTTGACGTGCTAACATTTGTTTTTCTTTTTTGACGTCACTGACTTGATCTGCTGTGTTTTGTTTTGTACTTTGTTCTTTTACAGTATAATGCACAGGGAGAACGACAGCCTGTTCCAGGTTCCAAGATATTAGGGGGGTTTAGCAACGACGACGGCGACGGCAACGGGAACATCAAAAACGTAATGGGTTTATTAAGCAAAAAAAAAAACATTTCACGTGCATCACGCTTTTCTGTACATTTCTTTGCCATCGCTGCACGCCTACGACGTAAAAATTTCTAATGTCATTTTTTTTATGGAGCACGTAAACAAGCGACGACGAATTTTTCTCTTAGTGCGGTCCCCAAGAAATCAACTCCAGGTAAATTCGCCTAAATTTAACATTTTCAACGAACTGCGCGACCAAGTTTGATAATTAAAAACGCGAATATAGTGTACTCAAGTACTGGCAGAGACCCTGGTACTAAAACCAATGCGAAAAAAGCCCAGGGCCAATATTCACGTGCGTCATATTTCGCTTGGCTTGTTTTCGTTACCTCCCTACTGTCGGAGAGCATGGCACGGGTGACGATTGCGAGGCGAAAAAATTCGTTCCTGTAGCAAATATTGTTGTATTAAATTAAATACAAGTATTACTAAATTAGGCATTAAGATAATTCTAAGTTTTGGAGAATAAGCAAATCATACACTCTGTTCCAAATGCACGTAAACGCTTACCCAAATACACTAGCCAGGTAGCTTTTGAGAATCCAAACATCATTAAAGCCACAGCAAGAGAAAATATACCAACTCTAATAATGTTAATTTCAGTGAGACACATTCCCAACAGCTTGACTCCAAGAACAGCGCCAAAGCCTTGCAGAAAAAACCTGTAACCAGAGAAATAGCCAACCTGCTCTGCAGAGAAACACAATGGAGAATGAAGCACATACAGCACCATAACCCCACCAATACCAAGAGTAGTGAGGACAATCACACCCGAGGAAAACGTGAAGACGATCAGGTTTCTTCTTGCTCCGTTTCTCGGATTCTTGTAGACATTCCACACTCTGTTGATGCTCGCAAAGCTGAAGAGACTGCAGATTGATTGGTGTTCAGAAGATGTAGCTCTCGATTCGGGGACGAAAAAAATGACATAGAGTACAGAAGAGACAAGGCAGGCTAAGATGAACCAATAGGGCCCGATAAAACCAAGGTGTTCAATCCATAGTCCACTAGTTAGTTGACTAACCATTCCTCCTGTGAACACTAAGAATTCCATGAAAGCTGCAGAAAAGAGAAGGCGGATTTAACCATTACTTCCATGACTAATAGATGCTAAACTCACAAAATTCAAGCAGTCTATTAATTGCAAGACACCATTAGTATGCACCGACCTCAACAACTCTTTGAGCCCATAAGCTTTTTAGCTCAACCCAACAATGCATAATTCATATTAGAAGCCGTAGAGTGATCAAACCAAAAATTTGTAGGCCTGGGCCTACAGGTCTATGGGCTGGTTATGTCCCTCGCAACTGACTTTGCCTTTGCCTTTTGCCTTGACTAGATGGGTGTTCATGACTGTATTCTATTTATGCAAATTGAGGTCAATTATACACCTACCAAGACGAAAACTCCTGTCAGACTCATTTGTGGTGTCAGCGATGTATGCCATCGTGGCCATCGCCACTGTAGTAAAGAATCCACACAAGCCATTAATAGCACTTCCCACAAACAGCACATAAATTGGCCACTTTAAGTACATTGTTAATAGCACAATAACAGCCTCAATGGAACTTCCAATTGCTGGTAATGCTAAGGCAGGTCGACGTCCCACCATGTCTGTCCATGCCCCAATAAAAAGCGCAGTAACCAAGGAAGGAATTGATGCAAACATAACCATTCCCAAGTGTATGTATGAAGACAAAGACTGCACCTAATAAAGAAAATGACATTCAGTAATAATGTGGATTGCAAAATCTTCACAGAACATTAATAGACTCTATTTAAACCCCTGCCAAGAATTCATTTTTTTCAATTATACACAACTTTAGATAATTGAAACAATAATATCATTACTTGTAATTGATTTCTAAAATCATCACCTCTTTTTCCAATTCTTCAAGAGAAGAGTTGAGTTTCTGCTTACTGCAAGAATCGCTGTCTTTTGATGAAGTAGTATAAGGAAAACCTTTAGCCTCACTGACTCGTTTGTAGATAAATTGCTGTATGACTGGTAAGTGCATGAAAAGCCCATATGCGTAAAGAAAAATCACTGGCTCTATAGTGGGCTTTAGTGACTTCCATGACACTCTTGAAGGCATGGCTTGATGGAACTGGCAATATACAAAAATTACAAAACCTAAAATAGAAAAATATTATCCTTAAAAAAAAACAGTATCAATTAAGAAAACAAAAGGATGCACTAGATATCCCACACCTCATTTGTGGCATAAAGGGCATCCAAGCAGTAGGGATATTACCATATACAGTGTATGGGATATATAGGTGTGAGCCACTGTGAAGGGTATGGTTTTTTAAGAAACTTAGTCAGGGATAAGGTATAGAGATCAGAGAGTTTGGGTCTAGAATAAGGTGTAATTTTCCAGGAAACTAAGCAATTGGTTGAAAATTTTAGGCTAGACTAGGGAAACCAGGAATTGACAAATTATTTAAAAAATGAAATCCGCAAATCATAGTTTACGCGTAACTCAGTTTAATAGCAAAGAGAGTGTCAACTCTAGGATAGGGAGAGATTTTGGGCATTTAGTCTAGTTTAGCTGGGTAGAAAAATTCAGCAAAACTAGGTCTGGTGTAGCCTAAGGGTTCCGCCATCCCAGTGTCACATCCCTACCCAAACATTTCTAAAGTACCTCCCCCAAGGGGCATCCATAATGGAAATGAAATCATTTCACATTTCTTGATGAATCATTTTTAAAAGTAAAATATCATCCTACTTGCAAGATTCCTCTTTGTAAAAAAAAAAACAAAAATAGATTTGTTCGATAGTAAGCATGGGGCTTATAAGGGGTGCTTTTTTGAGACTAGAGATTTAACCCCAGGGGTTATGTGGGCTATAAGATAGGTATGTGCCCCCAAGATATGGTATGATTCTTGAGGGTCTCAATCCTTAAAAAGGGAACATTTTACCTCTTTTGGCATGGTGTTCCTGATGTGTTTCTTAGATAAGGGGTACATGAATTGCATCAGCTAAAATTCAAGTGTATAAATTCCCAGCCACATGAGAAACACAAATAAAACTGAGCTGTTCCTCAGAGTATTAGGAAAGGATTCAATGAAGGTTTGTGTGCTGCTATTAAATATGTATCTTTTCCTCTTTGAATAGGGTGTCATTTTTCGGGTTTGGGCCTTAAGCTGGATAGCAATTCCTTAAAAAGCAGCAGACCAAAAGGCTCTGGGCATAGCTTGTTCAAGGCTCTAAGACAGTGCAGTCAAGAAGTAAAAAGTGATGCAAGAAAACATGTGGGGACTTTATTTTCACTTGGCTTGTCTTTTTTACACAATGTCCCAACTCGCATGTCTACTTCTCAGGATATCCCCCGGGGGGGGGGGCACTTGGGTATTATTTGGGTGGGTATGTGCCGCCCGGGACTCTAAATTGGCACCCCGTTATAAAAAAACTTCCCCTAAAATTGATACCCCCGTTCTAGAAATGGGCCAATTTTTTATACCCCATTCTAGAATTCGCCCTAAAACTGATACCCTGTTCTAGAAATGGGCCAATTTTTTATACTCCGTTCTCGAAAGTTTGTAAATTGAAATAGCCCCGTTTTTTTAAAAGGTATTTCTTTATTAGTTCGACTTATACATCAAATAAACGCTTCTTCATAATCAGCAACAATTTTAAGCAGAAGATAAAGCAGTGATCCTCAATTTTTTATACCCCGTTCTAGAAAACGCCTCTGAAATGGATACCCCGTTCTAAATCAGGAGCTTCAAAATCACGACCCCTTTGGGCGGCACATACCCGTATAGGTAATGTATGGGAGTACCCCCCCCCGGGTTATATCCCCGAATGGAGAGCTTGCTCGTAGGCTACCCAACTATCTGAAAGCCTGGCACAGGCTACTCGAGGCAGCAGGCGGCCTATCCAAAATTTATGGCAGTACCCCCTCCCTTAAGGATATAACAGAGAAACTTTAACTGTTTCCATTGGACCATGCCAATCATGAAGTCATCTAGTCTCAAATCAGATAGATCCCAAATTTGTTTCCGTTGTTCTGTTTGTTGAGGAAATTTGATACTTCAACTTATATCTTAGAGGTGGTCACCGTCTGCACAACGTCTCCAAAACGAAACTTCGGGAAAGCGACAAAATTCAGCAAAATTAAAGTTGGCACCAGTGTTGTAAAAAGGTCTTTTGTGGTTTTTTTAAAGGGTCATTGCACAGCAAGCCACACAAGTCAACTGTCTTACCGCAATAGCACCGCTTGTCAAAATAAAACGATCAGTTTCAGCTCGTGCAAGGCACCCCATGGTACAGAATAGTCCTGCTCCATTGATCTTACCTTACTTTCCTAGAACTGCGAGACGATCTTTAGAAGAAAAGTTTCCCTATTCTTCACTTAAGTTCACACGCCATGAAGGGTCATCAGTTTACACAGTTGCCCAGCTATTATAAGCGTAATTGCTTCTCTTGGGATATAAAGTGGGATAAAGTGCTTTTCCTCCGGCGTTCTGATAAACACTCTTTTAAAGAGGCAAATTTTCCTGTGTCCGAGACCCTATTCTTGGCGAACTGGAACGCTGGGTTTCATGGAGAGGCTTGAAATAGTCCATGAGCTTACGTGTATAAATAGAAACCGTAGAATGCTGCGTCAAACTCTCAGATCATTTGAGAGCCTTATCACCATGACGCACCACTGTCACCAAACTGTCACCACTGCCGGGAGCAGCTGAGGAAACAGTCTTGCGTGACCATTTCAGTGAGCGTGACAGTCCAAATCATCAGTCCAACATCAGGCTGCGAGAAAATTCTGTGAATCAAGAGAGGCGAAGGTCATGCTTTTCAAAATAGAGAGCTTGCTTGCAATCCTGCACTCAATTTGACGATAGCACACAGCAACTAAAAAAAATATCAAAAGATTCTTTTGGATCGTCACGCAATGTCCTCTGCGTCCTGTTCGGAAGGCTCTGCACCGAATCAAACAGTTTCTTCATTCTTGACACAACAAATTATGTAAAAGTTAAAAGCCCATGAAACTTATTCTTTTCTTGCGCTTACCGTTGTTATTAGCTTATTTGTATTTAACAGTGTAGAATTATATAGTGTTTACTTTGAAACTTTCTGTTTTCCTCTTGTCCACAAGCTACTCTGTTTTTTAAGTGTGTAGTTTATCAAATCTTTCTCAGTTTGTCAAAGAAGTAGAATAAAAATAATATCTAGTAGTAATCTCCGATTAGGAAGAGCGTTCGACCTCTTTTAGGTTTATTTTGTTATTTCCCAATAAATTGATGCTGCAAAACGCTTCCTATATGTTTCTTTAAAAAAGAAAGAAAACAAAACGACAACGAAAAAAAAAAAGTCTCACCCGGAAGAAGTCGAACCCGAGAACTTCGACGAGTAAGGGCAACGCATTATCCATTGCGCTACGCAACCACTGCTTAGACCAATTGACCACTATAGAAAATACCATAACATACCACAATGCTCTTTTTTGTCACCCCAAAATTTTGCGTATGCATTGTTTTCAGTTTCTCATGGGGCCATTTTAACTCCCAAGAGAAACTGACAACAATGCTTATGCACAATTTTGGGGTGTCAAACAAAGAGCATTATGGTATGTTATGGTATTTTCTAGGGTGGTCAATTGTCAAATTGTGTTGAACATTTTTGTGTCCATGAGATAAATTATTCAAGATGGCGCAGAAAATGCAGACGCACGACCAAATGAGTACCACAAAAGGTCATTTTCGTAGGTTACAGAAACGATAGGTTTTTTCCCCATACAAATCCTTGTATTTTGAATGTTATGCAACAATGCCGATCCTCGCCGATGCTCATATTTCGAGCTTGTCAGCTTGGGCTACCTGTGGTTAAGCTATCTTGCCTCCACGTGCTTGCAATCATTATGCTTGTTTAGATAATAAACACTGAAAACTGCTATTTTGCTTCTACGAAGTTCTGAGATTTAGATTGAGGAAGCTGGAGTACAACTATACAAAAAGCTGGGGAACCCATCACATCTGTATTCCTCTGCACGTGTCAACCTTGTTCCCAGAAAACCTGGGAATGAGGTTGTGTAATGCACATGTATCATTTGGGACCTTAAGCAACTACGACGACTACGGCAGTGCTGAACACATGAATTTGCGTCCTTTCAAACTTTATCGCGTCTAGTGGAACCGCTCAATTTGTCAAATGTAGGCTACTTTTCCTGGAGTTAATTCTTAAGGGCTGTATCCATGTTCAAATAGGGAAAGGAAAATTTGTCGTCGTATGTCCACGTCTTCCATACAACGTTAAATCAGGAGGTTTCACGTCGTAGTCATGCAGTGGACATCAAAGAGATGTACTAAAAAGCGTGATGCACGTGCAGAGCTGTTGTTTTGATCATAAACCAATTGTTTCTTGACGTTGTTGTTGTCGTCATCGTAGTAGTTGCTTAAGGTCCCTACTGAGAAAAATTACAGGAGGCACAGTTATAGATACTCCTATTTTGCTTTATGGGTAAGATTGGGTCACTTCCACAAAACAAGACTACATAGTGTTTTAACTCTCCCATTAACATGGGAAAATTCTGAAAACAGAATAGTGAGGCATGGTTGATGCCACCTGTTATTTTTTGGTGAGTGAGTGTTAAACCACACCAACGGTTTAGACTAATTTAATTACACTCTGACATTCAGTGATAAATACCTAGTACACACACAAATCAAACACACAACCTAAGGACCAAACAAAACATAACTACTGGAAACCACACAAACACAGAAAAGGAAAACAATAGTTTTAACATATAGTTCCATGACAGGGCTATGCACCACTAAAATTTCACATTGCTGGGTAAATACAGTAAGTAGGCTGGGGACCAAACAGCTAGGAATTTCTTTTGGTACTATTATTTTTTCTTCTAGTTTCCTTCCTCCTAGCTTTTTTAATTCTTTCTAGTTTGCTATGTAATTCAGGGGAAATTCAAAGCCCCTCACCCTTAATGATAGCCCTGCATGATTATTCATTATACAGCACGTATAAAAAATGTCCATAGAATACTTATGTGCACAGTGTGTCATATACATTTTCCTGTTTTATTTACAATGCTAATGCAGGGTTCAAAATAAAATCACGGCTTTTAGCCTGAATCTGTAGGGTTTTTTTGTCAATAGTCAACAACGTGATTTAATACAGTAGTCAAAGGAATTAAACATTCAATGCACAGGATTTGTGGAGAGTGTACTAATGAACGGAATCTGTCAAGAACCCGATGCCTAGCACATGACCAAAATCTTGATGAATTGAAATATCACTTTTACATGACCGTGCAGAAACATAAAGGCAATAACGCAATGGTTTGTCTAGACAAGCTTGCATGTTTCACGCTTGAACAAATGCATAAAAGAATTAATCATTTACAGAGAACAAGAATTCTCCTTTACAACTTCTGCAGCACACTTTAAATTTCCAAACCTTCTTCTACTCTTTCTCCTTATTTTAAAACGTTTCCAAAAAGCTTTTAAAACGTTTCTTGGCTGCTTTATGGTCTGATATGAAATGTTTACTACAACATTACAGTACTTCAATTTCAGTTGGCCAATCAAAGCATGACATTTCTTATTTCTTTGGTGACACTTCGCTGCAAGTGTAGTCAAAGTGCTGGCCACCCGGCAGCTACTTTGTACTCTGCTAATGTACACAATGTACTTTAAGTAAAGAGGGTCTTAGATTCCATTTTCAATTGCTTGATAAAAATAACATTTCAGTGGAAAATGCAAATCCAAAACCACTGCCATATAAGAGAAGGTAGATGAGCAGCTATAATTTGGCCTGATCTCACAGGCTATGAATTCTGTAGTTTGAACTGTCTGTGTTAAAAGTGTCCATGACATAAGCATCTAGATAATGACATAGTTCTTCATGATACAATATCAGCTAAGTGAAGTCTCGTTTGTCTTGTTTCAAGATCTTGAAAGGCATGAGCCCAAACAGCTACTCTCTCTCGTGTTCTTTTCAGCAGCTCTTCTTTCTGTGCTAGCTCAGCTCTCATTCTTTCAACTTCCTAATAAATGGAGAGAAAAAAAGAAAATAAAAGCTAAATGGCTTCTACTCTATTAAACAGCTCTGTTATTTGGGTACAAAGCGCCATAAAATGAAAATCAATTATGGTGTATAAAGCGATCTGTTCTGAAAAGTTGAATAATATGAAAGGAATTTCTTAAAATAATAGATTGATCATGCATGATCATAGAAGGAATTAAAATCATTACCCCTAAATTTTATTCAAATCCTAAATTAATAAAAAGAAAAAGTTGATTCACGTACGTTGATAGCTCCCGATTTCAAGTTCTGTCTTGATAAGCAATAAAGAAAGGCATGCACAAAATCGAGGAACGTGCTTTTAAAAACCTCTACAAGTTTTTTGTGCCCTTGATACATGAGCCAATCTGCCAATCTGCTTGTGTTTCCAATAAAATCCTCCATTTTTGTTATATTAGGATGGGAAACCATGTGCATGTCAAAAGCTCGGGGTTGGCCCCGGAATAGGCGAATGCCCGACCCCTGGGCCATGCAAAATTTGCTAATGCCACAACCCCAGGACTGCCAAGGCAGGCAAATGCCCCACAGTGGCCCCGGGGGAACGGGGAATGGGCGCAGCTGGAATTGACTGATGCATTGGGCTAGGGTATCAAGCTCAAAACAGTACTATAACTGTAAATAGTCTATGATTACCTCCTTTGTGACTTCTTGGGGATGATTCACCCGGCTGTACATTTGTTTTCGTAGAAAATCGGCCTCTAAGGACTTTGCAGAATCAAGAAATCTCTTGATGCAGGCTTCTACCCCTAAAAACACGTTAAAACATTTTATTAATGTTTGGTTATTTCCCATGGGCAATTTAAGTCAACTTTATGATGTGATAGTTTCATAACATCAATATTTTAACCATTAGTAACAGTAAAACTACAAAAAGCTTAAAACTAGGCGAAGCTCACCACTTTGGTTGACATCCACCATCTTGCCATCTTTCTCAACGTTGTCAGTGACAAGAAAAAGCGATACGCAGGACTGTTGAAATGAAATGAGAATTCTCAAAATGTAATCCTTTAAAGGAAAATAGATTTAGCAAGACGACACAAAACGTTTACCTGTAGCGAAGACTCGAGAGTGCTGACCAAATCCTCTTTGTAGGCCGCCATCTTTGTTCATCTTGAGCTAGACTAGTTCCCGGGGCTTCCCCAGTTCCCTTGAAGTCGAGGCTCCGTTAAAGACAATTACGTCTCATGCTGTTTAGACCAAAAGAGGAAAAAAACATGTGACAGGCCGGTTTGGTCAGTTAGTTGCGGAGAAGTTGGAGCGAGAGCAATATATACAGTCAAATCCCGTTAATCATATCCTGTTTTGAAGAAATGAAGAGCCACCCGGGAGGGTCAATAGAAACTGTCCGTATTGTAAAACGAGATGTCCGTATTAAGCGGGTAGTGTTAGTCCCGGGGGTACACCTGGGGATTCTTGGTGAGGGTGTGCCACCCAGTTATCCAAATCGTCACCCTATTTCAGCCCAAAAATGTCATTTTTCACACCAGTTTTCAAAGCTGGTCTCCAAAATCCGTACCCGTTTTCAGACCTGGCCTCTAGGAAATTATGTCATCATTTCTTAAATTGGAACATCCGCAAAAACGATTTTTTTAATTCGGACATTTGATCACACTTCTGTTTCTTACTTACTCATTTGGAATTGAAAGGATAAATCAACCTCGTCACGGTCATTCGCTCCCATAGTTCCCTCGAAAACTTTTACCAGATTCCGGACCAAAATGGGGAAAGTCTATACCCGTTTCAGATCTAAAAACAGCGCAAAAAACCCTACCCTTTGGGGCGGCACACACCTACATGGCCTATATAAGGGTAGCCCCCTCCCCGGGAAGTTAGTAAAGTAAAAAAAATACAATCGTTTATTAGCGAAGCTGACTTTCTATGAGTTTGTTGATTGGGCAAGAAACAAGCGTCCGTTGTCCGCATTAATGGTCTCCGTATTACTGAAGATTTTTCCTCTTAGTACCCAAAAAGGAGTTGAGTCCAAACGATACCTTCAAGTTTGGAAGGCAAAGGGTTTAGAAGTCTTTGATTACTTATCTATGGAAGGTATATTTCAAGCAAGGCGACCCATTTTGACAAGTACAGCAGAAGTGTTGTTATACAATGTACTACAGGTACCATTCTGTACTTGTATTTAGCCTGGGACCAGGCTCCGTAGTGCGGAGAAAACGCCAAAAACGGGGTCAAATAGGAAAAATATCGGTCAGCCAACCAGTGGCCTGGGGAGGGGGAAAAGACTACCTCTCAGCTCGCTTCATTCACTGATTTTTTTTCCTTTTTCCCCCAATGCGGAACCTAGTCCCAGGCTAACTTGTAGTAAGGTACATGAAGGTCACGTGCCTTATATGATTAAAACACCAGTTGTGTCACCTTCCCATCACCAGTCTTCCCTTAGTTACTATACCTTTGACATTTCAAAACATTTACTGATGTATTGATTTGATGAGATGTGACTGTGCATCAAGGGAAGAGCAAACTATGGCTTACACTTGTGCAAATGAACACATCAAAGGACTTTGAATTTCACTTTTTAGCTTGTCTTTACATTAGACTCTTGTTCACACCCTTGATTACCCATAATGCTTCCCTGCCTTTTTCAGTCCAACGTTTGCAACTTTCTCAAAGGCAACTTTATAGATTGTGACGGTACCTGGAATATTATGGGTTCAACTTCAATAATTGAAGAAAACACAATTTAATTCAAAAAAAAAAAACATTTTTTAAAGTTTTTTCTTTTGACTTTAATTTTAAAAAAATAAAACAAATTTGATATGCAAACTCCATCCAATTTATTAAAATCAGCAACAAGTAGCATGAGCTTGATAATTTTACAATGGGTAATTATTTAACCCCTCCATGCTCTCATCAACTGTGGTGACCAAAATGGGACAAAAGTTAAACAAGATCTTGATCAGTTGGCCTGTGGTGTGGCTTCTTTCTTGGGTTTCCTCAGCTTTGAAAAGATATAGATTCCAGTAAGAGTGCCATAAACAGCTAACACAATCTGCAAGGAAAATCATCTTCTTTGGAAAACAAACCAATAACTAATACTATCTAAAAGTTTAACACAAACTGGATATAAGACCAATAATTGCCTTTTGTTGTTGTGAAATGGTGAGTTGCATAAAAACACGGTCTTACTTTGGGGGTTGCTCTAGCCCTTGAAAACTCCGCAGAACCAAGCAGAGATAAAAGAAGGAGAGTTTACACAAAGAACGTCTTTGAGTGTGACGCTTTTTGGATGGACATTCTGTGGATGTAATGGACTTCTTGCAGCTCTTCCTGCTCTTTAGACTGTAAAAATTTAGGAAATTGTCCTTGAATAGATAAACTGCAATTGGGTTACATGCATCAGTCAGAGGTTGTGGTCTACCATGAGGTGAGTTATAGGCTTTGCTGCAAATACATCTGTAAGTTGTGTTTACTTTTGAAGGATTGAAATGTTTCAGAAGAATCTTTATTTTCTCAGCCACTTTAGCTCCTATTTAAAAAATTCCTAAGTAACAATCAAGGCTGTGCTATAGCAGAGCCCGGTGGCCCCTGGCACACAACGTTTGCTCCTGGGGGGCCAGAAAATCTTAGATTCTTCATGGGCACCTTGGATTTTACAGGTTTAGATCACTGGGCTCCCTTCAATTTTTCTTAGAGCACAGCCTTGACAATGTTACATTAGAACCTGAGTTTTGGGTGATTATACCTTATTTCTAGGTCACTATGAAAGTTACAAGTCCTTATGTTGTTCGGTGGCAAGCACTATGGAAAGCACAGCATTACACAAACCTGCAGAGACAACTTTACTGCAATATTTTCAGTGATTTTGTTACAAATAAGTGAGTCTTGGGACTCACTTTGCAAGCAAATCACGAGTCCCACTCCAGAACCATTGAGTCTCAGTTCAAAAAACGACAAGTCATAAATTGAAAATTATGCTTAGGCCTTTATGTGACCAGATAGATAAAAGACAGATGTATTGTTTTGGAAATCACAATAAAGACTAAAAGAAATATGCGTCGTAAAACAACAGCCACAAGAACAGCCACAGAAATCACACAAACAGGATATTCTACAAAAACATCTTCAGATCGATTGATCGATCAATCTTTGTATCCTACGGGACACCTGCCATGAACTTGAGCGCGTCTTTGGGAATTTTTACGCGTCAGGGACGCGGGATGCAGAGGTAACAAAATCACTGTATATTTTATTGCAAAATAAACTAAGAAAACTGAAATTTTGCTTTGCTTTGTCTTAAAAAATTAATAAATGGACATAATCAGATAATTCAATCTTGCACATTTTGAGCACAAAATTTAGGTACTTTTCTCTGTTTACACAAATTACTTGATACGTCTCACATGCATAGTTCAGCAACTTTTTTCCTCGTGTATCTTCAATCTTCTATAATTTTCCACACTTGCTGTATTTATTCGGCTACAAGCCGAGGTATTGTTACACAAATTAAAGCTAAAGTTCAGTGAAATTTGAGCCCAATAGGGGGTCTCGGCTTATAGCCAAGAGTTTTTGACAAAACAATTTTTTCAGTGCATTGAAACTCTACTAAACTCTGACTAAATGAAGATATATTCACTTTTCAGCCCAACAAATAGCAGCAATTGATCGAATCGATCACATAACTACAAATCTGAATGTTAAGTTAGCTAAGCACAGAAATACAGTCCCAAATGGTCCAAATAACTGACAAAAACAGGTCTCACAACTAAATCTCAAAATGATAAGTCTTTTACAACGACAGAAGGTGTAAAACAAATGAAAGATGTCACGAAATGTGTAAACAATCCGCCATGTTTGGTCAAACATGTGCTTCAAAACATTTACCTGGTTACTAAGCACAGACAAATGCAACGCAAACTGATGTGGTTTGTTTGGATTGAAAGACGAGTTATCTGAACATTTCAAGCAGAATGCGATGAAGACATGAGAAAAGATTGATAGCAGTGAAAAGCCCAAACAACAATTGTACGTTTTCCTAAAGAAGGTCAAATTTTTTTCGAGTAGTCAAAAGTCTCGTAATGAATGGGTCTCAGCTCATAGCCGGGAGTTTTGGATTTATCTTTTGCTCTTAGTTATGCTGATTCTACGAGTTGAAAGATTAGGGTCTCGGCTTATAGCCAAGATCGGCTTATTGCCGAATAAATACGGTACATAAAACACAACAACACATCTTGAAGTCTTTTGAAAGTACAAATTTGCCAAGTTTGAATTTAATTTGTCACTATTTCACTGAGATGTGTTCAAAAGAGTTTGTGAACTCTTACATGTAAGTGACTATTGTGCTACAAGTCAAATAAAAAAGAGGACACTCACAGCCACAAAAAACACGGATTTCGTAGTTAGAGATGTAAAAAAATCCCAGAGTTCACAAGTAGCTGGATTAATCGATGCAATATATTCGCAAAGTACCTAAACAATATAAGCTTAACCTTATAAGTTTGGGCTTATTTACGAGTGAGGAGATTTGTGTATATTTTGTAGAGGATGTGACCACCTAATAATTACTTACATTACGTCTCCCAACAATGGTTTCACTGTTCAAGTAGTATTTCCATCCTGTCAAACCAAGCTCCTCTGGTGTCGGATGGCTTGCCATCTGACGGGCCATTGGCCGCGTCAACGGTGCACGCAAACTTCTCCACAAGGCGCCGTACATTGTGGTTTGTCCTAAAACAAGGAAAGGAGAACATCACCATAATCAAGATGATATTTGAAACGTACTCTGGTTGAATTGTGTGTGTTAGTGCGCTAATTTGTCCTAGGAAATTATCTCTAACCTTCTTCAGTCAGCAAGTCAAATCTAAATGGCCTAGAAGTCTTTACAGTCATAAAAGCAACCGCTGATCAAATTCCAAAATGGCGGACTAGAAGTCCACACAAACAGAAAACCGGTGAATGTGATCAGACAACATACTTTATTTAAACATACATAGCCTGTTACAGGCGTTCGGCGATAAAAGTGGCGCGGAATGGAACCTTTTTTTTGGTCCTGATCACACTAAGAACCGGGACATTCTCGTTTCCAGTGTTCAGCGTTTTCATAGGATTAACTAGCTTGCAGCTGCAAGCTGACTTTCATTCTCTCTCTGGGCAACTCCACATAAAATCTAAATTTTCGGTCCCGCCTATGTCCTTGTTTTTCTGTATTGACCCATAAAATGCTACATTTTGCTTTTTAAAAAAGTGATGCAGTTGTGTCACACAATCTAATCAGCTGTTAAAAATTCCCAGCATTTCTTGGTAGGAAAACATATGGAGCTTCAAATTTAATAAAATGTCGAAAAAGCCGTTTGAAAATAAACTGTATTTTCATCTTTTTGTTGAGTCTACCACGTGCTAACTTCCAGTTAGCAGTGATCACGTCCGAGAGAGTTTTTTCGCTAGAACAGAGAAACATTTGCTGTAAACTTGATTGGCACCCGAGAGATATGATCAGAACTAAACAATTGAAGGGTTCAACTCAGTTTTAATTTCAATTCTTTAATTTGTTTCTGTTTGTTATCATTAATTGTACAATAATAACAAGTACTCAAAGATGGTCGATTTTCTAGGAAAATCAAGTCAAAAGTGAGCTAACACTTAAATACCGGATAGTTACTTTAGTGAAAAAGCTAAACAGAGATTTTGTATGCTTTACTTCAATCGTTGTGCTATGACTGGGAGGAAAATTCTCTTGACAAGTTATCGTGGCACGTCAGTTTTAACGACCCTATTAACCTAACAATAATTGACTCTCCTTTGTAAAACCGACAGAACAAATACGCAGATAACAAAGTCTGGCGAGCTTTAAATTCATTAAACGCATCTCGATAAGCTCAGTGTCGCTGTACGAGCTGTGTTGTGCTTGGAGTAAGAGCGCGCATCTGTAAGTCCCATTACGAGACACGTCTGTTGTAATTCAAAATGTCTTCTAGCAAATCGAAATCGAAAAAGAGCGGTGCAAAAAAGAAAGCGCAACGCGCTACCTCCAATGTTTTTGCGATGTTCGATCAGACGCAAATTCATGAGTTTAAAGAGGCATTCAACGTCATAGACCAAGATCGGGATGGAATAATTACTGCTAAAGACCTGACCGAGATGTTTAACTCCCTGGGCCGGCCCCAATCGGATGAATACATTGAGGACATGCTGGGTGAAGCCACAGGAAACATTAATTTCACCATGTTTATGACGCTGTTTTCAGAGAACATGCACGGGACAGATCCTGAAGACATGATAAGGAGCGCCTTTACAACTTTCGATCCCGATGGAACAGGAGTCATAAACGAAGACAGAATCCGTCCACTGTTGATGAAACTCGGAGACAAGTAAGTCACTTAAAATGATTTCTAATCTTTATTAAATAAAGGGTTCACAGCTGTGGTGATTAACCTCGTGCTGTTTGTCTCAGCTAGAAAAAGGTTCAAACTATCACCCACAATTCAAACAGAAAACGCTAGCAGACGAGAAGATTCTGATCAATGTTCCGGAGCTTTGAAGCTGTGGAAGACATTCATGAGTCAGGGCGTTTAGCACTTGGCAAACGATCAGCTGTTTCTACGCCCGAAGTGAAACACTTTTTCTTTCAAACCCACTACCTTTTAATCAATAAAAATAGTAATCAATCTATCAAATTTTCAGGTTCACGGATGAAGAATGCGATGAAATGTTCTATTGTGCTAAAGCGGACGACGACGGAAACTTTAATTATGGGGAGTTTACCAAAGTCATCAAACACGGCGAAAAAGATGACTGAGTTTTATACTGTTGAACTGATTGAACTTCTTACCTATAGCTAGTGCAAAAGGTTTTATTGTTATATTTCTATACTCAAGTCTTTGCCATTTATAATTTTGAAAATATGTTCAAACTGATAGAGTAATTAAATTCTTTGTGCGTCACAACATGCAAGGTCATTGAGTCTAAAGTGAGTGACCCATCCGTATGAGGTACACATTTTTTTGGTAATTATAAATTGTTGTTTCAGTATCAACGTCCTCAGTTACTCAGGCCAATTTCACGCAACCGGATGTTTTTGAAAACCGAGATTTTTTCCCCGTTCTTAAGGAAACTGAAATAGGCGTCCACACGTCAGTACTGTATTTTTATCCTTTTCCTGACATGAAAACGCTAAAAAGATGGAATAAGAATTGAATACGATATTGTCCCATACAGAGCATACTCAACTCTACTCTGGAGCCCGTGATCAAGGCTCCTGTGCTAGTAGTATATGATGTTTTTGATGTACGACATCGTCTTTTTTAAAAAACCCTTTCGTTCGTCCACACGTAAACGATAAGCGGGAGTCCGTATTAAAAAAAAGCGCTTCATGAACCTTTTTCGAAAACTTGAGTCTTTGTTGACTTTGTTGCTCGAAAGGAACACCGTTTATATGTGGTGTTAAACGGAGAAAAACTCTCCGTTTTAAAAAAATACCGGCATGGCATGTGGACGAAGTCTTGGAGACCACTAGTGTGGACCGGGGGCGGCCTCATTCTTTCTCACAGGTCTATATTATTCGAGTGTGTGTCCCTCGGACCGGTTTTGACTTGCTAGCTTCTGGTATATCATTTGCATTATCACTTTCAAAATTACATTTTCGATTGCCAGTTTTTGTGGAAAGGGAAGCTAATATCGGCTTTAAATTGTTGACACAAATGCGAACCCAAACGAACCAAGGGATTTGTGAAGATCAGTTAAAAATATCTCGAAACGGATAAGTGAAATTTTGTTAAAGAATCTGGACTGATGGACTCAAGCGTATATCTCTTTTCTTTTTTGCTTAACGTTTATGGTATAAAACGGAGTGGAAATTTTCCTTCTAAGTCTAGCTTGACAAGATAATGTAAGTATTAGTGAGAGTTCGTCTTTTCAACAAGGGATTCCAGATTCCGGAATTCGGGAAACTTTTGCTTATGGAATCTGCAATCTTGAGTTTTGGAATCCGGAATACAGCTCAAGGAATCTGGAATCCCACTGACGATTGGAATCCAGAATCCAAGTTCTACTGACAAATACTGGATTCCAGCACCTGCAATCCGGAATCCACGGCGTGGAATCCAGAATCCAAGACTGTCCTGGATTCCCTTAAATGGCCGTCCGAAACCAGTCACGCATCACTAAGAAGCCATCAAAGATAATCGGCTCCAGTGTTGTGCGGCAAAGATGTTGCCAGTTCTAAATAAATCTGCAAAAATTTCGTCCAAGGGATTTGCACATTCATTTCTATTTATTAAATTCATTTCGTTGTAACTATCAAAAGATTTTTGAGTCACAAGCCTCAAGAGAATTCAAGAGCAGATATATGAAGCGTTTGATACAAACGTGGGTTCAACAATGTTTCTATTCAGAGACAACAAGAAAAATCTGCGCTGTGATGAGATTTTGTCTTTGAAGCCAGAGCAGTAAATTACAGTGTTTTCATTAGAGTTAAATGGGGGAAAAACTCTGCTCTAATTTTTGCTTTTCTCTGGTATGAGTATGTAATATTCGTGAGAACAGCTTTCTATGAAAGACGGCTTTAATTGCTGTTATTTTCCTAATAAGGTCAAGAGCATTGTAATCAGCTTACAAAACACAGTTTGATACCCGGCATTTTTAAATATTCCGGCAAAACAGTGAACTCTGCCCAGCATCTGGTATTAACACCGCACAGTGTTAGAAGTACATTCAGAACAAATAGACCAAAATGTCTGGCAAAGCCAAAACCAAAAAGGCAGGCGCGAAAAAGAAAGCCCAGCGAGCGACCTCAAATGTATTCGCAATGTTCGATCAGCAACAGATTCAAGAGTTTAAAGAGGCGTTCAGCATGATTGATCAAGACCGAGATGGCTTTATCAAAGACACAGATCTCAAGGACATGTTTGCGTCGCTCGGGAATGAAAAGAGCAACGACTACATTGACGAAATGTTGGGAGAAGCGTCTGGGCCGTTAAATTTCACCATGTTCTTGACACTGATGGGTGAAAAGCTTAATGGCACAGACCCCGAGGATATGATAAGGAATGCTTTTGCTTCATTTGACATAGAAGGGAAAGGCATACTCAACGAGGACAGGCTGCGACCATTGCTGAAAGGAATGGGGGACAGGTATAGTGCCATTCTTATCCGTTTACTTCCCGTAAAGCTGAAGGTACTTTTCAAATTTCACGAAAACACTTATCTGTAGTTCAATTCTTAAAGGTCCTTAAAATTTGGGCTATATGTCACCATATATCGCAACGCGTTAATACAGATCAGTTGGTTGAGAGTCGTTCACACCCCCCCCGCCCCATCAAAAATTTATTGGAGTACCCCCAGGGGTCGATGGGCGTTCATCGACCTACACACGGGTTGAGCTGCATAAAATTTGAACATCAAAACCCTTGAGAAACTTTTAAAAAGTGAGTGCAAAACATACTGGCATCTGATTTTACAAATACGAAAATCTTCTCTCTAGGCTGGCGTAGTGACCAGAAATACTAGAGTGAATCTATCGAGACAGTCTCGATTTCACAATACAAACAACTTTATACCGACTGGCATGCTAATGATGGACGAAAGGCTTCATTCTAATTTAACTCCAGATCACTGGGGTATGACAACCTTTTTGCACAAAAGGCGCAAACTTGGTGTATGAAATTGCAGAAAAGGCCCTTTTATTTTGAAGAAACCGTGGTGTTGCCACTGAAATGGCATTTGTATTTTAATGACGTTATGAAGGCAAATGATGTACATGGTACCGCTACCATTTTGTTTCCTGAAGACACCACCCTTCACCTCCCATTTTTGCACACACCTTCGGGTCAGTTCCTTGGTGTCCTTCATAGCGGCAGTCCGCAATAGCGGAAGCTTTTTTCAGAAGGGACTGAAGCAAAGTGTCCGAGACGCCCGATCACAACGGAATTTACTAACTACATGTACATGTTTTAAAGATTGCGTGACGAATTTAAAAGTCTTATCTACAAAAAATTCTTTAAATCATAAATAAACGGCCTAACATTGCTTTAAACTGACATTTCATTTGGTACTTAGATAAGCGTAGTTCCTCAATAACACATCCACTCGTGTCAGTTTGTTCAAGCAGGTATTATATGTTAATTGTCGGAGGAGTTATGAACTATAAAATATAACATTTTACTAAGGGTTGACATTTCCGTTCAAACCAAACGGGAACAAAACGAACTAAAACGAACAACACGCAGCGTGTATTATGAAGTGTAAAAAAAGAATTTAAATGTTTCTGACACAAAAGTCGTATCATGGTCACGCCTCAGGAATCGAATTAAAAGCCGGTGAGCGTGGCTAACGAGTTTTAAGTTTCTGTTGTGTTATTCTTCAAAACCGTTTTAATTTACTATTCAAATTTTTGACGTGTTTACTTAGAATGAGACCAGTATAACGTTTTTGAGTGGTAACTGATCGAAAAAATCATTTAAAGTTCATGTTCAGAAACAGACATAATCTTCACGCAAAAGCCTTTTACACCACAGGAATTCCGTAGCAGCGTGACTTTAATTTGACCTTTTATGTTTGCCAGAAAAACAAAAAGCAAAAAAGAATAATAAAATAAAAGAATCTTAAAAAATTAATCGCCTTTGCTAATCACAGGTTAAAGTTGCATTTTAACTTCCATGAAGCACTGGGACTGTGTCCCGGGGGGTACTCTTGGAAATTATTGGGGGGTGCCGCCCAGCTCTCCAAATCACCTATACGTAGATTACAACTGCAACAAAAAAGAGATTTCAGGGTTGGTATCAGAACAGGTTGTGAACCGGGGGTACTTCCTGTAAGGACCTATACGGGCAGGCTCCCATCCGGACTTTCCGCCGAAGAGGGGTGCCTTTTTCAGGTCTCAGATGTAGGAAAGGGTAGGGATTTCACGACAACAACAACAACATAAGCTTTATTTACGTGATTATAAAAAGCAAAAGCTTTAGCATAAAGTTACAATTTATAACAATGATAACGCAATCCAATGATTACTACAGTATAGTCAATCAAGTGTCATCAGCATTATTTGATAACAAATTAGTACGTAAATCATTACATAATGAGACAAATTTCAACAAATGTGAATTTACGGAAAAATTATGTGAATTCATCAATTTAATTATTAATTCTGTCTAAGATAGCTGATTAAAGTCGACAAAATTTTGTTGGATTTGATTGTAGAATTTCTCTCTTGGGATTGAATATTTTGAACAATGGAAGAGAAAATGAAATTCGTCTTCAATTATACCAGAGTTTCAAATAGGATACTATTTGATAAGTACATCACTATTTGATAAGTACATGAAAGGATAGAAGATAGAAGGTCACAGAAGGATTTTACGGCTGTGAAAAAGTCACCATACGTTCTCGTTTTGTCATTTTTAAGACAGCAGTTATAAGGGATGCAAAGTTCTAAACTAAGTACGTGAAAGGGGTACAAAATTTCAACAGAAGGTATACGAAATGGGTACCTTTTCTGGCAAAAATGGTGTATAAAAGTAGCCTGCGTAGCAGGCGTCGAAAGGGGTAGGCTCTCCCTCGCCTTTTTGCGCCTGCCACGCAGGCTATATAAAAGAGTGAGAGGTTATATCTCGCGGCGTAGCTTCCCCGTATAAAACTCAGGTGAGTACCCCCCGGTTGTGACTTTCTTGCTTGCCTGTTTTCTTTAAGAAGAGACTATTGCATTTTATTTGTTTTTGATTTATCCCTTCAACTCATCCTTCAGGTTTACTGAAGACGAATGTGAAGAAATGTTCCGTTTAGCAAATGCCGACGACGATGGCAACTTCAACTACTTGGAGTTTGTGAAAACGATCAAACATGGAGCGAAGGACGATTCGTAGATGCAAAAAACCTTTAACCATATCGAATTTTTTAAAGTATTACTGGGGATGATTTGTGCTGTGCAGTTAAGAAAACCGTGAACACATAGTCGAACGTAGATTAAAACTTGGCTTACATAAGCATAAGCACAAATTTACGTCCACTTAATCGATGAGTATTAACGTCTCGTGTTCGTGATGGCCGGTTTAAACTTGGGAGGCAATAATGCAACGGTCGAGATAGTTCAGAAACAAGCTTTAAATACAAAACAAACTTGTGCTTCTGGTCCCTTTTCTGCTTCCTTTACAGTGTTAGTCTAAAGCCCTATTTACAAGAATATGTTTCCTTAGTCGTATAGATAAGTTGACAACTTTTTTCACCTTTTTATAAAGGAACTATTTGTAAAGGTTTCTCTTTGACGGAACGAATTATTTTTTGTGAAAGTTTTTCCTTGAAAGGGAAAGCTTTTCCAAGCCAGTAAACGCGACTTAAACCTGTCGGCATAGATTTAATAGGCATTAATAGGCACTATATAACTTTTCTTCGCCCAACGCTTAAAATTCAAATGTGGTGCCAAGCACCAAATTTCCCGCCACTGCACCTGTATACTCATACCATTTTATGCTTGTGTAATCCAGTACAGAAATGCTCACGGTTTTCTAATACATGAAGTAAGCTTTTTAACGGAGGAGTTGAATATTATCCTGTTTTTTTGATCAATTTTGTCGTGGGAATGGGCTATGTAGCCTGAGAAAAAGCTCTCCATTTAGGTTGATATCGTGCGAGATGAAAGTTACGCCAGAGTGTGCGTGGGGCGGGCGGGGGGTTCCTTTACCCGTTTCAGGATGCTCGCTTTCTCGCGCGTTTTCTTGCGCCTCGCGTCGATCGCTACTCGAAATGGAGAACTGTCTCGCAAGTTACGAGTCATGAAGCAGCTTCTGCTTGTACAGATCAGTTTAAAATAAAGGTTAGAAACAACGAAAGCGCAATCATGATTCTCAATTTTTTTTAGCATGGTTGAGCAAGCATACGCCCTAGCATGAAAGCAAGCTTTCCATTTGGAGAAATCGTGAAAAGTACACGCACGAGCGGCACGTGAGAGGAGACGCGGCAGCGAGGGGCGGGCAAAAAAGGAGAGCTCTCCTTTTTCTCCCATCCCTCCCCCCCCCTTTCCCCACCCCCGCGGCTCGCTCGCTCGCTCGTTCTCGGCTCGCTTCGCTCTTCCAAATGGAGAGCTCGCTCTCAGGCTGTTTACGGCGTCGTCGAATGTTTATAACGGAGGAGGCTTGAAGCTGAGCGCGACAGCAACAGGCAAATTCGACGGATGACATCACATCCGAACTCTCTGAGAAAGACTGGGAACCAGCCTGGGGTTCTACGATCGACAAGCGTCATGTTTGACTCAGAATTTCAGAAAAGGGTGATGCACTTGCTGAGTTGTTTGTTTGTTTGTTTGTTTGTTTGTTTTCGAAGTTCCCGTTGCCCGTCGTCACCGTCTTTCGTTGGGTTCGTGTAATGACTATAAGGGGTCATGCTGGGGAGAAATTATTCAAATGTAGCGATTATTCTATATTTTTCCACCAAAGGATTATTTCAGGGACGCGAATTTAACTGAATTTAATCAAGAGGCGGCCATTATTCAAAGAAAACTTGTTACATCGAAAACCCTAAATGTGCCCTCCTTTAACAAACGCTGTTCCAATACGGACTGATTGTAGAAACAAAATGATTTACAAAATTTAATTTTCCATTTTTTGCGATGGCCTTGCGAAAATTGCAAAATTGACACATTTAAGGATTTTCCGTCAAAGCCGTCAGTCTCTCTTTGTAATGTAAATATCAACAAATCTTCAAAGCAGCGCTATGGATTTTTCACGGTCATAAATGTTTCTCCCTCTCTACTAAAAGCATGAAAATTTCTGCCGGCACAACATCTTTATCTTTTGGCAAATTATATCTTCTCTTACCCAAAATCACAAATATAAATTTTGCGAAAATGTTTTTTTCAACATCGGAGCACCTTTGCGGAAAAATAAATTTTAAAGTAGTGGGGATTAAATGATAACAGTTTCCTGTCTTTACTTTTATCCTTTCAAAACACGGAAGCACATTTAAGAGGTCTTAGGCTCTTGATATTTCCAGTCGACTTTTACATTTCATAACAGTGCAAACATTTTTTTTTCTCATAAATCTAGCCCTCACTTTTGAGGTCTTATCATATCACTTTTACTTTAACTTCGCCGAAAATGTATAGGGCCCGAGGCGACACTAACTCAAAGTGGAAAATTACAGACAGACGATCATCCGGTTATTAGACAAACCAATAAATTATATACAAATTATGTTTCCAAAAAAACTTGTAGTTAAGTGTGTCAATGTGTATACTGGCTGAGCGAAGAGGCCTATCACCTGGTTCTGATGCTTATTTTCGTTTAAAACAAAAACTTCATTGAAAAAGCGGTCGGCGCTCGACTCCTAATTTCAAGTTCAATGTTATAAGCACAAAAGCATAGCGTTAATTAAGGCTGTATTGTACCAAAGAACAGGTGTTTTGACAAAACGACTGGTTTCGAAAAAAAATAAGGTGAGTTGATCAAAGATATAGATTTGTTTTGGAGATGTTTGTTCTTTATTTGAAGAGGACACGGACCGTTGAATGAAGGTACATTTTTGAACATGAATAGCTAGAGACGTCAATGATTTTATAAGGATCGATTTTCTCGGTTCACAGTCGTCACGACACTGGAAAAATACCTTGCAATTCGAAAAGCAGTATTTATATTCTGGCCAGAAAACCATCCCAAGACAGAACAATAATAATTCAAGTACCTATAGAACATCAATTCATGCTTTGTCCACCTCCAAACCAGAAAAACTTGTTCAAATACAGTAAAGATCGATTAGTTTATTCACTGGCCGAGGCGTAAGGCTATAAAAATGATGGAAAAGTCGCGAGTGAACTACTTGCGCACAAAATGTTACTCAATTTTATTAGGTCCAGTCGGTCATAACTTAAAAGAAAAAATAACCAGCTTCACTCCCAGATTTAGTGGTATCAAAACTAGAACTCTGTCAGTATACCTTTGCAGTACGTTGACCGAATAAATGACTCATGATTTCGTTTCCGTTTGTTTGCCAACTATCCTGTGTTGCGCAATTTTTTGGTTACTTCAGTACTCTTGCATCACTTTCTTTATTATCCGACGCTTTCCTTTGTGTACCTGCGATCAATCGATCGTCCTTTTTTTCCGGCGGAAGTGGGACACCTCCAACCTTTACGCTTCCCTTGCCGCTGTTCGCGCCCCAAAACCAAGACCTGATCGATCGCAGGTGATGTTTTTATTTTTAAAAACATCAGAGTCATATTTTTGAGAAGTCTTCTTTACAACTTCAGTTCTTTAATTCAAATGAACTCGGCCTTGGCAGTGATTTTTAATAACAGTCCATCTCTAAATGAAACTCTTATCTGTAAGTTTTAACTGGTTTTTATCTTGGTTACTTTGTAATTGAAGAACATTTAAGAAACAGATAAAATATTTGAGATATAATGGGCTAAGAAGTAATATCCATAAAGTATTTCAGGGCTGTGAAATTTTAAATTTAATTTTCCTCTTAGCCCCCTGGCGCATCTTAGAAAAAAAAACATAAAAGCTTGATGATCTTAGGATACCAGCCGAGCAGAGTTTTTTGTTATATGTCCTTGTTGGCTTTTTGGTCTTTACCAACGTTCAGTAGCATTCCTGATCATTTTGAAGTAACTGACAAATAGAAATGTTACATTGGGATTGATCGAGTCAATGTGTGAGCCGAAAACAAAATATTGTGCACTTTCAGTGAGCTCTCAACGCAAACCCGCTACAGCACCCTCACGAATCTTTGTTTTGCCGAGGGCTTTCATAACCAGTTTCCCCTGATGAACGTGGTGTTGGACTGGTGACGGCGAAGCAATAGAAACGTGTCTCACTTGGTGGTGGCGGAAGCGGAGGTGAAACAAAAGACATGTGGGGGTAGGTGGTTATGTAGTTGTTGGACTAAAACAATAAAAATGCTTAACAAAATTAGGAAAAGGAGGAAAAAAAACTGAGAAACTTAAAAGAAGAGGAGGGGGAGGAGGAAGAAGAGGGAAACAAAGGAACTGAAGGAACATTGGGAAAAATCGTTCCAAAAAATCTTGACATTATCCATCTTGAAATAACTGAAAAACCTGTCAAACCGAAAATTTGCACGAAATTATGCAAACTAGTATACTAAAGCTTTTCGCTGCTTATATTTTCATTTATGACTGGTTTTAAATCTCTAATAAGAAGAGCTAGTCTCCTTGATTTTATAGTGGGTACCTAATTTTCCTCCAGGTGAAAGCTCAAAATGGTCCCATTTCAAATTGTGACCAGTTGAAGTGACGAGTTCTGCAATAGCTGATCAATGACCGTTACTGATGATGGCTTTTACTTCGAGTAGAAGAATACAGAACGCGTCATCAGAGTGGAATGGACAAAAGAGTAACATTATAGTTAATTTAGACAAATGTATGCGACAGGCGCCTATAGAGGCAAATGTATGCATTGACATGAAAGCACTATAATGTCTATAACTAGAATCGAGTACTTTTCGTTGCTAACTTTGGAAATGTGGAAATTTGGATTGATGATGCGCTGATGATTGCCTTGAAGTGTTTAGTTTTCTATCATGCAATCTCCGTTTGGTTTTGCCAATGTAGAAATCCTGACAGTCCAACAATTAGCTTTATACAACTTTGGACGTTTGAGAGACTTGATACGATATGTGTTGTGGAAAATAACCCTAAGGTCAATGCACCCATAAAATTTATTTATACAAGCCTTGAGTTGTTTGGTAATAATTTTGCTTTGCAACCCTAAATAAGTTAGTACAAAACGGATATCTTTTTTGGGGTACCATGGCTGTTGGATTCCTTGGTTTGTTTTGTTGCCTACTCAAGACATCATTAATGTTGTAGTTAACAACGCCACTGGGGTAGCCGTTTTTTGACAATAACATTTTCACCTCATCCAACTTAGGATCGCAACAACAAAGGCGACGAGCAAAGGCAGAGATAACAACGACCTAAACCAGGTTTGGCTGACCAGCGGTTTCGTGAAAACAAGGGTTTGTTGGGGGTGCTCAGTCTCGCAGGCTCATAAAACCTGCATGGTCTCGGCCGTTTAATTAAGGATTTTCTGGAGAAAGTATGATCCGTTGAGCGTGTTATGAGGATATCAAGGAATGGGATGGCGTTATTCTCTTCTAATTCAATGGTGAATTTGATATTTACATGACAGGTATTGAGATAGTGTAGAATTTTTTTTTCTTTTTTCTTAACAGCAACGTTCGCCCTTCTGTTTGGTTATCATGCGTCAATGACACGTTCACCTTATTTGACAGTAAGAACACAGCAGTACTGCTATGTCCTTTCATAACCAAACAGAAGTCAAATAAGGTGAACGTGTCGTCGACGTATCGGAACAAAACAGAAGGGCGAACGTTGCTGTTAAGAACCCATTTTTCCTCGAAGTGGCACATCAAGATATTTGCCATAACAGGGCCTAAAGGTGATCCCACTGCTACACCATCAATTTGATCGTAGTACTGACCATAGAAAATAAAATGGCTCAGTCTTCTTTGTAGCCAACTCAAGCAGAACTTTAAGACGGAGCGGGATAGTTTTGGTGGATCGGGGAGAGCATATAGCTTGTTTATTAAGACAAAATTGTATTGTCTCGTCGAGTGGAACGATTGTAAACGAGGAGCTAAAGTAAAAAGAGCACATCACCTCGTTGTTATGGTTATATGACTTGGCCAAGTGCGCAAAACTAAAAGAGACCTTGATTGTGAACTGATTTGTGGAAATTGGCAGAATCGAAGTATATCCACAAGGTATGATGCGAGATTATAATTATAAGTGTTTACAGAGAAAACAATAGGACGGAAAGGGCAGCCAGGTTTATGAATCTTAGTGAGACCATCACGAAATGGGATTCTTTCGCACCCCGGTAAAGTTATTCTTATCCGAACGTTCGCTTTTCGTTGTTTCCGCCTTTGCTCGTCGCCTTTGTTGTTGCGATCCTCCTTGGTCAGGAGCTGAAAATGTTATTGCCAAAAACGGCTACTCCAGTGGCGCTGTTAACTACAATGTTAATGATGTCAACAAAACAAACCAAGATTACCCAACAGCCATGGTACCTGCAAGGTACCCAAAAAAAGAAATTCGATTAGTACTGTACCTTATTTAGGGTTGCAAAGCAAAATTATTACCAAACAACTCAAGGCTTGTATAAATATATTTTATGGGTGCAATGACCGTAGGGTTATTTTCCAAAACACACATCGCATCATGTCTCTGTTCCCCTACAAAGACAGGCTCAACCGTTCTCAAATGTCCAAAGTTGTATATAAAGCTAGTTGTCGGGACTGTCAGGATTTCTACATTGGCAAAACCAAACGGAAATTGCATGACCGAAAAACTGAACACTTCAAGGCAATCACCAGAAACGGTCATCGATCAGCTATTGCAGAACACGTCACTTCAACTGGTCACAATTTGACATGGGAACAATTGTTTTAGCAAGAGGAAAATCAGATACCCATTGTAAAATCAAGGAGACTTTTCTTATTAGTGATTTAAAATCATCCCTAAATGAAAATATAAGCAGAGAAAAGCTTTACTTATACTAGTTTGCAATATTTCGTGCAAATTTTCTCATCTGTCACATTTATTTGTTTTTAATTTTTCCTTCACGTTAATTAGTTGCTTATCTTAATTTTTTTAATGTAAATTTAGTTACTACTCTAAGCATACGAAACGTCAAGATCGATATTATAAAAGTCAGTTAATACAATGCGTTTGTTATTTCTGATGTTTGTAACCGCAGTTTGTGTATTTCCTTGGAATAATCGCGAAAAAAAGTGAAAGGACGAGAATTCTATTTTCTCAGCGACCTTTTCTTGGACGTCGCCGTTGTCGGATCGTAAGGACCCTGCTAACACACGGGGTCATCGACGTTAATGTATTCCACACAAGAAAAACAACTTAAATTAAACTTTTCAATTCATGATAATAGTTTGTACTTATTTTTCCATGTTCAGTGAGCGCCGAATTTTAAAACCCTGATTGGGAACAATCACTCAGTGAAGAAAACATTTCACATACAGAAGTAATTGTAATTGGTTTCTCTATATAAAGCTATAAGGTACCATCAATTTTCTGTTTGATTTGGGGGAAAGTACTTCCAGAACACACAAGATTTTTAGACAATTTTTTTTTTCGCCTTGAATTGCCTTGATTCATGCACTGGATGTAACGTAACGCTTTTGATGCCCGTTTTAAAATTTTCGTTACCTTTTATCTACTTATCAATCTAAATTTTTTTTTTTCCTTCATTTTTTTCCTTTTTAAGGGTCGTAAATTAGTTTGCCTGAAAAGCTATCTACCCAGAACTCTGCTCCGGTCTACTACAGACAACTCCCGTTATTGTGTCCGTAATAGGGAGAGTCCGTAATAGCGAAGTACTAGGGGAAAAAATTGTTTTCTTACACTGAAGAAATAATTTGTAAAAGTGCCAGAAGTATTGTAGTTTCGACAATTCTTTACTACTTCTTTAAATTATGGACCATAAAAGATTCAGTAAAGATAATAAGATTATAAATATGCTGTATTATTTTTTCCAAGCTCCTGCAATGACAAGGGATAGATAAGAAAAGGCTTAAAAAACCAAACGGAAACTCCTCCAGTAACGTGATGTCAAATATGTTGTTTTTTAGTGTTCTTGGCAGCTCTTTTATCGCAGAAATGCTGCCCAGTATACTCATTACATAATAGAAATCCTGCTAATACTTTTACAGTCTGAGAGTGTTAAAATAACGCAAAATGTTTCTAAAGTGGCAATGTCTTTTCTTCCAAAAATGTGCACAGCAGTCATTTGTTTACCCTTTTACGAAGCGGTCGTGAGGGATATTGGTCGAAGCTGGGTACTCGATGACAACGGAGATTCTATAGTAATTGCTTTTATTTTGGCGAGTTTCCAAAGAGTAAAAAGCTCAGTAACTATTGGAGCAAGATAGTTTGCAAAATCTCTCTTCAACCAGAAGGGGAATTCATCTGGACCAGGAGCCGTACGCTTCAATAAACCTTCTCAGTATCTGGACCAGGGCAGCCGTTCTACACTCTAGTGCAAGAGAATTCAATAAACCTTCTTTTCTAGTATCAATAGAAGGAAGACTAGACTGTTCAGTCCCTATTTTTCCGATGCGAGATCGAGCGCGTCTTACCGTTCATATCTTGATTTTCAGTCGTACCGAGGGGGCGGGCGTACTAAGATTATAGCGAGAAAAATAGTTCTTTTCTCGCCTCTCCCAAACCGTGCCCCTAAGAGATTTGTACAAGGTTAGACTCGGTACGACTAAAATCAAGATGGCCGCTTTTAACGGTAGTATCAATAGAAGGAAAGGAGCCTTTTTTCGCCCAAGTTTGGTTTTGGGTATGGTAATGTATGATAATGAGTTTGAAACAAAAGAAAATAAAATTTAAACCAAGGAAACAATTGAACCACACTATACATATACAAATATACAATAACTTTTTCAGCCTCCTGCCAAAAAGAAGGGTTCTAATAAAGCTCCCCGGCTCTGGTATTTTTTTAACGATTATCACTCGATGTTGTGTGATTTTGCACAACCGCTACATTTAAAAAACGATCTGAGCTCTGGCAAATGTTTAAAAATAATTCTTTGCAGTGGTAAAGATGTTCAGTTGATTGAATTATTGACACAGTTATTGAATTCGTGTTACAAAATATTATACACCATGTGTATGGAAATCTTTGAGGAAGCGCCAGATCCGTTTCAGCCCTCCTTCGGTCTCTCTGCGGCAAAAGTCTTCGTTTCGTGGTCAAAGCTCGACTTCATCCAATTACTGTTTAATATAATATGGCATTATTTTCTCTAAACAAATAGCATGCTCGCAAATCCATGCATTATCTCATAAACGGGAGGGAGCTTTGTGGAAAAGGAAGTCGGGTCCGAAACAAAATCAGGATCATTTGAAGACAGTGTATAATAACTTTCATGGATGGAAGTGCACCGTAATTTTTAGGGAGTTATTATAACTCCAAAAATGGAGTAAAAATTTTAGGTACAGGATAACCTCTTTTTGGGGGTTATTTTAACTGCTAATTTAACTGCTAATTTAATTTGGGGTCATTTTTACTCCTGAAAAAGAGTTCTTTTTACTCCCAGTCTGGAGTTAAAATCACTCCGAAATGGTGTTTCTTTTACTCCTTACATGGGTTGTTTTTACTCTTTTTGGAGTTAATTTAACTCTGAAAGTGGAGTAAAAACTTTAGGTACAGGATAACTCATTTTTGGGGGCTATTTTAACTCCTCAATATCTGGGGTCACTTTTAACCTCAAAGAGTTCTTCTTTTAAAATCCCCAAAAATAACTTTAAGGTTGTTAGCAGGGAGTTATTTAACTTTTACTGTGCCTTTTTCGTCGAAAATTTGGAACTGAGATTAATTTCTTTTCATGGCCGGTGTTGTCTACGCAAAAGCCATAAAAAATTCGCTCCGTTAAACAAACTATCCGTCCAGTTCTTCTCAGAAAAGAAAGGATAACCACTTTAATTTATTCATTTTTATCAATATTTTATTATTCTTAATATTTATCTTTAAATTTTTTATCAAAATATAAAAAAGGTAAAATATAACAATTAAAGCGGTTAGCTAGTCTGAGGACCTGACTATTAATATCTAAAATGAGACAAGAATAAAATAACTGGGAAAACACCATATGATTATACAGTCCAATTAAATATACGAAGTTCCTATTCAGTGCTAAACTTAACCAAAATTAACCCGAGTAAAGAAGTAAAGGATAACCCCATGGTTGAAATTGTGTTCTGTATACTCTCTTTTCGTTGATATTTGGCAATGAGAAATATTTTTCGTCATGGCCAGAGTTTATTTTCACAAAAGACATTATATCGCATTCGTCACTCCGCATTTGCAAAACAAAATATTTATGTTTAGTCTTGTTCTTTCCCTGAGTAAAGAAAGGATTAAACCCCAAAAAGCATTAGTCTTTATAGTGTTTATTTCGGGGCATTTCACTATCTTGCACCTACTGCCTGGCCAAAACAGGCACTGCCGTCATTTCCGTGCAGTTTTTAATATTTATCGTAGTATCAATCTCTGATTATGTCTTTTAAAAGGCATTTAAAAAGCAACGCCTCGAAATTAAAGAGGCCGGCTGGTCTGACTAAACTGGAATATACTTCCTAAAAATAAGTAAAAATAAAATAAAATAACTGGGAAAAACGCCATATGATTATACAGTCCAATTAAATCTAATGAGTCCCTATTCAGTGCTAAATCCAACCTAACTAATAATCCGTGAAACGCGACAAACCCGCAAAAGCTGAATAAAAGAAATTAAAATGGAGCATGCAATTTTTGAGTAATTTCTTTTAGTATATTTACGTGAGATGCAATCCACCATGTCGAAATTACAACGAATAATGATAATAAATTATCAGTAAACATGTACAATTAGCAGAGAAAAAGAATAAAAAATCAACGCCCTGAATGTAAATTGTCTGCCGGGGGAATTTAATTAAATTACCGGAAAAACCATTGGACACGGTTAAATAACTGGAAGAGTTCTTAAGACTAGATATATATTTTAAAAAATCGCAACAAAGTTTTATAATTTACAGTCAGTATTAGAGAATTTCTCTTGACAAGTGAAGTAATATGTAAGTTCAAATGACACTGACACAGTGGTAATTGCAGTGCCAGCGGGAAATGAAACGATTCATCGTTTTGACGTAAATGGCTAAAAGTAAATAGAATTCTGCTTGTTCATACCCAATAAAAAATCCTCTTTTTAACCTCTGTATAAATTCAAACGTCAGCTGTTGGAAAAATAAATTGTAATCGCTTATAGTTGCCGGAAAAAGGGATCACTTCTGTTTTCCTTGTATATTTTAGTAACAAAAGCCAATTCAAAAAATGCGATTTAACTCAAATCTGAATTTTCATGAATCGCAATATTTTCCCAGTAAAAAGGTTTTTAATTGGTTCATTCTACAGTAGACACGGAAGGATTGACTTGAATCACTAGCTACACGCATACAGGTCAGTTTATACTTATAATCACACATTTAAAAATCATTTTTATCTGCTGCAACTTTTCATATCTAAACTGGATCTCTTTGGATAAAACCGTAATGGCGTGAGGCACAAATGACAAATATGAGCTATCACAGTATTTATAGCGGAATTTGTTCTCAGAACTGATTCATTATGAAAAGCCAGTATCAAAATAACAACCATTAATGACCTCCAAACTATGGTGAGATAGGGGTTAAGTATCCTTTGCGAAGAAAAAAGGCAAGTCATTTATCTTTAAGAAGTCGGATTACTTATAAGCTTTAAAGTGACAATTCTGTCGGTGAAGAAAAATAATATACATCCCAGTAAACCCGGGTTACGGTCCGTACTGTAAAATCCTGACCGTAAAACAGCCAATCATACTGCTCCCGATTCATAAGTCTTGAGTTTTGCTTGCCATAAAGTGAAATATATATATCTAAACCGCAAGATCGAAATACTATTATTTATACTAGCAAGCCAGTTAAAACGTACGCCGCGCTGGCTGTGAAGTAAGAGAAAACCAAAAACCACACGATTTATAGCGTCACTTGAGATTCTACAGCTAGCAAGAGAGTGGATTTTCCTAGTAACTCACGAAGCAGAAGTTTGTAGGGCTCTTTTAGTCAATAAAAAGCGTCGATTTCTAAAAAAAAAGTCGACAGCAACAGCTGAGTAAAGTTAATTGGAACGCTTCTAACTCTAAATGTCCACGACAAGAATTAACTCGAACTGAAAAATGACAATAAAAAAATAACGAAATTCTAAATTTCTAGGCAAAAGCTCGTATGACAGCTAGGGGAAAAGAAGTCATGACGCTATCGAAACACACTTCCGTCAACAAATTAGACTCCAAGATACAACGCAACGCACGAATTTTGAATATTGACAGTTTGTTGCATAATTTATTTTAATTCAGAAGGTCGAAAAAGACGTAATAACCCCCTAATTTACCTTTATAGTGGAAATCAGTCGTTGACATATAAAATCCATGATTTTCTAGTAAGAGCTATGGCGTCCAATCAACTCGTTTAAATATTCCCACAAACGTACAGAAAAAGAAGAAGATTGAAGGAGGAGGAGGAAGAAAACGTCAAATCATATAGACAGTTGTTCTCACTAAATTTTTAGAACAAAAAGGACACTATTAAACTTTAAAAAAACGTGTAATTTAAACATTAAAGAGAGAAAAAATATAAGCCTGTAGCTCTATTTGAAGAAAAAATATTTACTCGATGACGCTCTTTCCGTGTATTCATAAATACAAATGCGAAAACATCAGATGACCCTTGAAAACATCAGATTATCCCTGAAGTTGTATTTTCTTAGTTAGTGTGGGTCCGCCTCAAAAAAGATTATTGCTTTTTTCAAATAAAATAGTCATATTTAAACAAAAAAGGGTTTTGGTCTAAATATTTTGATATTTACTTTGCGTCTGTTGCTTTGGCCGACCGAAAAGCTTCGCTAAACTTCTCAGTTCATCTATAAGCATTTACGTAAGGGCTTTTGCTGTGAGAATCGGAGCGAATAGACCTACTTTCTGGCTCATATTTTTTTTGTTTTAGACGTTGGGAAAAGTGCAAAAACTTGACCAAAAGTCTTGAAAACCTGTCCTTTAACTATATTTCATCTATATAATTTCAAAATCGCTCAATCCACATTTATTCGGGGCCGCTAGCTTTTCCGGTCAGCTGTTTCAATATGAATTCTACAATTGTAGCGTCCAAAGAGCAAGCTATCTTTCCCTAACTTTGTCTTTAAGTAAAAGAACACCCATTCCCTTTAAAAGAAAAAATATAGGTTAACTATTTCCTAAAAACGTGAAAACATTGAAAATTTCTACCACCTCAAAAGAGTCATCGTTTACACGAAAGTTAGTTTAAACCATAATAAGCGACAAAATTTGTCGACTTATTGAAAGATTGAAATCTCTTAATGAATTCAGTTGACAGATCAGTCGACTTTGACAATACCACCAACAAGATTTATGACGCATATGCACGAAGCTATTTGCAAAATGTATAAACTTATGTGTATTTTTAAAGTAAACGTAACTGTACTAAGGTAAGCGAAATTTTTAACCTTTAGGCAAAGAATCTCTGGCTAGTCGAGCACCTTACCTAAAATGAGGAATCGTTGACTTCATCTTTGGTTTAATCCCTTTGAGCAGCCGGAAAAAGCAAACATCACCCCCACCCCCTGCGCCCCAAAACTAAATAAATAAATTAATTAATTAATTAATTAAACTAAATGTCAAACTCTCAAAGTAAGAGAGTACTGAAAGGAATCAACAAAGCATAAACCAAAGTCGAAAGCGTAAAAATTTGGGAATATGCAGTCTAAATATGAGCTCTAAATGCCTCTTTTGTTTATTAACAGGTTGGTGAGTCTACAAGATCTTTTGTAGACAAGATGGCTAATTCCACCTCAACTGGGATTTTAAACACGACAGTGTCGCCCACGACAGAAAAAGGCTCATTCAGTTTCACAATTAAATTGGTCTCCACTCTTCTGTTGATCACGACCATAATCCTTACTCTCCTCGGAAACTCGCTCGTCATCCGGGCATTTATTGTTTTCAGGAAGCTGCAAAATGTGACGAACTACTTCGTGGTGTCCCTTGCGGTGACGGATATCTTGGTTGCGTTGTTTTCAATGCCAGTATGGACAGTGTACCTATTAACAGGTATTTAACATTACAGCAAAAATTTCTCTTTTGTATTTAGTCAGTAGCTCATTATCTGGAGCGAGCAACGTCTCTGTACAAGTGTCCTGGCGTTTTCAAGGACCATTTTATTTTTTATGATTTTGGCGCGAAGTTTGTATTTTATTTTATGATTATTTTTTATTTCAGTTTTTTTTTTATTTCATTCTTTATTGACTACATAAAACAGAAAATAGACAGAAGAGGAAAAAAGAAATAAAAGCAAACTAACTAACGAACAATTTAACTAACTAACTAACTAAACAAGTTTGTGACAATGAACAATGAATAATATCGAATAGATACGAAAACAGACTTATTAAAACATTTCCTACAAAAGACTAAGTAAAAAATACAATACAATATATAGCTCTAACTTGAACTAAGTTATTATGACAAACTATAATTTATCCAAGCAATGGAAAAAATAGAAATAAAAAATATTTAAAAAATATTCTTAGGAGATAAACTGAACCACTTTCGTTTAAAGAAGTTTTTAGACGCGAATTTAGGTTATCTTTTCAGCCCTACAGTCCCACAAACCAGTCAGCAAAACCTACAGACCTTAAAATGCTAAATTGCCTTTTAATGACTTTTAGTTTGATATGTAAGACTTTGACTGCGCTCATAGATGAAGCAAAGTTTTCATTTTCGCGGGGAAAGTGCCATAAAATGTATCTAACACTAAGTAAACTTTCGGGTGTATTGGTAATTGCTTGAATTGGAATTAACACTGCGATGATCATATCGATCTTTATGTAAAAATTTGTATTTCCAAATTTCACATCAACTTCATGTTTCATTCCTTTCACGGGTAAAGATGCTCCCTGAAAGTATGGGTCTTCATAGCCTAATTGGCAGAGCACTGCAGCGCTAGCGCAGAGGCCATGGGTTCGAATCCCGTTGAAGTCCCGAAATTATTTTGGGGTTCATTTGCAATTGCTTATATTGCAATCATCACTGCAAGGATCATATCAACATTGTATTTTTCCAGTTCACATCATCTTCATAAGACTAGACCTGTCGGTGAAAAAGCCTTGACATAGACCTAGGGTGAGAGTTGCTAGCTCAGGGTTATGGGTTCCTAATTTAATCAATACATGTTTGACGATATCCAGAAATGGGTTTTCTTTAATGTAAGGTTGAACCTGAGTCGCACCTCAATTTGACAACACCTCTCACAAGCGACCATCTCTCATAAGTAACCACCAGTCCAAAATCAGTTTCAACAGTCAAAGCACCGGGATCATAATGACACAGAAATTGTCAAAGACAGCAGGCATTATCTTTTCCTAGCCCTGAGATACCAGCAGCTGAAGTCACTTTCAGAGACAATAGAGGAATGAAGCGGTTAGTTTCTATTGAAACTGTCAAAACATTGCAATTGTTACCCTGGCCACAGAATCCTAATGAGACTAAAAGTCTTGAGGAGACAACAGAGTTAAGGGAATGTAAGCAACTACGTTTTTGAACGGCGGACACACATCAACCACATTCTTTGATTTCTTGGGCTGCGAGTTTGACCAAAGTTTTGGGCAAATCGCCACTGACTTTGACAGTGAAGACCCTTAGGTAACAAATTTGGTAGCGACAAGGCATATTAACAGGGAAAACAGTCAAATTCCGGTTGACCTGGGTCGCTCAAAAACGTCTTTGTTTGAGCTCCCATTATCTTGTCCTCGTCCTGAGATCCCTGCAGCTGACATGTCTTCCACAGACAATAGAGGAATGAAGTAGTTGGTTTCTTACAGAAACTTTGTTTGAGTGAAGCACAAAAATTTCGCTTTATCAACTGATTTGATAACACGATTTGATAAAATCAATTATCCACCATTAAGTGGGTAGACTGGTTGTTTTTGAAGGAAATGATGTTGATTTGGGAGGGAAATAAATTAGAGTAAAAAAGGTATAATACACGTAACCAGTTAGTCCACTGATCGGCTCAGAGGCACCTTGTTATGGCTGTGGACTACCTGGTATTTGTCTGCTAATTATTTACTTCATATTTTGATTTTTAACAACCCCTAAATCAAATATTTTCATATGTCTAAAATTTTAAACATCCCCTCCCCCAATTTTTATACATTAAAAAATATTTTTAAAAAATTATTGAAGCAAGGACTCCAACATAACTGAGTTGTTACGCCGCAAAATGTTATAATCGCCGCAAAATGTAATATTAACGCAAAATGTAATAAGAATCGCCGCAAAATGTAATACTAACGCGAGATGTAATAACATTGACGCAAAATGTAATAAAATTTTCAACGCAAAATGTAATAATCTTTCAACGCAAATTGTAATAACTTTTCTAACGCATAATGTAATAACGCAAAATGTAATAATTTCCGAAATAACGACGTGCATGCTATTTCAAAATCGGTATTGTGGCTCAGTAATCAGTAGCTGATCCAGATCTTCATGTGAATTATTATTAGTAGTAGTATCAATATTGATATTAATAATAGTAATAATATCTATTTTCTTCTTCTTCTTCTTCTTTTTATCATTATTATTATTATTATTATTATTATTATTATTAATGAAATAACGGTTGAAACGTCATGTTACTTCCGTGCTGAGCTACGCAACACTCTTCCCCAACAAGGGAGGAGGAGCGTTGCGTGACGAGACAAAAATGGCTGCAAGAGCTTGCTGTACTGTACCAAAACTGTAGCAACTGAGAGACTTGGTTTAATTTCAGGTGTTGAATTTTATTCAGTCAAATAAAATAGCTGTTGTCGAAAACAAGTAATAGAATCAACTTTCAAAGCATAATTCAAATGCATTTAAAATATAAGATATCTGTCACACTTTTTGTCATGAGAACCAGACAACTTTGGCTGTAGCTTACTTTTCCTAAGTTGTCACTTAATAGAGGCTGAATTGTTCTAAATGCTGTTTTTTAGGTCCAAGTTTCCTTTATGTTGAAGTTTCCAAGCTTTGCAAAGTCAAATCAGTTTGCTTTGTAAGGCAGTTGTCGTTTGCCTAGAACAGATAGCGCAATTTTTTTTTAGTTAGCCCAGTAACACATTTCTGATTGGAGAAGAGCTAAGCTGAAGCACAAAAACATTGAATTTGCCTGGAAAGGCAGTTGTGATTAGAAGACAGGCCATCCCCTTTTTTCTCTCCGTTTGGCATTTTCAAAAAAAAAGTAACGACGTAGTTAAACCATTTTTCACTTGAAATAATTCTTTTAATCTGAAAAATGAGCATAGTTACAGCATAGAGAAAAACAGGAACAAAGACATAAACATTTTTTACAGTATATTGTGTATTTTGTTAATCCAAATATGTGAACGTTAACTTTCAACATCGTCCTGGGGTACCAGGGCCTCCTATTCCGACACTTCTTGTGATTTTGTTTTTTAGGTTTTTTTTTTTCAATCCGACCGACCGACTCAATATCAGGGAACGCATTCGAGGCTAAACGATACCTTGAATTTGCTCAGCAATGCAATCGCCATTGGCTTAGAGTTGACAGCACCAAATCTTGAACTGGGAGATCCATAAAAAGTGCGCAATTTCGTCTTTTTAGGGACGACCATTTTTGACCACTTGAGAGGGGAGGGTGTATGGGTAATTTGGTTTGGGTTAGAGTTTTTGGATAATTATCGGATACTGTCCACATACCCCTCCCCTAAGCCAACATTAACACTTATTTCTCACTTAGGGCGAAATGTTGGCTTAGGGGACGGCTAGGCGGGCACCGTGTTGGGACCTGTATTACGTTCAAATCAGCGAAAACAAACGTCCTATTAATAATAATAATAATAATAATAATAATAATAATAATAATAATAATAATTAATAGCAAGAGTAATATTAATATTATTAAGAATATTAATAGTAATATTAATATCAATAATAATAATAGCTTATAATTTAATTGAAGATCTGAATTCGCTACTACCGATGACTGAGCAACAATACCGATTTTGAAATAGCATGCAAGTCGTTATTCGGAAATTATTACATTTTGCGTTATTACATTATGCGTTAGAAAAGTTATTACAATTTGCGTTGAAAGATTATTACATTTTGCGTCAATGTTATTACATTTTGCGTTAGTATTACATTTTGCGGCGATTCTTATTACATTTTGCGTTAATATTACATTTTGCGGCGATTATTACATTTTGCGGCGTAACATGAGTCATTTTTTGATTGAATGAATTCTTGGCTAGATATTTAAGAAAAAGGGACGAAAAATAGAAAAACAATGTTTTTAACCAGACTGCCTCCTTAAAAAAATCGAAAGCTAACGTTTCGAGCTGTAGCCTTTCGTTCAAATAAGGACTCAACTTCACAAATGGCCAGGACAATTACGTCTATCATCCATGAACTTCGTCATTTATAAACTGGAGTCAATACTGTCGCTAAAGCGATGATGGTGTCAAAATAAATTCCAACCTCTTTTAAGCCTGCTCCGGGGGAAGAGTCGGGCTTTCGTATAACAATGACGGGGATATTCGTAGGAAGATTAGAATAAGACCCCAAGGAATTGTGGTATGATGAATTTTGTTATTTTTATTTAGGAATTCCTTTAAGTGCAACTCAAACTGATATCTTCATTAATAAAAGTAGTGTCTTTCCGTCCTGAACATCTTAATTGGGACTAAAATCTGCCTCTAGGCGAGACGACAACCAACGCGTAATTTCATGAGGGAGTCATCCCCCTCCCCCACCCTGGGAAACGACCGGACAAAATGCCAAATTTTGAATTTCGTGGTTGCTGATAATGTGGCTTTTTAAATACTTAAGACTATTAGGATAGGGAGGAGTGGATGAGGGAGGGAGGTTAAAAAACAGTTGAACTCACTTTTAACGGAGGGACTCCATCTCTGATCGGATTTAAGATTGTTCAAGAAACTGCTTTGTTTTGCAGGACCGCACTGGCTGTTTTCGACGTGGTTTCACAGAATCTGGCAGTCTATGGATATCTTGTGCAGTGTTGCATCCATTACCCACCTTCTTCTTATAAGCATCGAACGTTACATTTGCATTTCAAGTCCGCTTACTTACCACAGCATCGTCACGACGAGAAAAGCCCGGGTCGCCATTTTTTAGCGTGGCTCTTTGCGCTTGTTATGACGATCCTTAAACTATTGCTCTGGGGAGGACCAACTAAGGTTTACCAGCTTACCAGTTTCGTACTGTGTTTCGCTACACCTGTCTTGGTTATGAGCTACGCATATATCATGATATTCAGAGTTTCTCGTACGCAAGCCAAAAAAATGATCTTCAAGATTGGCGAGAAGACTAAACGATTCTGCCTTCCCAAGGAGCTGAAGGCTGCAAAGACGCTTGGAGTCGTAATGGGAGCCTTTGTTTTATGCTGGTTCCCGTTCTTCTTTCTTAACGTTTACCATGCTTTGTGCCCGTGAGTAGATGTTTTCTTTTCTTTCAAATATTTAATGGAATAGAATGGTTACGACGCTCGTCAGACTCCTTAATTTGTTATATTTTTGCGAACTCGAAGGTGCTCAACTTTCAATAGCATTCCTATCATTTTGATCTAAACTGCCTAATAAAAGCGTTGCATTAATTTATTCCGTCACAATTTGTGCAATCAGAAAACAAAGGATTGTGCACCGTCAGGGAGTCTCCAACGTAAACTGAAGCACTGTTGTTCTTATCTTGAGGTTTGCCGGCTTTCACAACCAGTCTCCTTTACCGTTTATATGGAGAAAACCTATCCTAGGTAGAAAGATCATCCCTCGCGTTCGTATGAGAAAAACGTTAATTTGCCAGTCTCAATCTACAGCACTTATGCTGCTGTTTCTCTTAGTTGGTATGGAACGTCCTTTAGTCAAGAACCTTTACCGAAACTACGAATACGAGGTTTGACTGAAAACTGTTTTCGTGTTTTGTAAAAAAAAAACACCCCGGAATGCTTCAGTACACTTTTTTTTCACCAGAATAGCTGGCACACAGTTACCTTTATTGGGGGATGTTAATCTCTCTCCCGATGCGATGTCTCGCGCGAGTACTGAGAATATCTAGTACTCGTAGTAGTTCTTGTCTTAGAATCTAAAGCTCTCTAATGCAAGGAACTTAACCAACCATTTTATTTTACATCGTAGCTCCTGTCCTATAGATGCAGGAGCTGTAATGGTTGCTAAAGGTCTTCACTACTTCAACTCTGTTCTCAACCCGATCATCTACAGTCTGATGAATAAGCAGTTTAAGACCGCATTCAAACATCTCTTCTACTTGACGTACTCGAACTTGTCTGGCAGAGGTCCTATGATGACCAGATTAGACGTCGATAAGCAACTTTCATTTACCTACTTCTCTTCGTTGAAAAGCAAATCATCTATGCAAGAGAAAAGTAGAGCTGAAGAAAACAACTTGCCTCAAAGGGTATAATGTTGATGGGCCTCGTGCACTCAGGGCGCTGGCGTCAAAAGATCGAGAATAGAGTTCGTCACTGAAATGAACTTGCAGTAGTATCGCCTGCAAAGTCGATTGTTTGGGTCATCATCTCTACGAAATCTGGAGAGACCAAATTAACTTCTGGATGGCATACGCACTTGAAAAGTAATAAATACAAAGACTCAAGTGCAAATGCTACCACTCATTGGCCTCTGACATGGACTGAGGAGAGGCTTCGTACGTTGTATTCATCACAATTTTCCTAAGTTTGGGCATTTTCACTCTTATGCATGTATGTCACGTCATCAAAAATAAAAATGCAAACCAGTGAAAACAGAAAGTCTAGAATCGGGAAAAGAATGAAGATAAATATACAAAAAGCCTCGCCAAGAATCAAGTCTTTGCGATGATTCATATGCGAGATATTCGGAAAAACGTTTTATCCAAATTTATAAGGTTTTGTAAGGAAACGCCATGTTGGTGTCCCTTTCAGGGGTACAAATATGGCCATCGGAAACCAACAGAAGCATCTGTTTTTGAGTCTACATGTACCTACTAATGCATGAATCCATCGCTTGAGGAAGTCATAAATATTAAAGAAGTATTTATTCTAAGACAAGGAATGTTTATATAGCAAAATCTCAAAAAATCTGTAAGGTTTTTAACCCGCATAGAGCTTTCCTGGCCGCCAGCTAAATGCCACGTCACGCAAAAGCCTGTAAATTCAAACGTCTTCTATTGCAAAACGAGGAACCCTTTGAAACCAAAAATTTGTGTATATAAAGGTTTTTAGGTGCTGTAATGTAGAAACTCAGAAGAATCGAAAGTTTCTTAGTTTGAATTTTGGTGACGTCATGTGAAAACCATCAGGAAAGAATGGTAACTGAATGGTCTGATGAGCGAGAAGCTCGTGCAAACCGCAAGTCTGTAGAATCTGCGATCCCTTTATGTGACCAGAAATGAGCATTAACTTTAATATCCAATATCCTAAATATCTTCCAAAGAGTTTTTACATGTATTAATGACACAGAGTTCGAACTATAATAAGGTCAGTTTTTGTAAGTGTTTGAGACCAAGTGTTATTTCATGGAAAGTGAAGTGGAACATGATCGTCCAGGTTGATGTAGTCCCAAGTAGGACTGTCGACAGTGACAGCGTTTCAACAACCTATTTGGTGGTCATCTTCAGAGTAATATTTAATTGAGTTCTATCTCGTCATTAGATAGTATAGTCCGACTCAGCCAAGGTGTAATTTTTAGCTTGCAAACTACACCAACTTAATTCACCAATTTTCTTGTTTTCCAAAATCGACACAGTTTTTCAATCAGAAAACGGTAAATACTAGCTTACTGCAGCTGTTACTGGTAAAAAAAAATGAGCGGGGTGGGTTAAACAATGCCCATGATATGCCTGTTAACACGTCTTAGACATCATGTACACTATGTACAGCGATAATCTCTTAAAGGGGAGTATCACAAGAGTTTGCGACTGTGTACTGACAGGCTACAAGAATTTTCCAAGGTGTAAACTCTGCTAGAACAATGAGGGCCGCTCTATTAAAGCATCTGGCCTCTCTTGTCCTTGTAGAACCGACAGAAAGATACCAATGCAGTATCCAACTATGGAACAAATGGTAATTGATTGTGAACCCGGGCGATATTTTCCAAATAATCACGTCCTTGGAAAAAGCCAAATGTTGATGCGTTTTTACGTACCAAGTGACAAAGTTTTCCCCATTACTGTCGTTCACTGTTCACTAAGGAAAATTCTGCACAGGCTGTTATCTGGACCTGTTTGATTTGTAAATTTGAAAAATTACTATCACATGAATTTGACGTTTGCCTTTCCCCGTAAACGCGATTGTAAATCATCTGAATAGACCTTTTTACCGATACGGCGGCCATATTGAATTAACTCAACTTAAGTAGTATTATAGGATGCCCAGGGGGCATGAGCACATTTCGTTTGTATTTTCGAGCGCTTTTAGGGACATTTTTTCTTAAAGTTTTCGTAGAATAAGATTGTAATGGGAAAAAAGATCCTTTTGCCGTGTTTGGATGTAATAATGATCGCCTTTTTCTAGTTTAGTATTAAAATTATGGTCTTTCACTGTATATTTCGCGGGAAAAAGGCGATCATTATTACATCAAAACACTGCACAAGGATCTTTTTTTCCCATTTCAATCTTATTCTAAGAAAACTTTAAGAAAAAAATGTCCCTCCATTGAAAAGCGCCATGATATAGCGAAAATACAAACGAAATTGTTCAGTTCGTGGGTATTTCTGCTTATGTCCCACCGGGTTGTGCTCTGGGCATCCTAAAATACTCTGTCCTTAAATCGAATTAATTCAATATGGCCGCCGTATCGGTAAAAAGGTCTAATGCAGAGTATTTTAAAAGGAGTATGTAGAAAAAAAACAAAGTGTGACAATTTTATTACAAAAGGTGCGACAGGTATTACAAAGTGCGACGATTATTTAAAAGTGTTTAAAAAAGGTTTAAAGGCTTGTTTATAGTTGAAAGTGCACTTAGCTTATCCAGCTAATTTACAGGCACTCCACTCAGATACTTAGAAACAAATAATTCAAATATAACATAACAGGATTAAAAACCCCAACTGGCAGGAGACAACCAGTTGGCTATTTACAAGCCGAGGATTTGAACTCGGGACGACCGAGGACAAATACAGCAAGTGACAAGAGCGGTACTCGAACCCGGGACCGCGGGATTGCGAGTCCGACGCGCTGACCAGTCGGCCACGCTGCCTCCTGTATGCCGGCTGGACTTTTTTTTTCTAGTTTCAGTCTACTTGCTTCCTATTCGCCCGAAATCAATGACAACTTTAAACACTTGTATGTATACTTGTACAAACCCGTGACTCTAAGAACCCGAAAAAAATTTGAAACAGGTTAATTCTTATTTTCAAAAATCTTCTAAAATAAATTCTGTTTCCTTGAGCAAATAAGATATTAAGTCAACAGTCAGAATCCTCTTTGGAGACATAGGTGTCTTACCACTCCAACTGCAAAGTAATGGTATGGAGATTTTATGTAAGGAATTTAAGGGGAATATACCACTAAATACTCTTAGCTTCAATGTATTCTTTCTTCAGAAAATAAAAGCCTATTTATAAACCTATCAAATCCTAATTTCTTGCTATTACCATTTTTGTAAGAACAGTGTCTAGGGTAACTTGGGAAAATGCAGGCTCTTATAGTCGCGGGTTTTTAGTCTACCTAATAATAACTGTTACTGAGTAGCCTGACCGGATCGACACTAACGGTCAATCACGGTATTGTTGGATTTTCAAGTATATTAGTACTAAATCTTTAGCGTCACCACTGTAAGTGATACCGCCCTTTCAAAATGTTTCCTCTCCCATCAATAAAAAAATAAATCAAAAGAGAAAGTCCTCTGCAGTTAACATCTATGCCATTAGAAGGCTATTAGCGGCCTCAGCAGTTCTCCTTGGACCTGCAGACAACGCCAATTCTAGGAAAGACCGATTTCTTGAACACAGCAGAGCCTTGAAAGCCGTCCTAAAGTCTCTGTTTGTGAACGCATAAATTAGTGGATTTAGCAGCGAATTCCCATAGTGCATCCATTTTGTAGCAAGGATAATTTCTGGACTAATAACAGGGCAGGGGCAGCCCAGAATAGGACTGCACAAGCTGTAAATTACGTTAAGTGTAACAAAGGGCGCCCAGCAGATCACGAAAGCACCAACGACCACTGCTAGTGTCTTAGCGGCCTTAAGTTCTTTCATGAAGCTGTTGTGACTGTCATGGTTGTGCGAAGGCATTGCAGTATGTATTTGTGTTATGTGACGTAGTGCCACTTTAAAAATAATCGAATACGCGATGATTATAACCACCAGTGGGATGCAAAAGCACAGGATCATTTCAACCAGCATAAAGATCGGCTCATCGTAGAGAATAAAGCCTGCAATAGCAATAGCCAACGAAGAAATCCAAACGCAAGCGATTATGAAAATCACTCTTGACGTAGTCATCAATTCCAGATAACGTAAGGGACTTGTTATACAGAGATATCGATCAAAGCTTATGGCCATGAGATTCATTATTGATGCTGTCCCCATCAATATGTCTATCACGGTCCATACACGTGACAGCGTTTCTCCAAGTACCCACATGGGTCCGGTTAGTAGGTACGCCGCCCACACCGGCATGGAGAATAGTGCTACGCAGAGATCACTACACGCCAAAGACACCACAAAATAGTTCGTCACAGTACGCATGCGCAAGTGTAGTGAAAATGCGGCGATGACGAGGACATTGCCAAATATGGTGCCAAGAACCAGGATGACTGTAAAAGTAGCTGCTCCTACATGGAATGCCACTGGAAAGCTTTGCCTTGGGTTTGTTGCGTTCATAGCACTGTCGTTCGTCATCAAAGGCTTCGAGGCAATGGCCTTGGGGTTAAGATTTTTTTGACTCAATATGCATGGATGATTACTCTTTTTCCCAGATTAATCCCATGGTTTGAACGCTGAAAATTTAATACAAAAATATAAATTAAAAATTAAGCAAATGAAATGAAAAGAAGAAGAAAGAGAGAACGGAAAATTACAATGATTGTGCCGTTGTGTCCTCACCATACATGTAACTGTTCATAAACATTTATGCTATAATCGGAGATAAATTAGCAGCTCTTGAAAAAATTTTCAGTGTAAGTTAAGCCCTGCTCAAACAGGACTTCAGTTTCACCTCTTCGAAAGCTATACAAAAAGTAACCACACTTAAATTAAAAACAACAATGAAATACACAAGACACACACACTACGTATATTTAGCATAAGCTATTCATCACAGGCCGTGTTGGGATTCTACTTACTTGAACTGATACATTTTAAGACATTTTAGAAGGAAAATAAGAGAGATTTGCAACATCCAGGAAAATATACTGAGACAAAAATGTAAAAGGAAAATATACTGAGACAAAAATATTGATCGAAGCGCCAGCATCTTGCGTGAAACCGAGCCAAACGCAGGGAAAACTTTGGTCTTGTTTCATATGCTCTGACCACATGTAGTAGCAAGGTATTACATATAAACTGTTTTCAATCTGGACAAATTGCGACCTCGTTTCGCCAGGGTTTTGAAAGTGGTTCTCATTCGTTGCATTAATTGTGTGAGGATGTACTTTCCTGCATTAATAAAAGATAAAATGAGGTGAATTTCAATTATCGCGTAATCTTTACGTGTCTGAATACATGTCAAAATGAAATTGGAGACGATGTATTAGGTTGTTGGACATAAACTGGTTAAAATATAGAAAAAACCAAACTGTAGCATCAGCATCAGTTTTCGGGAAGTTATTAATTGTTTAAAAGGAAGTGTCTACTATAACTGAGTGAATGAATGTTTGTTTAATAGCTTTTATAGTCAGGGTTTCAGACCTCAGCAAAAAATTGTTAGAGATAACCAAGTGAGGGCGCAGGGTATAGCGAGGATGGCGCTTAGTGGTCTTGTTAATAGGAAGGAAGTGGAACGGTCTTAATGTATTTCAACACACTAGTTTCTAAATGTTTGAGTTTAGAAAAAATACTGTCATCGGATTCTTTTCAGATTTTTGCCAACGGCATCATTAACGCTATTTAGTGGTCGCGATAGCTAGTAAATGCATACTTAATGTTATTTCATTTTGTTATTCCATTTTAACACTGTTATGATACCGTTAAATGCAGAAGTGACAGCAGTAAATAAGGCAGCATTAAAAGCATTAGGAATTCCATTCAAAATTCGCCAAATTGAGGAAGTCAAACGAGCCAGCTAAAATCATTTACAGACTGCCCTGTCGCGTTGAAAGTGATCATCCTCAGGCTGTCAATTCGCGCGGGTAACTGAACTGCATTGAAAAATTGTTCACATTTTTCGCTGTTCTACGCTTGAAACACGATTGTTTCATTTTTCTTATGCCATGATCTGATTGTTAAACACAAAGTGTTATTAAACAGACCCTCACACATCAACTTAAGAGCAAAACTCGCACATTCAACAAGATATGGGATCGCTGTGTATAGAAGAGGGACTAGTTTGTTAACTTCATGTCAATCCGCGCACCTCCTTCAGAAATTTGCTATTCAATATTCCGGTAGCGACTGGTGGCAAGCGAAGCGAAGAAGAAATTTAAGATAAAATTATAAGGGTTTCAGTATGCCCAAAGTATAGGCAGGAATATCTCTAAAAGATTTATAGCCCACCATGACGGCAAAAGGAGAGGAGATTTTAATAAATTCATAGCAGACATTGAGTATGAAAAAGATAAGTAATATAGGATTTATTTCTAATTGCTTGCTGTAGCCATTCCCAAGGCAGCTTCTGACCGTTGTCGATCTAAAATTTCAACATTTATTAGATTTATGAGAGCTATTTTCCCAATTCTTATTTAGGTCCAGTCTTAGTAAGTGTTGTTGGCCGCTCTCAGGCTATATCCTCTTCAATCCTTTCAAGTTTGCAAACCGAGTAAACGCATACAAACTTTGTATTCATTACGAACTTACTCTCCACGTTTAACCACATGATGTAAACGATCATATTATAAACTTTTAATTTTCGAAATATCTTTCTTAAACAGTCTTAAGAGAAGATAAGTTCGTAAAGGAGATGAATATCGTTGTGGTGCTGACAGCTGTGAAAGCAAAAGTTCGCTAACAGACGCGTGGGGATATAGCCTCAGGTTCAGACTAATTCTACTGCGGAAACGTAAGAATTACTCTGTTCCATTCTGGACATAAAATAACCCCAGAATGCTAAGTCAGGGAAGAACGAACTACAGAGTAATTTAAAGATACGGCTTAAATACATCAGCACCATTAGGTTAGTTCTTACGCGTTGTGTGTTATTTTACTATAAAGTCATAGAAGATGTTGATATTGGGTTTCAACTAACGCCGGATAAGAGAATATTATAAATTTCAATCCACGCAGCCACACTCTCAGAATTAAAAAGCTCTTTTATCTATGGCTGATGAGCTGGGATCGGAAAAAAGTGGTGATACGATCGGTTGATAATGTTAATCCTAAAATACCCAAAAGTAAAATACGGAATTTATTAAAAAAATAAATAGTGTCAAACTCACCAGAAGTATTGCTTATTCAGGGTCTCCAGCGATTATTTTTAGCTTTCTATGATAAAATTTTCCAAAACGCATAATAAAATGCTTCTAATCTTTACGTTACTTATCGTAAGGGTTGTTAACGAAATATTGACTATAAATAGGTTAAAGAGAAACCTAAGCATATTCAAAGGAAGCCCTGTACTAGTAAGAGATATTTTGCATACATAGATGAAAAAGATGAAGCCACTGTTCAAGGTGACTTTTTTTGGCTTGATAAACGTTTAAGGAGGCGTCTCTTGTAGGAAATGCCATAAAATGATTTTACAAATAATATATTTGTACGAGAGTTTCAAGGTAAATGAAAAAATAGAAAGGGTAGATCTAGGCCAGCTTTAAAAATGGTTTTACTTTAAGGTCTTAATAATATTACATGAGAGGGAAATGTAGCATCTTGTCACAAACTTCAATAATATTTCAGGTAATTTTCAAGCTAAGAAATAGGTGTACCTTTATGCTGCAAGCAAATTGCTTGATTTCCAGAGTTATAAATGTTCTCCCTCTCCTGCTTAACGCAGCCAAATAAGTTAAAGGTATTCGTAAATTTGTCAAGTGCCAAGAAATGAGAAGCTGAGTGTCAGAAAGAGATTAAGAAGGCTTTATGAGGAAACTAATTTTGGTCTCTTAATTCAAATGAGCCTGACAGCCGTTCAGTTATATATCTTTATTATCCGGAATTATCTGCCTAAAGATGGAAAATACTCCATTTTCACAAACATATTTTATTATTTAATGTTGTCCTCAATCGACTATTGTCGGTCAGACACAAACAAATTTCGGTACATATTTTCCACAGCTTTTATCATAATAGTAATAAATTCCCAGGTGGTAATTTCTTGACTGAAGTATTGCGTTTCTGTTTGTCAATCTTCTTTTCGTGAGACATTAAGACAGCTACAAATAAAAACCCTGGAGCAGTATAGTAATAGTCATAGCCATTCATGCAAGTCGACACTCAGATGTCACTTAAATGAAATATATGGTATCCGGTTTTCTGCCAAAGCCACTCAACACGACCATGTCACCACTTGATAACGGTATACTTAATTATTGCGTTCGAGGTGATTTGTGCATTATTGGGTGTCCTGTGCAATCAATAAGCGAGGTTTTTTGAGATTGCATTTGTGTCGACACATTTTTGCCTCGCTTTGAGGCGCTTGCTTACGTTTTGCCTTACTTTGGTGAACCGTGTGTCCTCAGTGTTCATCTTTCAAACGTTTGCTGAGGTCTGCTATTCTGTCTTCATAAAGCGTTCATCTTTTAAAAGTTTGCTGAATAAAAAGTAAGTAAAAAGTAATTTCAAGAGTTTGTTGAAGGTCTACTATCGATCTGTGTTTGCTGACTCTTCCAAAACGTTCATCTTTAAAAAGTTTGCTGAAGTCAAACAACCTGAGTAAAATTTTACTTTGGATTGAGCCTTCATATTTTTCTGCATGGTTCGTCACTGTCTTTGAAAAATGTGTGCGACGCCTGGTGCATGCATCAAACCGGGTTGATTTAACTCGGCGGCCATTGTGCCACAACGTAAATTTACAGAGTTGTGTAGCTCGGCGTCTGTTGTGCCATAAAGTAAATCCACCGAGTTGTGTACTCGGCGGCCGCTGTGCGACAAAGTACATCTACCGAGTTGTGTAGCTCGGCGGCCATTGTGCTAACCTGCGATCAGGCGATTTTTTTTCCCCCGCCAAAAAAAAAAAAAAAAAAAAAAATCGCCTGATCGCAGGTTACCATTGTGCCACAAAGTAAATCTACCGTGATGTGAGGCTCGGCGCCATTTCATCACGACCAGTGATATTTTCGGCACCGGACAAACGAACATTTAAGCTCTATGTTATTAATTCGGAAAAAATTATAAACCAGCCCACAGTAAAGCCACTCAAGTCACTGAAATCAACACACTCGACCAAATTACACGATGGAAGGCGAGTGGGAAAGTGAGCAGAAAAAAGGGCAATTATGAGCCATCATAATTTTGGATAGAAGTCTTTTTTAAAGAAGTTTTAGGTCCCTCAGCTCAACCTTTCAAGTTAAGGCGAGACTGTATGTATATTTTGTTGCCGTAGGGAAATATAATTTTTTAGATCCTTTTTTGTTTTGTTTTGTATACAAAATCTTTGTTGTAACGACTCTGAATATATCATTTCTTAAGCTGAAAGGATGTTTCAGTCACGAATGTGGACGTCTTTGAAAAAAAGCAGTTCAGTCTCCACTTTTTCTTTAGCCTGCGTCAGGTGTTACATAGTTCACAGAGTTTCTTTTATTTTTCGCCTACCGTAAATGATCGATTATTGATTAAGCGCTGCTACTCGAATAAGCACCGCACCTTTAATAAAACTAATTTAACAAGCGCTGCTCTCGAATAAGCGCCGCGGCGCTAATTGGGTATTTACAAATGAACGCCCCACCTTTGTTACGGCGCTTGAGAGACTGGGATATGAAAACCAAATCGTGAGAGAAATCAGACCCCGACCAACTCGTGAGTTCTAAAGTTTTTTAAATGTGGGGAAACTCTTAAAATCGGGTTCACATAACAGCTGGCTATACCATGCTGCTGAGTCCTAACCACAGGCAACTCAAAGTTTCTGGAAAATGGTCTGCTTCGCCTTTCATGCATAGTATAGTGGCCACTACACTATGAAGGAAAGGTGAAGCAGACTCTTTTTCCCGAAACTTTGTGTAGGTATTAAGGACAACAACAATTCGCCACATGGTAAGTTTCAACGATTTTTATTTTCATTTCTAGCAAATTTCCAGACCTAAACTTCGCCCCATATGTTCTCTATATTTAACCATGTTATGAAATCCGTACGTGACACAAACAGTAAGCCTGGGTTACCTGTGTCCTAACAAGGACGAAACAGCTGTCCATGGCTGCCACTGCCGGGGTGATATAACCGTGCGCATGCGTAAGGTACTAGCCACGTGGACTTGGTAGTATGTGCTGCAGTTCATATTGTGGTCTTCATATAACAGTTCGAGGTGTACATATTTTATATTAAATTGTGCATACCTAGTACTCGCCTCACTTAATTCTCTCTATATTCCCCTCAGTGTTTTACCCGTAGTTGAAATAAGCGCCGCTCTCGTATAAGCACCACGACGCTTAATCGATCATTTACGGTAAATTCGATTCCTTTTTAGTGTCCGTTTGTACTAAAGGATTCGCGTATTTGCTTTAATGACCACAGGGACGGGGAATAGGACTGGTATGTATGCGGAGATTTTCGTTTCATTAATTTACAACCTTTTGCTTTTTAATTTTTAAATTTTTTTGTTTTTGGAAAACTTTTTTTTTACCAACGACATTTATCCACACCCACGACCCACACCCACACCCGGGACCCACGACCTCTACCCACTACCCACGACCCACGACATTTAGCTACACTCAAAGTCTACTCAGTGCTCAGTTTTAAATAGCTGCAAACAGACGTTGTTTTATTTTTCTTATCGTTCTTTTCAAAAACATCGGCGAGCGCTCGAGAACGAGCGCGGAGCGCGAGGAAGAAAAATAAAGAACGCCTATAGACATCTTTGGGGAAAAAGAAGTGTATTAAGTCCCTCCCCCATGTTAACGCCTCATCATTATCACCTCCGCGTTCGCAGTGCCAATTACTGGCTTAAGTATTTTACAATGAAACAACAATGATACTCTGTTTGTTGAAGCATGTCTTCTTAGACCCTCCTTAGACTGCTTCTCTGAAGAGAAAATAGAGGGTCTGTAAGCAGGCTAGGTTACTTCCAAGTAACTACATATAGGCTCTATTGATACAGTATACAGTATATGGTACAGTATATGGTTTCGAATTTTATCTACCAAGTTGACATAATGCAACGCATATAACCTAAACGCACGCGACAGTGGATTTGTACTTCGAGAAAACGTACGAAATTGAAAAGATTCTTCCCCTGAATGGTGAAGTCCCAAATTTTCACGCTTGCGTTTATAGGATATCCTTTCGCACCCTCGTTCTTTATATTTCTTTCTCGCGCTCCGCGCTCATTCTCGCGCGCCCGCTACGCTCGCGAGCTCACCAATGTTTTTGAAAAGAAAAGTAAAACAACGTCTGTTTACAGGCTACAAGTAACCATACCAGGAAAAGAAAAATTCAGCTTTTGCTGTCTTTTCCTGGTACGAGCGTCTTGAGGATACACCTGCCACGGATAACAAAAGTATCCGCGGGATTTTGCCTTACCTTGATCGTACGTCGCTTTTGCCGTCTGGCACAAGTAAATAGAATTAATTTTGTCGAGATTCTTGTCCGTTACAACGATATTGATATGACTACAAATTTGACTGTGGAGTTAATATTACACAAGGTTACGTCTAGCTCTTTACCTCCATATTTCTTCAACTCGAGCAAGGACCGAGATTGAATCTCCAAGAGGAATGTTTGTTCCTCCATCATGAGCAACTAAGACATTTATTTTTGATCTCTAATTCCCTCGATGTTTAAGATAACGGAACATGAAAATAAAGGCTCGAGTTTTATAATACAAACACTCGAGCACCAAGCAATTTAAAAATGAGATTTTAAAAAACAATTTATTCCAGTTTAAAATTGTGGTCGTCTCTTCAAAAAGAATTTCTATTAGCACATAAACATTAACTGGATATGAGCCACGTAAGAAACAACGCCTTCAGTTAGTCACGCGCGAGAACTGGATTGAAACAAATTTTCATTTACATGTAACTGACGTACCTCAAAATCAGTTTGATTTATATGAGGAGATTGGTCGAGATTGAAGCATTTTTTATCATTATTATTAAAGAAAGCCACAAGTAGACGAAGATCTCACAAATCGCACTTCCCTGGCACTTGGTGGTGGTCCTAAACAAGCTATAAGCATTGAAAGTACTATAGATAATAAGCTTTTTTAATCCCCAGTCGTGACTACTATCATATGAACTTTACCTTAGGACGTTTTGCCTTGGTTTTGCCACTGTGGTTGTGGTTCATCAACACAGCTGACAATTGAAACACTGGCTCAACCATGTGCTTTACTCGATCCGGTTCTCAATTTATTTGTCGAATATTTTGGATGAACTTGTATGTTATTTCTTATTTTAGTCGCTATTTTGTCACTAACAGGACCAACACTTGCCAACAATCTGGTTCTTAGTAGAAGGCAGCCTGAGAAAAAAGCCGACGTTTCAGCGACGCCACCACTTGCCGATTTCCCCGCGAAATGACGTCTAAGGAAGCAGCGCAGAAATAATAGCAAACTGCGGAAATCACTTCCCAAACCTGGGTAGTGCTTCTGATTTGTTGGAGCAAATTTTCAACCAGTTGGGGGCACCAAACTGACGACGCATCACTACCCAAATCTGGGTAGTGATGCGTCATCAGTATGGAATTTCTGCGCTCGTCCCTGCGATACGGAAGTACCAATAACTTTAACTAGGAATTTTGTCAGTCAATTCTGTAACTTTCGCGTTGGAAAGACCAAAAACTTCGAATGGAGAAGACTGGCGTGCGTAGGACGCTTTCAATTCCCAAACCTGAAGGAGCATGAACGAAGAGAACCCGGGGGAGTACTTTGGGAATTTCTGGGTGGGGATGTGCCGCTGGCACCCTGGAACCCTTAACCTATACCAGAGCAAGTTCAGCTGAATTTGCTACCCTATACTAGAGTAAACTCCCCAAATCCCCCCTATTCTAGAGTAGCTGTTTTCTAGAAACCACTGAGGTCACTAGCACAGTAGTCTAGCCAAAACAAAACCTTATACCACAATCCCTAGTCTAGATAGAATCATCAACCAACTGATCAGTTTCCTGAAAAATGATACCCTATTCTAGACCCAAACGCTCTGATTTATATACCCTATCCTAGAGTAAACTGCTTGAAAACCATACCCTTCACAGCGGCACATACCTATATAGCCCATATATGGCAGTACCCCCAGGGAGAGAATAATGGTCTTCATGATCACCCGCAAGCCTTGGAAACGTGCACGCCGGTCATCTGAATTGACCGACAGCGCAACATAAAACAAAGGAAGTGTTGACAACATAGCGCAGGATCGAAGATCGGGAACTATATCGGAAATCCCTAGAACTTATTACTCGCACGTCGTCGTGTGTTCATCTCGCTAACTCATATGACATTTTATTCCGACAGGAGCAATTAACACAATCAAAATATGCTTTTGTCTCCTCTAACGATAACCGAAACTTCCGTAAATACATCATCGATTTTACTGTAAAAATTACAAATGTCTTTTCAATCAGAGCAACTTCAGAACACTCGGCCACTTTACTCAAATTTATTTACATTGTGTGGGCCACGCCGAAACGTTTCTTTCTAACTACGACGTAAAATAATCAAACTAAAACCAAATCAAAGTCTGCAGGTGATTAAAAGCAAAAGGCCGCCCGCGAGGAGAACACGAGACCACAAAAATATTGTTTTCGAAATGTAACCGCATTAGCAGAGATTCTCAGTGAACGGATCGCAACAGTATTTTTCTAAATAAATATCAGAAAGAAAGAGAAAAGCCTTCTTCCGAATAACCGATTACGTACTGTTCTTTCCAGTTTCCGGACGCACAAAAAGTGCCGGAAATGGGAATTTTGGTACTTGTGTTTTATTTGTAACGAAAAAACAAATCTTTTACTAATAAACGCCGAAAAATATTACTGGCGGAGGGTCTCCTACAAGAAAATGACCAATTACAAAACATTCTAAAACAGACATATAGCTTTCATAGCTTGTATACCCCTTAATTTTCCAGTTATTGCGCAAGTGATTTCATAAAAAATCGCACTTAGGAGTTTAGAATACCATGACATTACAATAACACTCGCTTACGCGAGCTAAAACATATTAACCTGTAAATTTTCACTTGGTGCGTAAGTGATTTCATAATGCCGTGGTGTCTGATTCACAGAATCACGGGCCTGCCACCTAGTGTTTCTGGAGGGGGCGTAAGGGGGGTCCGAAAACCGCAAAACCGCCCAGAAATACGCCAAAAAACCGCAAACCGCATCGGATTTTTTCCCGAATACCGAAACCGCGCGTACATTTAGGCCACAATATGAAAGCTGACGTCGGCAAGACTTGTGATATATTCTAATAACATTGTGCGTTAGTATTAAACATACCATCATAACGCTAACGATATATTGTACTACACTATTATACTCTATTTACTACTAACCAAATGCCAAGTATGCTAGTCATGTACTTGAACGAGTATTGATATCTCCCTTGACTTTGAGAAACGCTGTCACTGATCCTGTATGTCTTACATTCGTTGACTGATTACTTTGGACGACCCTGTGCTAGTTGTGGAACGCGGAATAAATGTTTCTTCTGGAATTGTGACCTTTTTGTCTCGTAAAGAGTTCACGTTCAGTGGACAAGACGATTGTTAAAACGTACAGCTCTTCTGAAATTCTCCCCTTCCTTTCCTTCTTCATAGAAGATTGCCACGCAATTAATTATTACGTTCTCTTCGCTTTCAGTTGCGACCTCGACGACCTCAGTTGCCATTGTCGAATCAAAGCAATGAGAACACGAGGCTGTACGGCTGTACGAACTAACATCCGGCATGGAATTTAACGAAGTCGACGAATCATTGACCAAAACTGTTAATCACATTAAGTATTAACTGAAAAAGGCCGTAATTGCAAACCACAGGGTTAAATTGTAAGCTAATATAATGGGCCCTGATGCTCGCGCTTGCAAAACAACCGGATGCCGACCGTTCAAAAGAGTGTTATCACCGGAGACACTTTTTTTTTCACCGAAAACCGCGACTTAAAGGTTGTAATAACCGCAAACCGCTTAGTGTTTTGAAACCGCAATACCGCGAGTTAAAATAAAAATTACCGCAAAACCGCGCCGAAAATAACGCAAAACCGCATCACACCATGCAAACCCTTAGCCATATTAACCTTGGTGCGCAAGCGATTTCATAATCCCGTGGCAAGCCACCTAGTGTTTCTGTTGCTTTAAAAATTGCACTAAGGAGTTTAGATCACCATGGCATTACAATAACACTCGCTTATTCATGCTAAAATATATTAAACTTTATATTTTCACTTAGTGCGCAAGTGATTTCATAATGCCGTGGTGTCTGACTAACAGAATCACGGAAGTGCCACCTAGTCAGACCTAGTGTTTCTGTTGCTTTAAAAATTGCACTTAGGAGTTTAGATCACTATGGCATTACAATAACACTCGCTTACTCAAGCTAAAACATATCAGACATATATAAACCATTAATTTTCTTCTGTGTGCAAGTGATTTCATATTACCGTGGTGTTACCGCCTAATTCACCAAGGGCGCGCCACTTTCTGTTGCTTTAAAAATTGCACCTAGGAGTTTAGATCACCATGGCACTACAATAACACTCACTTATTCAATCTAAAAAACATATTAAACTTTATAATTCCACTTGGTGCGCAAGTGATTTCATAATGCCGTGGTGTCTGACTAACAGAATCACGGAAGTGCCACCTAGTCAGACCTAGTGTTTCTGTTGCTTTAAAAATTGCACTTAGGAGTTTAGATCACTATGGCATTACAATAACACTCGCTTACTCAAGCTAAAACATATCAGACATATATAAACCATTAATTTTCTTCTGTGTGCAAGTGATTTCATATTACCGTGGTGTCTAATTCACAGAATCAAGGGCGCGCCACCAAGTGTCTGTTGCTTTAAAAATCACACCTAGGAGTTTAGATCACCATGGCATTACAATAACACTCGCTTATTCAAGCTAAAACATATTAAACTTTATATTTCCAATTGGTGCGCAAGTGATTTCATAATGCCGTGGTGTCTGACTCACAGAATCACGGAAGTGCCACCTAGTCAGGCCTAGTGTTTCTGTTGCTTTAAAAATTGCACTTAGGAGTTTAGATCACTATGGCATTACAATAACACTCGCTTACTCAAGCTAAAACATATCAGACATATAAACCATTAATTTTCTTCTGTGCGCAAGTGATTTGATAATACGGTGGTGTCTAACTCACAGAATCACGGGCGCGCTACCTACGTAGTGTTTCTGTTGCTTTAAAAATCGCACTTAGGAGTTTAGAACACCATGGCATTACAATAACACTCGCTTACTCGAGCTAAAACATATCAGACATATTAACCCTTGATTTTCTTCTGTGCGCAAGCGCTTTCATTTTCCTGCAATACATAGCTTTTTCTTGACTGGATAACGAGTTAAATAGCGGCAACGGCGAGCTTTGGTAATTTTTGGTGGGCTTTGGACACGTTTTGGGGGGATGACGATTTCACTATTCGACCGAATCCATTTGATCGCTTGGTCTTTGTGTTTTCTGCCTCTACTATGACATCTTTAAGAATTTAGGCCTAGTTACTACTAACAATAGTATTTCCGCAAATCCGTCATTAAATAACGGAAATTTTTTCTTGTGTAGCCCGTTTGCACACTCTTTACATCATTGACACCAGATCAAGCATAATAGTCACCAACAAATGCAGTCGGATTAGAAGATCTAACGTTTTCTACATCAAAATGCCTACCAGACTGTCGATGAATATTACCACTTACACGTTTATCGTTATATCGTCAGGCTCAGAAACATTTTCAAGGCATAGGAAGACCATCTTCTTCTCCTGATGTCCTCTAAACCTACCCAGACGCACACACCATCCTTTACTGATCATCTCAAGACTGCAATGCTAGCTTTATTCGATCAGAGTTCAAATCATAATGTCACACTTCTTCCATTTAAAGAAAACGTCAATTATTATTTCCATTGTTTTGGTTAGATTTTTAACTATAGTGCGTTGAATGTACAAGATTCCATCAGAGAGAGGCCATAAAAGTACGAGTACAACGCACCAGCGCGTTCGTGAAGTGACTCACTGCGGAAACTGCAGTTTAGCAAGCTCAGGCCAAAAAATTGGTTGAATCTGTACACACAAAGCCTCGGAGATCAATGATTGCAATTTGCTTTGGCATCTATCTTTCCTTTACGATGAGTAGTATGCTGTGTGTTCATGGACTGCGGGTTATACATAATCAACATCTTGAACCAACGCTTTTATCTAGCAACGTTCGTCCGATTCTGTATGAGTTCTGCGACCTTCAATACATTCAGTACAATATGGAACTGCGCTACATTTAATACTGGCAAAGACCAGAAAGACAACGCTTGAGTCGTAGGCTATGCGCGATTATTCTGGATAACTCGTAAGCTGAGAACGCAAATCTCAGGCATATGTTAAATATGTAAACTCTTCTCTAATTACTCTATCGCCATATGCCGCCTTAATCTTGTTAAAAAATGTAACGCTTTATCGAATATTAATACTGACCACTGATGGCTGGATCAAACGGTGAAGAAACTAATTGCTTTTCGCAGTAGGAGGCTTATTGCTTGTCACTCAAAACCTAGCGTCCTTAACAACGCCGGCGTCAGCTGGTGTGCAAAAGAAAGTCGTTTGCGGGTCCTCATGAATAGTGGCCACTGAATCGAACGCTTTATCTGATTTGAAGATTTTATCCTGGTTACGCTAAACAAGATTCGTCATACAGCCCCATCTACCTTAAGTAGTGAATCACTCTTATGATCTCGCTTTTAAATAATTCTGCTTTTCAATCATCAGCATAACACACTTAAAACGATACTTTCAATAATTAACGCCTATCTTTTAGGGTGCGTTCGATTGGGAAATCTGGATTTAGATTTGGGAAATCCGGATTTAGATTTTCAAAATCTAAATCCGGATTTCCCAATCGAACGTGAAATCCGAAAACGGATTTCACCTCCGAGAAATCCGTCCTCAGGGTGGATTTCAATTAAGAAATCCAAATCCGGATTTTTTGGATTTCCCTTTTTGTCGTTAGATTGGGAAATCCGAAAAAGGATTTGCTAAACTGTTCTCGTGAACAACGGACTATCTTGTGTTAATTATGGCTCTTGACTAGGTAGATTATTAGATCAATTAATTTAACATGTGTGTGTGTGAGAGAGAAAGAGAGTCCGCGGTCAAAGTTAGCCATCATGTGAATTATATTAAGTTGAGGAGACCTGACTCATTATAAGCCTCGTGGTTTCTTTCTTTCGCCATTTACTTTCTCTTTAACTTTTTCCTTTTATTCCAACCTTGCATTGTAAAATTTTGTATAATTATATGGCAAATAAAGAATGAATGAATGAATGAATGGAGAAGGCATTAGTGTGTGGCTGAGATCAAATGACGTAATATAACTGTCCTTTTACTCTTGTTTGTGTAGTGATATATCCTGGGGTCATGCTGGAGTCGGGTTTTTAAACACGGTTATCTACTCGCTCTTGGGGAATTATAATACAGAAAATTAAGGATCAGTCAGTCACAAACGTTAAAAATGTAGAAAAATAGAAAAAAATTTGCTTTCGTTGTAGTTTTAAAACGGTTTGATAAAGAGCTACCCATTTTCTGTCCATAGCCTGAGGGCCTTGGCTGTGATTAATAAATATTGTCACAAGTGCTCTAATAGCTTCTGAGTAAGTTTTTTCGGGCCATTCATCGATGAAACTTTAAACAAAGGGTGTGAAATGTAATTTCCAGAATTTATATATTTTTTGGGATGGAGGAACAGTAATTTTAAAAGAATTTGGGTCATAATTCAGAACTCCAAACGATGCATTTTAACTGCAGAAGTTCCGAAATCTTGGTCTTTTTATTGTTTTCAAAAACGTGCATGGCAATGGGAAATAATAAATCTCGCAGTTGATGGAACGAACCTTTGTCCAGAGTCAATTTGCAAAAAAATTTAATCCTTTAAAGAGATACTCTCCGTGCAGTTACGAAGAAGGGAAGCAGCTACGATTATTAAAACATTAATTTCAGGGCTATTTTATTAGCCTGTGACAAATTGATCCATTTATCTCGTTTTCTTGCCATTATTTTGTAGTTTGCGCTCTTAAGGACATATGGCTACAAAGAAAAAAGCTTACCTGTCTTGACCTGAAATGGTCCTTGCTCCTTGTTTTGGCGACTTCCAGTCACCCAAAGTGAGTCGAATCGGGGCAACGCCTCTGCAGACTATGAAGGGAATGGCCGGTGGCACTTACAGTTTAGCATTTCAAACAATATCCTTGCGTGTCATAATCCTTTCTGATCCACTACGGGATCATTAGATTCAAGTCACGGAGAAGTACGTTGTTTGTCGTCTGAATCCTGTAATTAACATCCGCTAAGTTGGAAAATATCCGATAATAAATCACAATGAACTTCTCGATGTCTGATTTCATCTCTTCAACGATCAGTTTACAGCGCTTTAGCCATTTTCCCGTATATTCATTTTTAAGGACGCGTGCCAATGTTCACGCATCCCGCAGGCTTTTTGTCGCCATTTATTGGGTCTTTCCCCTAGTACCACGTCAAAAATTGACTGAATATATCTTCCGAAAATTCTCAAAAATTTCTTTATACCCCGTGAATGTTCTAATTCTTTTTAGTTTTAAAAAACTTTAAGTAATTAGGAATCACACTAATGTTTCCACCTGCTGGGAAAAAATGTAGAAAAATTAAAGTAAAAACAACTTTATAAACACCCGCGTGGATGCAAAGTTGAGCTTTCAGACTTGCTGGCGACTGATGACCATTTTTTGTGACATTTAAGCGGAAAACGACTGAACTGGTTTATAGCTAGAGGTTACAGCGGTTACTGAGAAATGATTGAAAAGAATAGGCTAAAAAGAGCGAAAAACACCGGCTCAAATGGAAAGTTGTAAATTGATCATCCCAAAGATCTAAACATTTTCTAATTATCTCGGACACAATATATGCGGATATTTGTGGAAAGGCCAAGGACTCCCACGTTCCTTCTGGCTTGCATTGATTTTAATAAACAATGGATAAAAGCAGATTTGCTCTGAACAGTCAATCCGATGTTCTGGGGGTCCTGTCCATTCCTGTCTTGTATGTAGATGGCAGACTGGCACCACAAGGCAACAAGAAGGGGACGACGGGTAGGAGAACGGGAATGGAGAAAGTCCTTAATATTAGTCCTTTTGTTTGGCCTGCATGTTAGTAGCTATATTTAGTCAAGTGCGGAACGGAAAGCTCAGTAACACTTCTCGTCTTTCGTGCTTTTCGCTTTTGATTGGAACCGCGCGAGACAATACTGAAAGGGGTGAGAGAGGAGACTAGAAGCTGGAAATGTAAATATCACAAAATTTATTTATGGAAATTAGAAGTCGGTTTCCAGAGGAGTCCACATACGCTGAATATGACGTCATGCTGATAATTCACTTGAGTCGAATTTATATGACCACTTAGGCACCTTGTAAAAGAAACTGACGGTGACATTGTAGCAGGATCTCGTATTTTAAAAAAAATGAAAAAAGGACGGAAATGCGGTAATCTCGAACCCAGATCTCTTGTTGACAAAGCCGAAGGCGACATACGAAATTAGGAATTGGGCGTCACAATGGAATTTTGGTTTCGGTTTCTTAATATTTGTTTAGTTCTTTATCTCTACAAACTTTTGTTCTCATAACCAAAGCACAAAAACTTTGTATAACGCTGTGTTCATTGTCACTCTAGCGTGAATCGTGAAATAATAAATCACATTCATCGAGTGATAAACTAGTATTCTCGGTATAGACATAGCCAAAGGCAAGCCTGCCATAACCTCAGAGTAACTATGCTTCTTTTCATTATTTGGCTACTCCACCCTTATTCCTTCTATGCAACACATGCAAAGGCAAAGGATACCAGTTTGTTTGTTTAGAGAAATATTTGAAGTTTGTCTGCAGGGAAGTACGCTTTTATACACCCTAGTCTGATACTCTCACTCTACTTACACAAGTAGGCACTAAAAGATATCAAGCGTATAATTCAGATCGGATTGGTCCGGGATAAAGGATTAATCCAAGGTATTAAGGTGGTACCGGAGGCTAATTTGGACCTTTTTACCTCAAGTTTGTGAATACATAATTGGATGAAGGATTTGTTAGACTGTCTTAAAATTTTACGGTGTGATAAATCATTATGCATAAAAAAGAAAAGAAATATTTTTATCTTGGTAAGTTTCGTGGAATTCGTGGAATGTGAAGAATTTTAGGGTGTGGTCTACGTTACTATTACTACGTTACTATTTTGTGTTTCGTTTTGGTGATTATGTCAACACATCTGTCACCAACAGAGTCTTTGGGGATTTCTTTAGTCGCCCGAAACCACGTGAAGCGCAGTATGTCGCCTTTATTTTTCCCGCGAAATGGCCCATAACAACAGAACTTTTCTCGTTTATATCTCGGAAACGCGTACCTTCCCGGACTTGAAACTTGGCACACGGTCTCATTTAAATGTGATCTACCAGGTCGCAAAAAATTAACGCAATCGGAGATGGTGAGGTTAGCCTCCGGTACCACCTTAATTTAATGTCTTTAATTAATTTCTTAATTTTATTGTAGATATCTTTCAGGATTCTTATACCATATTTTTTTAATATTTATCGATTATTCAATCGTATTTTCCCCGTAGTAACTTACTGTCACTTGCTATTATTATTTTTTTTTTTTCCTTTAGTCGAGAGTTTTATACATGAGCGCCTGGCTCGGGAAACTGGGTGACCATTCCCCACGTCATCGGCGATAAATAAAGTTCATTCATTCATTCACCCATCATAACTACGCATGTCCACCCAAACTATCCAAGAAATCGCTGCCCCCAAAGAATGTACTTATTCTCTCTAGAATTTCTGAAGTGAAGAACATGGTCGCCCCTGACTAATTTTTTTCTTTAACACATTTAAATCATGTTTTCCAAACCAGAACTGAGTGGTCGAAGCCGAGGAAGAGGTGCATGCAGCGGAAAGCAGAGTTACTTTCTCCATCAATTCCAAAGTTATCTTCATCGTAAACGGCCCCAAGTGTTCCGTTAAATTCACACCCTTTTGAGTAGCTAAACGGGCTGTCCGTATGCAGAGCAAATATGTCACTGTAGGCTGTTAAACCCATGCAGTTGCTGCAGTAATTTCCAACCACGTTGATAAAATCAGAGAAAAGACAGGATTCATTTGTGGGAGGCGTTTACAAGAAGATCCATATTAGTTAGGGAGACTCTCCAGTAATCTTGGTAGCCCATACTATCGGTTGGAAAATTACAAGTGTCTCGCCAAGGAGTGGAGAAGTGTTGGATTGACTTCATGCGGGAAATTGACAGACGGTAGCTATTCCATTCAGGTTCATCTTGGTTGACTGGCACGCAGGTCGTGACGGTAAAATGATTTTCTACAAGCGACCTTGTTTTGCAAAGAGTGAGAGTGGAACAGAGTCCATGCCATACCGGGCTTGGAACCAAAGTCGCAGTACACTGGGAACAAAATGTTGTTTTGGTCCACGATGCTGTAGATACCATTGGATTTGTTGTTTTGAGGCAGCATCACAACTCTGCGTGATTTTATTGCCGACGGCAGCACGATTTTTGTCACTTATATCCACTGAAGCCATGAGGACATGTGCAGTGAAATCTTCTCTTTGTGACGTCACACACTTCATGACACGTACCTCCATGTTGGCAGGGGCTGGCCTCACAGCAGTTGTTATGACAGCTTTGGTCAGAACAGGTTTTATGAAGACCAGTCTACAGAGAAACACGACATTGATCTCATCAACGACTCTGATGATTCGAATAGGCTATTGTTAATAATATCCGCCCCCTCCCGGTTGAGCACCGACGGGATTCATTAGGGGTATACCCATACTTTTCGGGGAAAAGACCTTTATTTTGTGAAAGTGTTTAGGGGTGAATGCAATTTCTGAGTGTGGACTACATCCTATGGTCCACGCGTGACCTGTTAAATAGGACCTTGTTGATTTCTCAGTCAGACTGGTTGAGTGGTATCCGTAATCGCCTTATGCATGATGCCCAATTTGCACTTCTAGTGAATTTCAGACCAGCGTTAAGTACAAAAGGTTCCACTTGATGGTTGAGGGTTCACAACAGTCCTTATTTTTTCGTAAGATCGTTGAGATTACGGGCGGCCATAGTCCTTCGTGGCCGGTGAAGCTTGGGGAAGAGATTGGGGAATAGATTGGGGGCGGAGGACGGTTTTGGAGGGAGGCGTTATTAACCTTGACTTTTCCCCTCCCGTCCCCACCGTGGTCGGACATGGATTTCGACTCTATCAAAACAATATGTAGCTGCAAATAAAGTAAAATAATTAATATAGAATTTCTCTTACCCAGCTGCTAAAGAGAAGTTTAGATGATGATCGAGTAATAACCACTGAATACAGAATGGATTCCGAAACCACCCATTTATATATTCGTAATTAAACATTTAATAAGCAGGACGTTTTTAATAACCAATTAAACGATACTGCAATTAACTCGGTTTGGGTCAAAAGTGGGAACGCTGGAAATATTGCAAACAAAATATAGAAACTTCTTTAACATCCCATTCCTGCAAATACAGTCGCCAGTCTCATTGCCACCTGGACAAAACCCTTTCCTTGAGGCGTGGAGCGGTTGTAGTTGCGGTGTTTCCCTACCCAGCTGGAAATTTTTTCTACGACGACAATGTTTACAGTTTGTTTCCCTTGGGGGATCAAACCGGTTTTATTCAAACCTATAATATAGATTTAGTCAGTACTTAAAAGCCTCTGTTTATATGCTTATAATGAGTTAAGCAATCAAATTCAAGCTTATTGCTTTTTAAAAAACAAATTAACTCTAAGCCACTACCAAGAATCCTCCTTTTAAGGGATGGGCCAGGTGATTAAGGAGACTGAATTATCCCACACCTGAAAAACACGAATGAAAATTAAACTCTCCCATCGAGCTAAAAGTCGTTACGGTTACAGCAAAAAATCCCTCAAATCCATGATACTCTTCGGTAGCAACCAATGTACAGGCTACGATTTCTAGAGTCAATTTAATTCTTGTCAAGTAAACAAAAGACAAGAAAAATGGGGCCGACTTTTGTGTTGGTCGTAAATTTATTATGATTTCTTTCTATCGGGCCCAGATCAACAATTATGTATAAATTAGCCTTTACATTTATTCCTCACGGTATGTAACTGAAAAATTACTACTAACAGTTGACACTACAGCTGCCCCCGCTCTGTTTGTTGTTGGTCAATACCGGATATTTTTTAATCCGCAACTTTTTCTTTGCAGATTCGGCTTCTGTCCACACGTATCCGCTTGATCTGGCATACGAATCAGAAACTATTTTTTACCCGCTCTCTAGAGAGGAAATTTTTTAATACACTATGAATCGTGTGGACGCTAAATCTGGATATTTTTTTTTTTTTTTTTTCTCAGAGGCGGATCTAGGGGGGGGGTGCAGGGGGTGCGCACCCCCCCCCGTGAGATGACCTGCGGTTTTCTAATACAACTGGTATTCTGCAAAAAAAAGACTAAGTGGTTTATTAGTGTTGAAGTAGAGCAAGAGACGAGTGCACCCCCTCCTAAAAAAAATCCTGGATCCGCCCCTGTATCTGATGCATAACAAGATCGAGCCCAGTTCCTATCCGTGAATATTCAAGCACAATGATATCGCCTCTTTACTTCTTGGACTTTTTTTCAGGCCTTATAACGTGTGTGTACTTAAACCGTAACTATGAAACAACGGTGCAAATTGGAATGGTTCCGCTGACAGTATCCGAACGTTTTCCCGAGTCATCAGTAGTTCCTTCGTTTCTAGTTTTGTTAGTATAATGGAAAATGAAAGTGAACCTTGGTGAACGGAACCGGATAAGTGCAATATATTGTAGTATGGCGAGACAATAGCCGTCGTATATGAGCTCACGAAAATAACTCAGGCGATGCTGTTCGCCGATTAGGCACAATAATACAAAGCATGATTTGAACACTGCAATTCTCCATTTGCACATCTCCCATAATACATCTCCCATAATACACCTTGTTTACGCCCTCACAATCCCCTTCCTCCTTCCCACCCCCAAATTAGCATAACCTTGATTTTTGTTTTGAATTTCTCCTTCGGATTCTCCTGGGTATTAAAGCAGTCCCAGAAGAAATTGAGCACAACGCAAAATTTTGTAGGGCAAAAGAGGTGTATTATGGAAGATGTGCAAATGGCGAATTAGAAAACATTATATGAAGTACTAAACACTTGTGCTTTTCTGTTGCAGTGGAATTTTCGATTTGTCCTTTTCAATAGGAGCGGTGCTGCCAAAAGACTGTCTTAGACGATCGTTGTTCCCCGAATTATCTGTCAAATATTTCGTACACAGCTTCTTAAATGCGAATCTAAAGTCCTTATTCATAAGTCCGTAGATCAATGGATTAAGGAAGGAGTTTCCATAATGCATCCATTTGGCCATAGATACAATCAGAGGCGAGGGAGGGCAGCGGCAGATAAAATAGGTCAAATTGAGGGCGAAGAAAGGGGACCAACATACAATGAACGTCCCGATTACCACTCCCAAAGTTTTGGCTGCTTTTAATTCCACGGTAAGAGAAAATCGTCTGGATTTTCCATTGACGTTCAAGTCGATTTGCTTCGCTTGAAAGCGGGCGGCTTTGAAGATGTTCACATATGCAAAAAGAATGATGATCACTGGGATTCCGTAATTCAGCACTACAACCGCCAGAGTGTACAAATCCAAATGCCAGAACGTAGGAGCGACGGAAGCAACTATAATCGAGTATACCCATACAGCGGAGATGATAACGATAGCTCGCTTTGAAGTCATACGTACATGGTAATAAAGTGGCCCCGTAATACAAAGATAGCGGTCTATACTGACAAATGTAAGGTTCCAAATAGACGCTACAGAGACCATAATGTCAGTTGCTGTCCACAAAACGTGGAGCAACGGTTTACTCTTGAAAAGAGAAGGACCAGAAATAATGTAGGTAAGCCACACTGGCATAGAGACAACTGCTACAAGAATATCTGTAACCGCCAATGACACCACGAAGTAGTTTGTGACTCGGCGGAGTCGACGAAAACTTTTAAATGCTAGGATCACCAACACGTTACCCAGAATGGCTAGGATCATAATGACCACAACAAAAGTACAAGAGAGGGCGGTGTGGGTCATGTCGAACTTTTCTGGCGAGTTTGAGCTTGAATTAGCCATGGTGATCTGTACGTTGATTTGCAAGAAGATTACATAAAGCTACTTTGCGGATTCTGTTCTTATGTGATTGCTTTTGTTCAGTCAATGTTCTTGCTTATGTTGCAACTGTTTTCAAAATGAATCCTTCGTCTTCAAAATAGTTCCTTTTTTTCGTCTTGGTCAACTGTACTTGGAGTTTTCGAGAAAATTATCAGCTCATAAAGCATCGAGGCTCAGATCCTTTTATCGCCATGCTCGTTCTTGTTTTATGGCCGTTTAAGAGGGAGAAAAAAATTGGTTTCTAGTATTGGGTCAGCGTTTGCGCTGCTCCTATGCGTCAACACAGATGGTGGGAAACTGAAACGAAAACAAAATTTAGTCAGATTCACATGGGCAAATAAAGGTCTGCCTTAATGAATATATTACTGGTGTATAATTAGTAAGAACAAATAAGTATTAGCAAATTAAGGAAACGAAAGCACAGGAGGAATTAAAGGCGAATTTTTGACCTCCGGCTAAGAATCCTCATATTAGCACTTTACATTGTTTATAGCTGAATAATGGGTTACTGTATGTGACAGTCTGATCATTTCACAAGTCAACCATACATAGCTAATGAAATAAGAACAGAGATGATGAACAAACATTTACTTAGGGAAAGAAATAAGAAATAAGAATAGAAGACGTGTTTACAATCTGGAACAATGATCTATAGCTAGAACGCGAGTTGCGCAGCTGATTTTACTGAAATTGGTTTTGGAATTGAATATTAAAATTTGAATTGGACATTAACAATTTACTTGCAATCTTTATTTTTGGTGGCAATTTACACTAAAACTCGGAACTCCTTCTCTTGTGCTTGGAATACGGAGAGGTTTCTTTTTAATGTTAGGCTCACATTTAACTATTTTTCTAAGAGGAGCGCCGTGAACTGTCAAAAATACAACGATGCATATAGTCCCGAGTTAGTCAAAATATTGTGGCGACCTATCTGGCTTGCTTGATTAGAGTATTTGTCTTAGTAAAATGCAGCCAAAAATAGATGAAAGAAGAAGTCAGTTAAACATAAATTATACAAAATAATTATATGAATATCACGATAGAAGTTCAAGGTCGACAAGAATGTTGCCCTGCTTTAAAACGATCTTGCTGTCCGGTGGCTAACAAAGTGGAATGAATCGGCTTATTTAACTCCGAAGCGGTATGAGGAAAACAAACAGACGCACAATGATGAAGGGGATTAGAGCAGAAAAAATTTGCAGCTACTATTACTATTTTTTCTGTTCGCACCACTCAGGATATTTGACGTTACGCCTCAGACTGGGTGGGTGTTAAGTTCAATCGAACTATCAGGGACTGTTTTGGGAACGATTTGGGCTTCTTTATTTGGCTATTGCAGGTGTCAATTTTTGTTTACCAAAACAATTCCACAGTGCAATTCGATAAAACGCTGACCCAATCTGATATCACTCGCGACCTGAAAACAAATAATATTTGTACTACCACGAAACGGAACGAAGAAACTAAATCTAAGTACCACGGGATTCGATCATTACTCCGAATTAAAAGGTACCCTAAGTTCTGTACTGACTGTTTCTGCTTTTTAACTTTAATATTAGGCACGATTTACAAAGATACACTCTTGCCGGCCCGGCATAAGAATTCATTTTGCTCGGCGCTATCAGACTTCCTTTGCATTCTCTGTACTCGACGGGCTGTTCATTGAGAGATTCGTTGATTTACGTATCACCGAGAAAGAATCCGATTCACCTCGATACATAACGTTTGTGCTCACTATAGACGTAAATACCGTAATCTCTCAAATAATCCCCTCTTAGGTCTTATTTTTTTCCAGCCATTTTTTGAGGAGGAGGTGGGGTTTTAGAGAGGGAGTCTTATTAGCGGCGTAGGGGGCTTATTCAAAGCAACCCTTGATATTTCATTTTATATGAGTGTTACTGAAACCGCCTTAGTGAAGGATATTAAAAATAAATACCTTATACTTTCTATCTTTCTTTCATTAAATCATGCAGATGTCTCCATGAAATTTTGTTTATATTTAGTGACTGTTTAGTATAAGAATAAAATCAAAGTAATTACGGGGAAAGGGAAAGGGCATAATAACTTTTGGATGCTCGTTGATGGGGACGGCTTATTAGAAAGATTACGGTAGATCGCACAACACGATGATCTGTCTTCGTTTTACGTTGGGCCGACCAACTTTATTTGTCTCTTTGCAGAATTCCATTTCTCCAAAGATTAATAACGTAATCAGCAGTATTACACTACATTTTGCGTTATTAATCCCATGCCTTAAGTACTGATTTGAATATGGATAGGACCTCTGAGCTCATGCCGTAATTTCAGTTAGAGTAACGTATTGTTTAATTCAATTCAATCAGACTAACTGTTTCCTCCTATTACGAAGACTCCTTTCTTTAATTACTTTTTACAATGATAAGGCAACCATCATACCTTACGTAATCACATATGTATGTGATTATGTAAAGACCTGATCTTAGTTGTTTGGATTTTTGTTTCTTTTCTTTCTTTTTTTCCTTTTCTTTTTTTTTTTTTGTTTTTTTTTTGTTGTTGTTTTGTTTTTTTTTGTTTCTTGAATTTCTCACTTTTGTTCATACCATTTTCACAATATTAAATGCCCCCGAAATTAAGAAACGATAAGCAAGCTTAGTGCTGTGTTATTGTGGGAAACTTTCGCCTGAACAGTTGTAACGAAACGATAAGCAACGGCTTAAATGCTGTATTTTTGTGGAAACGAAAATAGAGCCTGATCTCAGCCTGAACAGTTGTAAAGTGTTAGGAAACTAGCCGGCGAAAAAATCTACGAAACTTGCTTACCGTTCGCTTGCAGAATTTTCCTGCTCGTTTTAAGTCCCGGGGGGTGGGGGGTACTCCCTTATAAGGGCTTAATGGGAACGTGCGACCAGCCAGGGTATGTTTTTCGGGATTTTTGTCTTAAACAGGGTATCGAATTTATCATTTTTTGTCTTAATCAGGGTATCGATTTATCAATTTTTGTCTTAAACAGAGTATCAAAAATCGGAATTCTGTCTTAAACAGGGTAGGAAAATCAGCGATATTTGTCTTAAACAGGATCAGGGCACGAGGGGCCGCTCCGCACCTCCCCACCCAGGGATATATCGAGTACCCCCCCCCCCCGGGTTTTACGTGCACACTTTCCTAGCATAACTGACGACACGCACTAATAAATAGACATTTAGTTTTAACCATCTGACAACCGCCAGCAAGTAACGAAAAAACTCCATTTTGAATAAAACCTCCTTTTTGGACTAGCTTCGGCCAATTTGCATGGCGATGGCTAAAAAGAGATTTGCAACACTAAAGGCATAGACTTTTTTCCTGCTAATTGCAATCTCACTCCCAATTCAACGCTTTATAAAAATTCTGAAAGATCGACATGATCAATGAAAGATTGTAAAATGTTAGTAACATTTTCCAATCGTTCATCAATTTAGTAAATGAGTATTTTACGGACAAAACTCTCAGTGTAGACGATAGAATGATCTCGAAGTTCAGTGGATAACTGGGCCATATCTTAACTATACGGGATAGCTCTGAGGATAGCTTTCTGTGTAATCAGAAACGCGCTATGGTTATCCGGTATGGTTTTCGCGTCGGCGCAAGAGCTACTAGGGACTTTAAGATCCAACGACGCGACGGCGACGAGAACTTCACTTAAAAAGTTAATTTGTATGCTTTCAGTCTTTATCGCAATTATTCCTAACCACTTACTTTGTCAAATGTAGGCAAACCCTCCTGGAATGGAATTCCTACAGACCATATCCAAGTTCAGAAAGAGAAATAAAATTTCGCCGTTGCTTGTTTACATACTCCATAAAACGCCAAATTAGGCATTTTCACGTCGTAGTCGTGCAAAAACGGGCAAAGAAATGTACAAAAAAGTGTGATGCACGTGCAAAGTGGTTGTTTTTCTTATAAAAACCTATTGTTTTTTGGACGTTCTCGATGCCGTCCGCGTCGTTGGATCTTAAAGTCCCTACTGTCCCCTATAGTGTGAACATAGCCAGGAATTTCATTTCTTTTTACAGCCAGGGCGAAAGCATATCGGTTTTTCGCACAAATACTAAATATACTTCATCTGTTACGTAACCAGCGAAGCAAAAAGACCAAACGGGCGCTTTAATTTTGACTGGGTTACGTGGTGAGACCTACTTCCAACTTATGTCCTCTATGTTATAGAGTGGCCAATCAGGGTGCTTCCTTCGCCGTCAATTGCTCGTCCACATAATCAGCGGCAATTCAAACAACTTCCTGGATTTATCAAACACAAAGGACTGCTTTAAAAGAATGCCAACCTAAAGAGCAGGTGACAAACAAAACATAAGTTTCCTTAAATATTCGCGTTAACACCCAGGCTTTAATTTCTTGCTATTGACGGTCTACTCACAGGCGGCCGACAAGATTGCTCTAGCTTGTTTCACCTTTTTTAGTCACGAAAAGATAGTGAAAACATTCCCAGCAAAAGTTTGATTTTCCGTTGAATGTAAAATCGGTAGCAAAGGCATTCTACTAAGTTATCAAGTAACAGTGTGTAAGAGCATAGAAATGGTGTGGTCTAAAAAGGCGATAAGAGGACAAATTATTGCCACAGAATGAAAACTAAAGCAGCTCTTGCCATTTGTCTTGTCCCCTAGTTCAGTTTCAGCCGCTTTTCTAATTTGAACTTTAAGAGTGGTACAACCTTTGTGTGCGATGACCGCTGGCAAATAATACATTTGAATTTGAAATAGATGAAAAGCTACTGAAAGCTTGACGTACTCACTCATTTTAATGTTAATGCTAGTTAAGAATGATAATACAAACATCTTAGGTGAAAGCATTAAGTAAGCCTTCATACAAGATGGCGGATTTAAGAGCACTACAATATTTATCACGAGCAAGTTAAACATCTCTAATCCCTTTTATGAAGCGTGTCTCTGTTTTGAACCTTTTTCGATTCAAGAAGGCAAATCTGACAT